TTGCAAAATTAGATTTGAAATTTTGTTTTCCTCTCTCGTCAATAAAATATTTATCTTACATTTACAATTGAACTTGCAAAAATTGCGAAAAAAAAAACATCGCTGATCACAAAAAAATCCGAAATTTTCAAATTTTACTGAGACTACTCGCTGAAAATAGCCATTTATTGATGCCAACCAAAAAGTCAAATTCTACTTTTTTTGTTTCAAACCATTTCAAATATGGGGAAATGCAAAACGGAATCGTCTGCGTGCATCGTCATACACAAATTAAGTGGATTATCGCTTTGGCGCGTGTCACATTTACCTAAACAATGCGAATATTTGAATGATAATTTCATTGGTGTTTTTTTTGCTTCTTCTCTCTTTTGGTCTTATGCTGTTGTCGTTGTTATTATTTTCGATGTAAGGGTGCCTAAAATGCAAACTGAAAAGTCTACGATAAGTATCGGTTTGAATTGACTTTTTTTTATTTCACTCGATTATTTACCACATTTGAACGCAAACGCATTTTGCTAGTATTGTTTAAATTCGGCCATGGCCAACTCACTTTCGAACGTGTGTGTGAATGAATGAGAGTGGTGGCATTATAAACGGTTTACAATTGGGGGATGTCATTTATAGCATATATATATACTTACTTGCTGAGTCTATCAATTCATAAATTATTATCATTGCATTTCGATTATGTTTTCATCATATTTCTAAAGAGATGAAATCAAGAGAAAGAGAGAAATCAAAAAAATTCTGCACACACACATATTTTCCCGAACAAAAGAACTGTTGCAATTGCAGTACATTGAGTTGTGCACTGCTTTTCCTGTGTCATATTATTGTTCGTGGCCCTTCAAATTGACAAACTTCGATGCAATGTATTTCGGATATTGAACTGAATGTTTAAATGTTTGTATGCATTATGTTGTGAACGATTTGTGGTGAAATTTTTTTTTTGTTTCTCCTCCGACAATAACATTAAAATGAACAACAAAAGCGAAAATAATGTGCAAGTGGTTGCAATGTCTGTGTGAATGCGTGTGCCATGTCTGTTATAGCTGCCACGTGTCGATTAAGTTGAATAGTGTTTCTGTATATGTGTAATATAGTCACTCAGTTGCCATTAAGTCAAAATCGAACCGAAAAATACATTGGATTAGAAAATCTCAAATTGGAACAGTGGCAATTGAGGCTAAAAAAGGGATCAAACAACATACACAAGCACTTTAAATCGCGAAAAAACTCACTTCGCTTATGGAACTTTGGTTGACAATTTATCAAGGATTCGATGCCGTTGTCAAACCGTTCACATAGTGCATATAACTAAGGCACTCTCATTGAGTTGTTGTTTTTTTCCCACTCATTCTGTCGTCCCGTTTCTTCTTCAGACATTTATACTTTTATGATAATTTCATTTTCATGAATGTCTCTTAAAATGCGTTTTTGTTTCCACAATATACACATTTTCGGATATATCACATTTGGAAGCAATGTCAGCATTATTGTACGTACGCGCGCCAAAGCACGTGTCATATTATTATTATTTTATAGTAAGTTGATTGAACATTCATGTTTGCTGAGTTGTGTGTATGACCGCGCTTGGAAAATTCATACCAACTTCAATAAATATTATTATTTGAGCGAAATAATAACGGAAAATAAGCCACCATAATGCACTTAACCATGTTTTACGCAATCAGATTATGACCTATTATAAAGTTTAAAAAAAAAAAATGGATAACATTTTTCATCGATTTGTCACGTCGGCGACGTCAACCCTATTTTTTGCGACCATTCTGTTTGCATGGATATAAGTATATTACATTATGATTATTGGCTAAATGTCATTCAATCACATTTCTTATCATTCGATACATTTCGATTTCAGGCCAATATTGAATACGGTGCACATGCCCAAAATTCCAATGGATTTTCAACGAAAAATGACACCTTTGTTTGAAAAATTGTCATGTGATGCACAAGTCAATCGGCTTAAAATCAATCAGAAAAAAGGGGTTTTCATTTGCTTAGAATGGGGTCTTCACTCTATTTCTCTCTAACTCTCTCTCTTTGCGGATGTTTTCAAGTTGTAATCTGCACGTGAATGTTTAAAATAAAAGATACTGCTATTTTCGTGGTAACTGCATTGGCAAACGAATAAAAACCCAAAAATTGCAAAATCTTCTCATGATTTTTGTAAAATATGCCGACTAAGACATACTTTGTTTGAAACAGCCAACACATTTTGATTGATAATGAAGGTATTTTTGTGTTGAAACAATCATTTTCTTTGATTAAATAATAATTTTGTTCAATGTATGAAAAGTCAATCAATTTAGTAATAAAAATGCGACCCATGGAATAAGCTTCAAAATAATATTTGGGTGTTTATTTATTTTGTCCAATATTCGAACGCTCCAACGTTAAATGCACGTGAAAATGCTACTAAATAATAACAATCGAAATGCAAACATGTACGTCGAATATTTCACAAGCACTATTTATGTTCGATTTATCAATAAAATATTAGTTAAAAAAAATGAATGTTTGCCATCATTACGATGGGGTATCACGATCTCAGGTCATCACATTGCATTATAATTACTTCTAATACGTTAATACATTTTAATGTGATCGCTTCGAAGATAATCCAATCGAAATAATGCACAAATCGCGTTGTACTCACGTACAATGAATGTGGTCGGTGTTTCATCATATACGCGCCCGCCAATATATTACAATATGGCTTTTTGATTGTCCTTAGTTAAATCAATTATCTAACGCTTAATTTACATTATTCGGCTTCGGCCATACATCAGTCTTTCGCATACAATATAATGTAAATGGCTTTCGGTTGGAGATTACAACAAGTTGATAAAACTATAATATAATGTGTACTAAATACCGCACTCAAATGTAATTTGTTGGCGTGCGAACGTGCGTGCGTGTGAGTGGTTCGCGTTCACACTCATAATTTATAAGTTTTTAATGGTTTTTAATGTTGTATCGTTTGTTTTATTTTTATCAATGTGCATTGTTGGAATGTTCTGGGTGGAACGCGCGAGCACATATACAATTTTTCATCCCGCAACATACCCAGACCCAATAATATACACACAAGCGAGAAAGAGAGAGAGAGGAAACAATACAGATTGAAAAACACGGCAGTCGACGCGCTTTTCGCGTGTCGATACACAATACAATGCCGATAGCAGACTATCAACAATCAACAAATTGCACTTGTGTTCAGAATCAATTCTTGGTCTCTTACAATAATGGATTTATAGAATGAGCGTGATCCGTTTCGATGATTTTTTAGTGCTGCGCACAGATTTACATTTTGATACGATGAATGCACATGAACACATGCCGTTTCAGCCAGAGCCGTAGACTTTATAAACAATGTGAAATGAATAAAACACAACAAATCAATTTTGGCCACGAATATAATCGGCCAATAAATGTAGCAGAAAGAAGCACCCAAACAATGCGGTTTTGGAATTTTCGATTTTATAAGGGAATCGTCTACGGCGCCGATACACTTTTCATTGTGGCGAGACACCATTCAGTTTTTCTTTTCTTCTTCCACTTCGTCTCTGTTGAACATTATTATTGATGTGCTCAGCAAACCAAACAGATTTTCTCAATTGACCGAAAACATGAATGCGGTAATAATTGATATACCGGTTTAAAGGAAAATTAATCATTTTGTTTTTTTTGTTTTGTTTTTTTTTTCAATAGTTCTGTAATACGATTACGTTTCGATTTTTACTCTAGCAACGTCATTTTGATACAGAAGGCTTTGAAGAAGATAAGATGTGTAAAATCATCGACGGTTCTTTCGCTTTGCGTCGGAACAGAAAGAAATACCACTTTTTGTGCAACAGTCTTAACTATCCGGTCACAGTTTCCGGACAACACTTCCGAACTCTTCAAGATAATTCCAGTTTTTCTTTTCGGATATCATGCCAAGCAGTGGTTTTTTTTTATCGTAACCAAAAAAATCGCACTTGAAACTGTGTCTGAAATTAGTGCCAAAATTATTGCACAAGTGGTGGCCGCTTTTCAAAAGCGAATAAAAAAACCAACCATTTATCAATTTGCTATTTACAAATTTTGATGAATTTTCGGTGGAAATTTAAGAATAGTAGATTTTTTTGGTGAAGATTTAAATATTTGAAATGCGATTCTCTCATGTAAGAATTTAAGTGTGAAGTGTCCTAAAATTTCACTAAAAAAAATTTCTTACCAAAAGATTTTATGACAATTTGACCGCTTCCTACAATTTCCTGTAGTTTAACAGAGTCAGAATAGAACTATAGATAAAAAACACAGTTTGGGCGATGATCGATGATGCAGCAGTTTTTGTTCGGAAGTTGTGTCAAGATGTTTAATTTTCAAAAGACCTGTTCATTTTTAAAATATGTCGGTGTGTGATGCATATATTTTTTGTTATACAAAAGTTGATGGAGTTTTCATCGTTTTTACGTATGTTCAACTATTTTATTTGTCTTTTTTCGGATTTTCACTATTTCAACTAAAACAGTGAATTGTATAGCACTACACTATAGTAAAAAGTGAAGAATATATTATGCATTTGCAGTATTATTTTTAGAATGGTTCAGTACGACCAACAAACAATGCTGCATTGAATTTATCACCCACAAATTCACAAAAAAAAACGACAACAACAAACATTTTCACTTAGAAATGGTGAAAATTCCATTGTAAGTGTGAATATAGTAATGTTGGTTCATATACATGGGATGGTATGGGATGGTATGTCTCTCTTCCTAAGCTAAGCATTGAATATTGTTTTCACAAAATGCATTGTACATTTATTAAATTTATTTTTCCCTTATTTTCTTCCGTTTTGCGTGTGGCGTCGTTGTATTTTTGTGTTTGCTGCCGTTATGGTGTGATATGTACGCGTGGGGCCAATCGTTTTTATGAAATTCGGAAATTCCATTTTTGGTTATGTTGCACAACACAACAACAATAAACAGAATTGTCCGAAATAAAGCTGCCGAAAAAGCGAAACATGTTCATCATCAGCAACAGAATCAAACATGTCCTCCGCAAAATTCAAGTGGTCCAGCTGGTAATTCCGTTGTAAATGTAAATAATGTGAATAGTGGATCGTCGGCAAATAACAACTCAGGAATCACTGGAAATGTGTCCGTTATCATCCATTCGGGAGCGGTTAGCATTCAACAACAGCAACAGCAACAGCAACAGCAACAGCAACAACAGCAACAGCAGGCACAGCATTCGACCCAAACTCAATTGACAACGGGAAGCGGAAGCGGTGAACAAAGGTCTACCGGTTATAGCATAAATGGAATTTTAGGCATTCAACATACAACCGATCCAAATGGCAACAGCATCAAGCGAAAGCGAATAGATGGTATGTACTACAAACTCTCATTATTGTCTACAATTTATACTTTTTTTTCCTCTGCATATTTTTTTATTTTTATTTTCTAAAGGGAGCATTTTATGTTGATTTTCCAACCTCGACCTAAAATGAAAATCATTGTAAAAACTGGTTTGCGCAATTTTTCGATTGCATATGCAGAAATGACGCTAATCAATTACGATTCCAAATAGCATTGTATTTATGGTTATGGAAATCAATATTATCTGGAATGATGGCAAAAAAATAGAAGATGAAATTTTTTTTACATGCTCTCGACCTGAATTCGAATATTCAGAAAAGATATAACTTTTAAAACAAAACAAAAAATAACAACAAATTCAATGCGCAACAATCATTCACAACGAAAAAGTAGTCTAGCGCTTGTGACACAGAACATAAATGAGTACGGAATGGTTTTTCTCTATCTCTTTACTCTACTTGATGTACAATTAGATTTCAAGTCGACCGTAATTAACGTATACTATTGACTCGAAATCATACACTCGACGGGGTGTTATCCACACCACTCGCTCCCTCTCTCATTCTACCAATTATATCATATCATAAAAACCAGTCGTGGTAACGATTCTTCTGCGCAGCCAATATTCAATGCCATCATCTCAATGTATTAAACACCCACACGCACACACAGCATACTCATATCGTATACATTTGCAAAGCGTTTCCACCATTTTCCTCAATGCTGCTCACGTTTAAGCACTCACATTCTCTCTAATGCTCGATGGCATTTATTCAATGTTTAACAGCCAAATCGTTGCCAAGCAACCATTGTACGATAGATGTTCCGATGGGTTGATCCAATCCAATAAATTCAACTGTAATAAAAGTATGCGTATTCGAGTCCCGTGTGTTCATCCCAGCAACCAAAGTGAGACAGAGACAGAGATTGAATGTGTTTGTGTGTGAGCCAGCAGCGATGCTATTTGTTTGCATGATTTGTATGTGTGTATGTATTTTTGGCCATATCTTATTCATTTTTTCTTCGTATATGGCACAATTTCGAATTTTCCGCTAGTTCGTTCAAACACGGCTTACCAATTTCATTCTTGAAATACACGCTTTTATTATTGCTTAAAGAAGCATAAAGAATCCACTCTTAAACTCCATCCATCCAACCAAAGACACCCATTTTATTTATTTTCATCTGGATCAAATGATATCGACATGAAAGCGTCCTCATGCGATTCTTTTGTTCGTTCCAATTTTTTTTCCACCATTTTTATATATCGTCCGCGTGCTCTTTCGTGTGATGGATGCGCTAAAGCATCGTTGTTTGCCATTTTTCTCTGTAACAAAAAAGACGGCGATCCACTACGACAAGGCAAAGTTTGGGTGCAATTAGGCGATAAGTTGACGATAGATACGCTTTTTTACGGCGCATCATCCAGAATAATTGGTCTTGTTGACATACTTACATTTCGATTGAATGCGTATTTCTTTTTTATCGTCGGCAAAAATAAAATTCATTTTGGAAATACCGTATGATTTATATCCATTATGATGTCTTCGAAACTTTTGACATGATTCGTTTTTCTCTATCCATTTCAGATGACGCACGTGATATTCATGGCGACGATGACTTGAAACGACAAAGGAACCACTACAACGGAGATCAAATCTACTCAAATGTAATTATCGATTTTTTATGTGCAAATTATATCATGTCTGAACTACGTTTAAAAATGAACACATTTAAAAATGAACATTTTTTACATTTACTGTTCAATATTGTTTCTAACTTGTGCTCTTTCCACAACAGCTATGGTCAAGTAAATGGTGTATAAAAGAAGAGCAAAAGCTATTTTCGGAGCTAAATTCAGCGAACGGTATAAGTGGAGGAGGCGGTAACGGTAACTCGGCCGCATATTATGATGGTCATCACAATGGCTTCTCAACAGCGAATGGTGTGGGTTCAACAGAGTCGATCTTGTATGACGGCATCACAACCATTTCACAGGCTCAAAGTTCATTATATACACCGCCTGTTGTGTCGACGCTTGGTAAGCATATATATACATTATACACCAACTATAAACTGAACTAAAGAAAAACAACCTAATCAAGTCAATACTTAATGCAAAAATTAAAAAAAAAAAACAAATTATTAGGAGATATGCTATAGTTTAAATGGTATCAGACAGAATCCTTGTGACCTTCTGATTCAATTTGTGTTTTGTCCAATGTTTTTGTTCCAAAGCTAGCGTTGAATAATTAAAAACGATGTCGAAAATTCTTTTTTTTTTAAATCGATATCCAATTCGATTTCACTTGATTCTTAATGCTATTCCTAAAGTTCAGTTCACAATAAAACAAAATGTAGACGTTTTAAAGATTTAATACTAAAATCGGACTATCTTAAATCAAAAGGACCAGGTTCATTGACACCATTAGCGCCGATAAGCATGCAAGAAATGAAATTAAGTTCGGGAAATTTGCTTGATCATCCATCTTTTCAAGGTAAGAGGTTCAACCTCACAGACACAGCTGCACCCATACACACAATCTCTCCTGGTTTTTAACGTCGGCACATTGCACACCTTACATATTATACTACGATACTCCACCATCTTCAAATCAAAATTCTCAATTTAAGCCTAGAATAAGTGATTCTATTATGATTTTTTTGGTTCAATTTTTTTTTAATTTTATTTTGTTTTTGTTCATTTTTCTTTTCATTTTTAACAATTCGCAAATAAATGAAAAAAAAAACCGTGTAGCAACGATAAATGGTCACTCTTACTCAACATTTATTGGTCCGGTACCAAGCAATGGTTCGCCTGGATTGCCTTTGTCACTAGATAATAGCACACCAACACCCAATCCACCGGTAACCACGACCAGCAACACTGGTGATGTGGAAGATGGTTCAACAACGTCAAGTGCATTGAATAAATATGATCAAGGTCCAAGTAAATATGATCAGTCACAACAAGGATCACAATCACAAGACCATCATCATACACATGATATTGATAATCGTTCATTCCCAACTGAATCTCCAAATGATCAATCGTCGTTGATCATTTTACAGCCCAGTGGAGCATCCGGCGAAATTGGTACATCCAATTCAGCCACTGGGCTTGGTGCTTATTCACCAATGCTACCTAGTTTTAGTCATTATGCACCAGGCAAGTCATTTTTTTAATTTTTTTTTATTATTTATTTTAATTTTATCTTTTCATTTCTTTTCATCGCACCTTGTTTTTTGTTGCTTTCTTTTAGTTTCACGTTAATTTAGTATATATGATTTTTAATTTATGTTAATTATTTTTTATTTCACTTAATCAGGGTCATCTAATCACATGCACGTACGAAATCCTTTTAAGGCAATCACTTCGGCACATATATTTAGCGCACAACCAAAATCTACGCACGCTTATTAAAACACACAAACACACACATACAAAGAAAGAATATAAAATAGTCAATGAAACAAAGAAAAAAAAAGCCAAAATGTATATTGCAATCAATGATACAAAATGCACACACACACACACACACACCTATTTGAAATACGTAAACGTAGTCAATGGGGCTTAGTGATATTTTATATTAATATGACAATCGGGAATTGGATCTCATTTAATTTAATAGAAATTAGCTCAATTTTATGAAATTAACCGCTAGTGTAAGTAGGTTATGGGATTCTGTTTTACACCTAAAAACATCAAATTTTAACTTTCTAACGAATGAATAGAAGAAATTTGTTTACTTCGATTTGCTAATTTCGAACTTGTTTCGTGATTCTTCTCGTGGCAATAGGTGGTTCTTCGGTTGTACCTGGCACTGAATATGCATATAGTCCGGCTTATCCTCAATATGGTAATGCGTACAGTCCGTACGGTTATAGTTCATCTGCTGGCGGGCTGCTCAGTAAGTAAACAGTGAGTATATTATTTGAACAGCGAGATTAATTTTTTTTTGTTTTCAAATCACACACACACTATCACCGAAGAGAAAATCTGCACGTTATGTTTTTTACATTCAAAATTATTTCAATTTTATTATCGAATGAATTTTATTGCTCGAGGATACATTTCAAGCATTTTGAGTCAAAGACTATGACTTTAACCGTATAATTCAATTACTGTGAAAAAGGAAAGAATTTATGAAATGATATTCTCGAATGGAAAATCATTGTTTTTTTTACAATTTTTTATTTGCTTGTTTTGCACAATTCATAGAATTTTCTCGTCATAATTGCACACATTTTTACGACCGTCTCCATTGTGACCGTACACTGGCTGCAATGCGATCTTCTCCACTACGACCTTACATCGAATAACGCTCGTCATTTTATAAGCTTTTCATAAGAATCTTTCATTCACGAACGTTTTTGCAAAAAAAGGAAAGAAAAAAAACTTTCACTCATTTCTATATTGTTTTTTCTATTTACAGATTCAGCCTATTACTACAGTAGCAATGATGGCCCAAACAGTAGCACATTACTAGTCGGAGGAAATAGTAGCAGCGAAAGCGCAGAATTGATAAATGGTTTACATACTCAATCAATAATATCGTCGTCACATGAAATTCGTTCACCGTTGGCCGCAACACGAGCCAATTCATTGGCTAGCGCTGCATCACCAACGGGCAGCGCATGCATAATACCATCGTCCGCACAATCATCAGCAACTGTCTGAAGTTTTTAATTTAGGCAGTGTTTTTTTTTTCTTTTCATCGGTCTGAAGCTCTCTTGTAACTGTTTAAAAAAAATAAACAAACAAAATATATATTAAATGGTATATACAACGAACACACAACAAAACTTCTCAAGGATTAAGGCTCTCAACGCAAATTTATGCAAAGACGCAGACGAACAAAACCGACATAACAAACCGGAAAGCATTTAGCATTACAACTGATCTGAATTATAGGGGTGTTGAAACAAACAAACAAACAAAACAAAAATGGAGATGGTGAAGACGAAGAGAGTTAATATCCATCTAATTGTTGTTATAAAAGAGACGAATCGTAACGATCATTGACGATGATGCTGACAACTTCTATAACATTTTGAAATAAAACCGAAAAACCAATATACAAAAACACTCAGAAGCTCAAAATTAAACGAAAGCTTCACCTGATTTATAAACAACTGAAGAACAAATCAAACAACACACATTTAAAACTCAAACGGAAAACTCTCCCTCTCAAAATGTCATACTCAGAACAAAACATGCAAACACACACAAATAACAAAACACTAGACAACATGGATTCGTACAGTAGAATCCATTCGTTTCTTTTCTAATTCTATTCATAAGTCGTTTTAAGCATATTGATTTATAAAAAAAAAAAAATTAAATAATTATATATATATGGAGAGATATTATGTGGAAGCATTTGGAGAAAATCACGAAATGAAAAATATTCAAACAACAACAAAAAAAAACAACCTTTTTAAAATCAGTAAAATTACATAAATACAAAATTGAATTGAAAATAAATTAAAAAAAGTATATATATATATAGGAATAGATTTACCTAGAGTAATTTACTGTCAGAAATGTATCTAATAGGTGTTTCTCTTGAAGAGAGCACTTTACATTAGTATAATAATGATGAAAAAGAAAATTCGGAACGATTAGGTTTAATACATATAAGGGAGACAAATTATTACAACTAAACCAAAAACTATCCCTTAAGATTTATTACAACAATGATACATCCGAACTCCTGAACAAAATCAATACACATTCTGTTTTTTTTTTTTTTTAATTTAATTTACCAATGGACAAATCGCTTTGATGATAAGCGACACAGCGTATGATTAGACGGAATTCGAAATTACCATATAATTATCGAAATTTAGATCAAAATTTAGCCCAAAAATGTTTGGAAAAAGGTACGAAATTTATTCATTTCAAGTAATTCGAAGCATTTGCCAGCAAAAGAAATCATCGAAGCAAAGAAAGAGAAAAAAATATTTAAAAAAAATTTCAAATGATTTGTATAAGGTTAATAAATGCATCGAACATTTTGAAATATTTATACATATATCGCAAATATGAATCACATTTTTACACAAAGACATATTACAAAGAACATTTGTCTAGGTTTGATTGTTATTAGAATTCGGAACTTTAACATGATCTATGAAGGCACAAAAAAATGTGAAGAAAAACCATAAAATTTAAGAATAAATGATGAAACATTACTGGACTTTGTCTACTTTTAGCATATTAAACAAAGAACAAAATCCATAGAGAAAGGAAAACACACACACGTATAAGTTAGATCTTGATATAATACAAAGAAAATATTTAACACAAATTAAATTAGGAGTAATTTTAATCTAAAAATTTACAAAATATTGTATGTCGAATCATTTTTTGTTGATCGCTCCCAAACAAGAAACTTCTCAATTCGCATGTTTGCCAACCACTTTAGCACTTTAGCTGAATCTCGTTTCAAGGTTTCAACAAACAAATTATTCGATCGACGATATTCTGATTTCTCAGAGCTCTTGAATAAAAAAACACACACACACAAACACACATAAAAACAACATCCGATTTTAAATTATAAATACTATCCAAATAATCTTGATACATCGGTCGGAATTGTTCGCCAAGAAAAAAAAAACGGTTTTTTTTTGTGTAAAATTTATTTATGACTAAATTTTTAGAAATGCAATCTGAATGCAATTTAAATATATAATGAGGATAATGATGAGAATTTGTTGGTTTTATTGGTATTTGTTTTGCTCAAAAATCAATTTCAAATTTATTCGAAATCATCGACAAAAACCTTTCCATGTTTAAAATCTGCATTGCATATGTTTTCTTTTTCTGTGTCACAGCAATGTTTTTTATTGTTTTTTATTTGATTTTTTTTATAATTGAAAGGCTTTTTCTAACCTTATGCTAGTGGATTCAAAACAAATGTCAACGTCCATAAATTTAATGTAATTTTGATGATTTTTTTATTGAATATTTGTCGAGAATTATTTTTTTTTTTTTTTTGTAATTTTCGGACATTTTTTTTTCGAGAAGAAAAAAAAACCCTGAAATTCTCTCAAAATTATTTGAGTTTCTTTTTGTCAAGCAGTCTCGTTTATAACATTTGATCATGAATATCCATCATTTGTGAATGTCAATGATTTAAATTGAAAAAAAAAGAAGAAATTTTGTAGATTACATCAAATGAGATAAATCTCGTTGTTGAAATGTTTTATTAAAATGGCAATGGTATCGTAGAAATACCGCTGTTTGGCAGTGAAAGTGTCATCGACAGTATAGACTTTAGATGGCGAAAGGAGAAATTGTAGACTTTAAAACTACAATCTGCCAAACAGTAGTATTTCACAAAACACTTCATTCAGGGATTTGTCAACGCGGCTTTATCACAATTCCATTCAAAAGCGTTCATTTGGATTTCTAAAATTCTATTCTCCAAAAAAGCAAAATTCCCATTGCAATAAAGACAAAATTAAAAAAAGAAAAAATAAAAAGGCGGCGTAAAAAAGATATAACATTCAGAGAAAAATCGTTAAAACGAACGAAAAAATAATTCGAAAAACCTTTCGACGAAATATTTAGAATCACAGATAAGCGAATGATGAACAATCAAAGAAAAGAAGAAAACAATTTTATATTTGTTTAGATATTAGATATATAGCATAGCTTATATGTATCGATCAATAATACTGCTTTTCTTTTCTATTCATTGTTTATCCCCCCCTTTTTTTATTAATTGAATTAAATCGTTATTATAAGGTCATCTCTTTTTTATAATATCAATATAATAATTGCTGAAAAATTGTAAAGTGTAAAACCAAAGATTAATAAAGAAAGTTTGAAAATGCATAACGACTTTTATTTTAATCGTATTCGGTTTTGTGTTGCCACAGTAACAAAAATCGTTGAAATTACCGTGTCGGTCAAACTACGCTTGCTGATAACGCAGCAACTTTGGACCGTATATAAATACTGACGTCGAACATATTTCTCTCATTTGATTTCGATTTTGTTTGTGTTTTCAATATTTAGTAAACAAAGTTTCAATTAACATTGAGAAGTAAGGTTGCATATAATATTTACTCTATTATTAATATATGCAGTGTTGCGGAAATATCAAAATAATTTACATTCGATAAAAAAATATTTAATTTAACATTTTTTCAGGAATGAAATCATTGAGGTTGATTATCATATATTTGATATGTTTAGCAGTCTTTGCAGCTGGAGAAGTAACTATCCAGGAGTCAGCGTTTATTCAAACAACTATTATAAACCTACCGAATCCTAAAAAATGTCTGTCGCCAAGAAAGTGGGTTCAAATCAATGGAAAACCTAGGTGTAGAATGGTGGATAATATTTCAAAAAATCAATTGAAATGAACATTCATAAACACCAGACAATATATTTAGCTGCCGTCATCTGGATATTTCAGCTCATCTGGATGCCGTCAGCAGATGATGCGAAGTGAAAACAATAGAAGGGATTGTTATAGTAATACCAGTATATAACAAGCTTATATACCTATAACAATCACTTCTATTGTTTTCACTTTGTATCATCTGCTGACGATATCCAGATGAGCTGTAATATCCAGATGACGACAGCTAAATATATTGTCTGATAAACACACATGACAAATTTTGTTCATATGACATTTATATGAGAGAAAATATTTAGAAATAATAATCATTTAAGAACTCTTAACACCCAACTCAACTCTGGAATTATTACATAAAATATTCCAGAAAAAAATTAAATTTAAGGGTAATTATGAAATAATATTTGAAATTATGCAAAACAAAAATAACACAAAACAATAAATTTCTTATGTGAAAAAAATTGCTTATTTTGCCAACTTGTTTTACTCGGTTATTTTCTATGGTATATAATTGGAATGATCGATTATCAGCATTTCATGAAATGCAATGCACGCCAGGTTACAAAAGGTCATCCAAAAATATAACAAAATATATCATCTTGTGCAATAAATTTAATATTTAAAGAACAAAAGAAGAAGGAAAACAAATGTAACGAAAATTAAATTTGATTGCAAACATTTTTGCGATTGCAATGAAGTGAATTTGTATTTTAGCTGCCATACACGAACTTTTTGCGAATGAACGGATCGGAAGTTTGTTAACCGTTTACACCGAGTCAACCAGGGGATTGATTCAACATATGATTCCAAATTTGATGTTGTGATTTCTGCGAATCAAATACTTTGAAGGGCTCACTGCCATTACTTCCACGGATAAACAACTTAATCCGCATCCACCACGCTTGTTTGGCCACAAGCTCTAATTCATCGAATACAAGGTGCTAAGTATTTGTAGATTTCTTTTCGTTCTTCTTGTACTCGATAAACTCTTGCGTAAGCTTGTTTATTTTTTTTATGTTCAAAATGTCCTATCCAAAATCATGAATTTCGTAAAGGGGTAACGCAAAAAAATGTGTTCCATTGAAAATGTAGTAAAGATAATTAGAATCTGTCGTCGTTATGATAAATAAGTTTAATTAATTCAACGAATATATACTATATTTTAGATTCCAAGGCCTTGATGACACATAGCTGGTAATCCAATTGTTCAATACTTGGCAAATAACAAACCAAAACACTATCCAATTTCTCTGAGGATATACAGTACATTGCCAAATGTCGACACACGACCAAATGTCGGTGAATTGAAATTAAAAATTGAAAATTCATTTTAATTGCATTTTTAAAAGTGAATTATGAAAGATCAATATCAAATCTATTTATTATAATCCAAATTTTAATCAAAAATCTGTTATTGCTTTCACAAATCACGTTCAAAAAAAATTCGGCATTTTTATCACTTTTTCACGTCAAAAGTTAAACTATGTCATTTTGAGACAAGCCGGTAAAATGCATTTTTTATGAAAAAATAACTAATTTGGATAAAAAAAATACGTCTGCGAATTGTGAATAGCTTAATTTAGTTATTGAACAGAAATATTGAAAATATAAAGAAAAAAAATTATATTTATTTTTTCATTTTTCACTGTAATATTATTCCGGAATAAATCGTCCAATTGCCGACACATAAAGCACCCAAGTGAAAAACTTTGAAATTGACAGATGTTTCAGTTAAAGAGGTGCGTGCCGTTGCCCCCCCTTATTTTGTACCAAGACAATTTATATGTCAAAATTTGGTGCTAAATTTGTGCTCCACAAAAATACCATTTTTGGAATTTGTGCTCCACAAATCACCGAGCACAAATGGTCCAAACACGAAAAAATCACAAAAAACGTGTTTTTTGTATGGGACATTTTTTAAAGCGGGATTTTTTTGGGGAATTTTTTTTGCAGGGATTTAGTGCTAAATTTGTGCTCCCAAAAAATATAACTTTTGTACACTTTGGTCCCATAGGTTCGGAGCACAAATGGCTCAAACACGAAAAAATCACAAAAAATGATACTGCCTAAAACGATAAAAAATAAAATTCACATATAGCTGGCGCTAAATTCTATGTAATAAGCGTATTCTTTCCACTTAGTCCGTTGCAACGGAAAACAAGTTTGCATAGAATGCAGCGCCAACTATATGTGAATTTTATTTTTTATCGTTTTTGGCAATAATAATTTTCTTATGGCTTCTTTTCCAAAAAAAAGTCCATTTAAAAAAAATACCCGTACAAAAATATCACTTTCTTGGGAGCAAAAATTTAGCACTAAATCCCTGTAAAAAAATTCCCAAGAAAAATCCCGCCTTAAGAAATTTCCCATACAAAAGTCACGTTTTTCGTGATTTTTTCGTGTTTGAGCCATTTGTGCTCCGAACCTATGGGACCAAAGTGTACAAAAATTATATTTTGTGGGAGCACAAATTTAGCACTAAATTCCTGTAAAAAAAAATCCCAAAAAAAATCACGCTTTAAAAAAATTTCCATACAAAAAACATGTTTTTGGTGATTTTTTCGTGTTTGGACCATTTGTGCTCGGTGATTTGTGGAGCACAAATTCCAAAAGTGGTATTTTCCAGGAGCACAAATTTAGCACTAAATCCCTGTAAAAAAAAATCCCGCTTTAAAAAATTTCCCATACAAAAAACACGTTTTTTGTGATTTTTTCGTGTTTGGACCAGACAATATATTGAATTAACTGGTCAGTTGAGCTGACATTACGTTAGCCAGCTAAATGGGCTAAAACAATAGACGTTATTGTTTTAATAGAAGTGATTGTTCATTATAACAATAACTTCTATTGTTTTAGTCCATTTAGCTGGCTAACGTACTGTCAGCTCAACTGACCAGTTAGTTCAAGATATTGTCTGGTTTGGACCATTTGTGCTCGGTTATTTGAGGAGCACAAATTTAGCACTAAATTTTGACATATAAATTGTCTTGGTACAAAATAAGGGGGGGCCAACGACACGCACCTCAGTTAAAGTCGACATTTGGATCATTGTGAAATTCAAACCAAAAATATCATAGATCAGTGAAATAACGTAATATTTTTAAATATTTTTGCCATTTTATTATGAAAAAATAAATAAAATTAAATATGCAGCAAAAATATATCAATCTAATAATTTCAACTTCGATATTTTGTATTGTTTACCTCAATGTATGCGTTGTTAAAGTTGTTCAAGTTTCGCAGTGAAAATTCATGAAATATGTCGAGATTTGGGAGCCGAGAATTGGACGATGAATATCCGAAATTCGGAATTTTCGATGTTACGACGGAAAAATGGAAAATAATAATATATTTTTGGAAATTTCTTTCTTTTGACAAGTGTGAAATGAAGCACAATTAAATTCTGCATGGAATTGTGTATAGAATGATATTTTTAGATGAAAGTAAAAGTGTTAAATATCAAATTGAAGTTGAAAATTCAAACAAATAGTCCGACATTTGGGCGAGTGTCCATATATCAAATCATATTATTAAATTGAAAATTAAAATTTAAAAAATAAAACGAATAAAAATATTGTATGAGAAGACAATTTTTTTTCATGATACCGAAAACGTTCGGTTAAGTGTTGCCAACGTCATAACTTTTAGTGTATTTTTCAGTTTTTGCCGCTGGGATGCGCCACGTTCTAACAGACGCATTAAACAAAACGTTCAATCATACAGATTTTGACATTTGGCCAGCGACATCGACGATAAAGTGTAATTTCCATTGTTGCGGTATGAAGAAGCGCATTTCAGTCGATGTGACATACTCGTACGAGCAATAAGAAGAAAAGACGACCGAGAATATTGTGTGTAATCGGGAAATAATTGGCGGTCGCATTGCACACATCTAGTGAATAGAGTATTTTGCAAGCGAAAAAACAGTTTTTGTGTTGTTTAAGCAAAGAATACAAGCCGTGAATGACTGACATATTTTGTTGAGTTCTTAATAGTGAAATAGTTTTCGAAAAATTGCCGAAATGAATTCCGGCACAATTGAAATTCCGTTGAGAGATACGGACGAGGTAAGTGTGTAAACAATATTGTTTAGTATTAAACAAAGTGACATTTTTTAATTTTAAATTTTTAAACGACCTGCAAATACTAGGTAATCGAATTAGATCCAGAACAATTACCCGATGGCGAAGAAGTGCTCAGCATTTTGCGGCAAGAAGGCTCACAAATTAACACATGGGTTAATGTTGCGGTAAGTGAATTTAATTTTCCAGTTTATGTGTGTCTGCACAGGGATGAAGAGGAAGAGAGAGAGAGAGAGATATGAGAAAAATCTAAAAATATTTACTATTGACATTTGATAATTTGTGTATTTTCTTTTCAGCTTGCCTACTATAAGCAAAATAAAACACAGGATTTTATAAAAATTCTGGAAAATGCCCGAACTGAAGCAAACACCGAATATCGTGACTATGAAAAGGATCAGATGCGAGCGTATGATATGTTGGCCGCCTATTATGTGCAAGAGGCAAATCGTGAGAAAACCAAGGACAAAAAACGTGAATTATTCATGAAAGCAACACATTTGTATACAACGGCCGATAAAATTATCATGTACGATCAAAACCACTTGTTGGGTCGAGCATATTTTTGTTTGCTTGAAGGTGATAAAATGGAACAAGCCGATGCACAATTCAATTTCGTACTGAATCAATCACCGTCGAATATTCCATCACTGTTGGGCAAGGCATGCATTGCGTTCAATAAAAAAGATTTTCGCGGTGCATTGGCTTTTTACAAGAAAGCATTACGCACGAATCCAAATTGTCCGGCAGCTGTGCGGCTTGGAATGGGACATTGTTTTTTGAAAATGAACAACCATGAAAAGGCCAGGTAAATTTCACAAGTTTTTCTATGGATTTTCGTAATTTTACCACATGAATGGATTGATTTTACAGACTGGCATTCGAGAGAGCATTGGAATTGGATCCACAGTGTGTCGGTGCTTTGGTTGGTTTGGCCATATCGAAATTGAACTTACATCAACCGGAAGCGAATCGTATTGGTGTTCAAATGTTGTCCAAAGCTTACACTGTCGATTCAACAAATCCAATGGTTTTGAATCATTTAGCCAATCACTTTTTCTTCAAGAAAGACTATCAAAAAGTGCAACATTTGGCTTTGCATGCATTTCACAATACCGAAAATGAAGCGATGCGAGCTGAAAGCTGTTATCAATTGGCGCGTTCGTTCCACGTTCAGGGTGATTACGATCAAGCTTTTCAGTATTATTACCAATCGACACAATTTGCGCCAACGAATTTTGTATTGCCACATTACGGTTCGTAATTTTTTCTCAGTACCAAACATTTAATTTGTTTTTGTTTTTTTTTGTTTTTTTTTTTTCATAATGCCAAAATGAGAAAATATTAAATGTCAATAATCAATTTCAGGCTTGGGTCAAATGTACATTCAACGTGGTGATGCTGAAAATGCGGCTCAATGTTTTGAAAAGGTGTTGAAAGCACAGCCGGGCAACTATGAAACGATGAAAATTCTCGGTTCACTGTACGCAAATTCAAATTCACAATCGAAACGCGACATTGCCAAAACGCATCTCAAAAAAGTTACCGAACAATTTCCCGATGATGTCGAAGCATGGATTGAATTAGCCCAGATTCTTGAGCAAAATGATTTGCAAGGTTCATTGACGGCATATGCAACGGCCACACAAATTCTAAGAGAAAAAGTCAACGAAGATATACCACCGGAAATACTGAATAATGTGGCCGCTTTGCATTATCGCTTGGGAAATTTAGATGAGGCGAGAAATAAACTGGACGCTGCCATTGACCGGGCTAAGATTGAATCGGAACAAGATCCACAATACTATGAATCAATTTCAGTCACCATGAAATATAATTTAGGACGATTAAATGAAGCGATGTGTGCCTATGACCAAGCCGATCAATTGTACAAAGACATTTTGAAAGAGCATCCAAATTACATTGACTGCTACCTTCGATTGGGTTGTATGGCACGTGACAAAGGTTTGATTTTTGTCGCTTCCGATTTTTTCAAAGATGCATTGAAAATAAACACCGAAAATCCGGACACGCGTTCGCTGCTCGGTAATTTGCATTTGGCAAAAATGCAATGGATTTTGGGGCAGAAAAATTTCGAAACAATTCTTAAAAATCCGGCCACATCACAAGATTCATATTCATTGATTGCGCTGGGTAATTTTTGGTTACAAACGCTGCATTTGCCAAACAAAGAAAAAGATCGTGAAAAGAAACATCAGGAATCGGCACTATCCATTTATAAACAAGTGCTTCGAACCGATCCAAAAAATATATGGGCCACAAATGGTATTGGTGCAGTTTTGGCGCATAAAGGTTGCATCAATGAGGCTCGTGACATTTTTGCTCAAGTGCGTGAAGCTACCGCCGAATTCAGTGATGTCTGGCTTAATATCGCTCACATTTACGTGGAACAGAAGCAATATGTTAGTGCCATTCAAATGTATGAAAATTGTCTCAAGAAATTTTATCGACATAATAATGTAGAAGTCATGCAGTACCTTGCCAGAGCCTATTTCCGGGCTGGCAAATTAAAAGAAGCCAAAACCACATTGTTAAAAGCCAGACGAGTGGCACCACAAGACACGGTCAGTGACAACATTTGTTGAATACTTGTTTTTACTTAAATAATTTACTAAATATTCATATTTTTATTTATCCGTGGCTCAGGTGTTGTTGTTCAATATTGCACTTGTCCTGCAACGATTAGCCATGTTGATTCTGAAAGATGAAAAGTCAACGCTTGATGTTGTGCTACAAGCAGTCCATGAATTGGGATTGGCACACAAGTAAGTTACGCAAAGCTATTCAGCCTGAATTAAGCTTTACTTGTTGAACGATATCAATTTTATTTCTCTTTTTTCAGATATTTTACTTATCTTTCGGTGCATGGTGATAAACAACGATATAACATTGCATTGGCCAGTGTTGAAGCGAATCAATGTCAAGATTTATTGTCACAGGCACAGTATCATGTCTCACGAGCTCGTCGCATCGACGAAGAGGAACGTAATCTGCGTACGAAACAAGAGCAAGAGCGTGCCGCGTTCAAGAAGCGACAAGAAGAAGAACGTCGTGTCGAAGCGGAAAAACGGCGCAAAGCCGAAGAAGAAATGTTGGCCAAACGTGAAGAATACAAAGAAAAAACGAAAGGTGCACTGTTATTCTCTGAACCACCGCCTGAAAAGAAGAAAGGCGCAGGTAGAGGACGTCGCGATGAATATGTGTCCGATTCAGGCAGTGGAGGTGATGGAAATCGTGAAGGTGGTGACGGTGAAAAACCGCGTAAGAAGGCAACTAAAGGAAGAAAGAAACGTGAAGGCAAAGGCGATAAACGACGCCGTCGAGAACATTCGGGTAGCGACAGTGATGCACCTCGAGAAAAACGGGGCCGAAAGAAGGCATCCAAAGGTTCAAGACCAGCCAAAAAAGCCAAGGACGAAGGTCTCTCCAACAAACAGAAAATGCGAATCGTTTCAAAAGCAACTATTTCAACAAGTGAATCAGAATCGGACAAAGACAATGGCCGCCGATCGCGTAGTCGCAGCCGAAGTTCAGGTACAGTGGATTTTATTTTAAAATGTTTTATTTTAATTCAACATGGTTTTGATTGTTTGGAATTCATATTCAAATGTCTGTCTTCTTTCTTATAGGTTCACGATCAAGAAGTGGTTCAGGTAACTTTGTTTTTATATTCACACTTGAATCATATATAAACTCTTTCGATCATGTTTTTGACATTTGATTTTTTTAGGCTCACGCTCCGGATCATCACGGTCACGATCACGTAGTGGTGCGTATATAAAATATATATTTTACGTTAAAATGTTTATATTAAATTCGAAAAAAAAAAAAAATAACAACAAGAATCAGAGTATTGCTCAGCGCTGCTGCCATCCACAGCATATTAAAATATCTTGCTGAAAATGCGTCGTCCGTCGCATGCGAAGTGACGTAGCAGTTTTTACATCACAGCGAACAACAATACATGCATTGTTCTTTATACAATCGTTCGAATGTTTTGAGTCACATAATCGTGAAGAGAACAATGCATGCATTCTTGTTTGCTGTTATGTATAAACTGGTACGTACATTCGCATGCGACGGAAGACGCATTCTCAGCAAGATATTTTAATATGCTGTGGATGGCAGCAGCGCTGAGCAATACTCTGACAAGAATTGTCTCTAAACGAGAAGATTGCAAAAAAAGACTGCGTGAAAGTTATTACTATCAACTTAATTGAAATTTCGGCATCTTTGTTGTTTGTTCGACTATATTTTATTTCCTTCATGATATATTAAAACTGAAAATATATTTTTGTAGGCTCAAGTCGATCACGTAGTGGCAGCCGGTCAAAAAGTGGTACTTACATATTTTTTATCTATCTTGCAACAAAAAAAATCAGAAGAAAATATATGCATTAAAAAATATCAAACATTTTCGTAGGATCACGAAGCCGGTCTCGCAGTGGAAGTGCCCATAGTCGCAGCCGTAGTCGATCTGTCAGAAGCCGAAGTGGTAAACAAATATTACATACATTTTATGCAAACTATCTCAATCTCAAATCCCTGATGACTGATCTCAAATTAATTGAATATTTTATATACATCTTGATGTGTATCTTCACTAAACAATGTCCCTCCTTTACAGGAAGCAGATCACGTTCGAATTCTCGTTCACGTAGTCGGTCAAAAAGTGGTAAATACATATTTTTTGTTTAACTTTTCTTATTAAAATTTTTTTTAGAAGAAAATATAATCATTAAAAAATATCAAAATTTTTTATAGGATCACGAAGTCGGTCTCGCAGTGTTCACAGTCGTAGTCGTAGTCGTAGTCGATCTGGAACACCTGCATCACACCGTAGTGGATCTGTTAAAAGTGGTGAGTGCTAAATTGAATTTCCATTTGCAATTTGAGCGGTTTTAACAACATTTTTGTAAAAAAAACATTAGGTTCTCGTTCAAGAAGTCGCAGTCACAGTAGAAGTAAAAGCAGAAGTAGAAGTAATTCTGGTTCACCGGCAAAACGAAGTGGATCTGGATCAGAATAGACTTAAAACCATGCAAATTGTTCTGTAATACCATTCGTTACTTCAAAATTTTCGTTTTCCGTATTCCAACCAATGTCAAAATTTTAAGAAAAATACACACACACACACACACACACACACCCAAATAAAACGTCTCACCCCTTAATGAGTAGAATTATTTTGTTTCATCAAAATTTAATAAAAATAAGAAGAAAAAACACAATTTACCATGCTTTATTTTCAATTTTCGACAAACGAACATCTTTGGAATAAGTAATTAGAAAAAAAAAACAAATCTAATTTTGAGTTGTGAAATGTTATCCGATGTTTATTCTATTGATACAATAATTTGAATAAACAATATCTAATAAAATCGCATTCGAATGGTACTTAATTTACTATATGGTAATAAATATGTTATATTATAAAAATGTGTACTGAGCTGAAGTTTATTGACTCGTATGCTTTACATAATTTAAAAATAAATACTTAGAAATTTGTGTCTCTTACATGATTTGGTGATGTGATTGGAACTTCGCGGTGGTATTTAATATTTGGAAATTGTATATTGTGTCCGTTGTTCTGAATTCTCGAAATTCGACGAGATGGTTCGATCACAGTGGTCATTGAAGTCACCACTCCTTTTTGACTTTGTGAATAGTCTCTGAATGAAAATTGAAAAATTTATATTGAACATAAAAAAGAATTGTCAACAGACCGATTTTTTAAACCGATTTTTTTTTATGAGAATGTTTGAACAAATTATTTCAGCATTTGTTGAGTGAGTTCGTTTATTTGCTTGATTATAGTAATGAAAGGAATTATGTCGCCAAATAATCTATATTTATATATGAGATGTGTTCGTTAAAAAATCTCTTCTAGCAAAAATGGAATAATGTGTTTCGTTTGATAAATATGTAAAATAACAGTAAAAGTGATTACCTTGTAAAACTATTGCGGTTATTGTTAAAAGTGCCGTTCTTTTTTCTATTGCGATTTCGTCCCGGCCACAGTGAAAATGCACCATAAATAATTGGATTCACGACACTATTTGACATACCAAAGAAGAATATTGCTGACATCAATTCATCGCCAAACTGAAAACAATAATTGAATGGTGTCAACGAACAACATTTTATTGAATCATTTAATAATATTATCAAATTGTTATAACTGATTGTTCGATACTGAATGTGAGACTTCCCACGAGATTTCATCAAAACGTATCATCGCCATGAGATTTTTTAAATTAAATTATCGCATTCTTTCTCAGCAAAAGTCTCACATTCATTCTCGAGCATTCAACTATTTATAGTTTAAAATGTATCGTGTGCATATTTACCCGTTCATCGGGATTCATGAACATAAAAATAAGCATGAGCACATAATACGGTGTCCAGCATATGATGAAAGCAGCCACAATTGCCACCGATATTCTCAACGATTTCATTTTTGCTCGATGGATTAGTCTCTGTCGATTATTCAATTTTCGATCCTGTTCATTTGACGTTTCATTTACTTGAAAGATTTTCTCACTGTCTGTCATCAAATAATGTAAAATAAAGAATATCATTTCATTCTCCGAATCGTGTTCAAACAAAACAAATCGCAAATGCAAAACAAAATTGACTTTCTTTTCAAAACAATTCCCAATTATAACAGATAAAGTCAAATTGCATTCGAAATTTCAATGATCGTTCGTGTCAATGTTATTTTGAAAATCAGATAAAGATAAATCAATTGTGTGTGTGTGTTGAATTTGCGTGACTATTATACTGATTGTGGGGCGGATTTGAAATCGCAAAATAAAATTGGCTGCTAAATCATTTTAATGTTCTTAATTAATGTTGAACAGCAATTATATAATAAAGGGATCCGTTATTGCTGACTCTTGCACTTGAGAGCTCATTAGTAATTCCATGCGATGCTCTGTTACTTTCTATCTTGCACAGAGCGCTCTCTCTCTCTCACCTGTTCATTTGCTCATTTGATTGACTCACCTGAGATTGTTTTTATTGTTGATACATAAGTAAGCAGCAAAATGCCAAGTGGAATGAGGAACATGAACACGAGCGTAAACATTGTATAAAGTTGCTCTTGCCAAGGTGCTGAATATGAACCGTATGTTACGCATTGATAGAACTCTTCAATGAATGGGCCGCGAGTCACCGTGAAAATGTGAAACTTAACATCGTCGGCAAAACAAATGAAATGAATAAAACTCAATTACTAATCACTTTACTTTGTAAATATATGTTAATTATGAAAATTGGGCAATTAAAATGGCAATTCAACTTGTCTAAAAATAGCATTTTATATTGGGAAAAAAATAGACCGAATGGCGAGTAATGCAATAAGATAAAAGAGAACATTCGAATTTATACAGATAGTTCCTTTAAGGAATTGACATTCATACGCAATACTATGAGATAAACAAACACTCAATGATCAAGTTTGGAAACATTTATGGGTATTGAATTGAGGTCTTTTTTCAAGCCGATCTCCAAAATGAAATGCATTTATTGTTATTGATGACAATACACACTTGTTTTGGGTTGGATAATTTTGCCAATCAATAAAACAATATCGATTTATGTCCATATCTGCTGTCATTCTCGATTGAGATTTATCGGACATTGATGGCCTTGAATTTAATGTATTGTTTTCTTTTTCTTTCTATTTGTGCGATGAGAATATTGTGCATTCATATTCATTGCATTGTTTTTTATTTCTTATTCTTTTTGATATAGTTACTGTACATAAAGAAGACTTTTTTCCGAAGAACATCAAAAGGTTTTGATGTAAAGGATATAATGCCGAGTTCAACTGTTGCGATGATTCTCCGAGATAAAGAGAAAAGAAACTGAAAATGAGTGCGAGAAGAGAAAAATGGCGCAGAAAAGTAATTTGTCACTAAAAATGGAACAGAAAGTGAGAGTGTGTGAAATATGTATCCTGGTAGAAATATACAAAAATAATAGGTTTTCTTTGTCAGTCGACTGCTTATATATGCATTAACCTTCAAATTGAATTAAACGTTCAATCAACTTTGTCATTCGGAACCAGCCGGTATTGAATTTAAATTGATGTTGCACACAAGAATGGTTGGTCTTTAAATGTTTTCATTTTTTTGTCTGCTACATAAGAGAATGCACAAAAAAGGGTTCAGATCACTGCATGTGAAATTTTATGAATCTATATTCCGTAAAAAGCTCGTTGTTGGAATTAATGTGAGAAATTACGGAGATGCATTCGCAGTGAAAATGTGTTGAAAATATAATGAAATATCAAAATCGAATTATATACATGAAAATATGAAACAATGTTTTATCAGGAAATGGGTATTTAAATTGTGAAGTATCAAGAGATTTATGCAAACCACGTAACAATCATGTTCTTATGATTGCGTATTGCATTATAATTGTTGCATTGAAATACAAAACCAAAACCGCTCGTACGAAAGAGAAGCGAAACAAAAGAACGAAAGTAACGAAAAAAAGATACCGAGAAAGAACAAAGTGGCGAACAAAAAAATCCAAAAAGAATCGGACGAATCGGGGGAAAGTTGAAGAAACCACAAAAAAAGAAGAGAATAAAACATAAAAAGTGGACAACACACTCACCTGTGGCAGACTCATAATTAATGAAAGAATGTAGGAGCAGATAAGGAGTCGGTGACAACGTTTGGCCATATTCAATGATTTCATAGGATATTTTACAGCGACCCAACGATCAATACCAATCAAAACTAATACATAAGTTGACAAATACAATGCAAACATTTGAAACCATTTCACAAGCTTACACGCCAATTCGCCGGCTATCCATTCCACCGTATAACTCCATGCGGCTTCGCCAAATATACAAAATACAGTCACAAGTAGATCGGCAATTGATAAATGCAAAATTAATGTAAAAATGGCACTCCATGTGTGGCGCGATTTTCGGCGTGTCGATCTCGTCTTGGCTATGTGAAACAGTATGGCAATATTGCCCACCAACGATATGATGCCAAGTATGACCAGTACATAGACACGAATTAATGCAGCACGTGTTAATTGTGGTGCATGATCCACATAGTTACCATTCGACAATGATTTATTTTCAATTGAACCAGCAATCACACTACCATTTGACATTTGATCCATCGCCGTAATTATAGTTAAATTCATCGTTCGTTTTTTCTATTCTTTTCTCTCTGCCTTCTGTCGAACACCAAAGTGGTGATAATTTTCCGAATTTCTCACTTCTCCAATGAACGATGCTTTTTTTCCTTTTTTTCATCTCATTTTTAGTAGTCTATAAAATATATTAAATGAACACACAATGCACTATCCACGATTCATTTTTATTTCTCTTCTATACTTAACAAATTTATTGATGGTGTGGTTGAATGGTGTCATACTTTTTTGTTCCTTCAATTATAAACAACTTTGATGTGTTTGGATGGGGCATCACAATTGCGTGCTAAAAATCTTCTGATGCTTGATATTTTTATACAACAAAAAATTTTCCGCTTGAATAACTGTTGATTTTTTTTCGTCTCTTTTTCTAGCCCGCTTACATGGGTTACGCACTTTAAAATTGACGCTTTGGCGCCAATGAAAATAAAACGATATTGTTTATTGCTTTTTCTTCACTTTTTGGGAATATTTCTTTCTTGCTCTTGAACCATTTCAGTATCTGTTATTTTATTATTTTGATGCTTCACGGCCATGAAGCACTTGACCACTGATATTTCGTAATTGATCTTTGGAAATGGAAATTCAACCAAATTGATTTTTTAAAATCATTTTTTTTGTTTCGTTTTGTTAATTATCTCGTTTATTTACGAACGATTACGACTTTCCATTTCAGTTACCATGTAGTAACACAGTGTATTCAACAGTCTAAACACAGTCAATCATCGACAAATTCCTATTATGTTTATAGTAGCAACAGGATGATTGCATTTATTTGAAGAAAATCACAAAAAAGTGTCTATATGTATATTCTAGTAATTAGCGCAGCTTATTCAGTCGACGAAAATATTGTTTTCTTGTTTCATGCCAAAAAAAATGTGTCTATTTTTTTACGATGTGCAAAATTGTGAAATGAGAGAATATTTGATGCTCATCGCCCGCATGCACAATGCGAACTGTTTATCAAACTGCGTTTGCACAAAGCCTGGCCACTAAAAAGGAACTGCAGTGAGTGTGTGTTCAAGCAGAAAACAGAGACGTGAAGAAGACAACAGCAGCGATACACTGCTCTGCTTGGATATCAGCCGTGAATTTGGCCTGATTAAAATCTATGCGCGGCAAATCGCAATGATTCTGTCTCTCTCTCTGCTTATCTCTTGCGTTGTTTGTTTCTCATTTTTTCTTATCTCGAAATCAGTACTTCTCGTTCTCGATCTCTTAAATTTAAAATGATTCGAATACTTTTTCGCCGAAAAAAAAACCATACACAAAATGATTTTTTTGAATAGTTGGCATTAAAATCGTGAGCCGTGTCGTGTGATGGAAAAAAATCATGTATACACCATTTTTTGTATGTTAACTACTAATTATCTAATACAAAATTGTGCTTTGCACGTACAATTATACCATAGAATGATCGTAAAATTGAGTGTATTTTAAAAAATACTTGTTCTCTCGTATAAATTCAAATAGATCTCATCGAAGCTCTAGTATAGTGCAGGTCGAATGCAACAAAATTCCAATTTCCCAATTAATATTCTCTTTTTTTTATTAAAATTCCGCTTTTTCCGCAATTATCAAATAATCGAACAAAACAAATCGGCTGTCTTTTTCGTTTAAATGCAAACGCCATGAATTTCGAAGACCAGTTCTCTTTAAAATATTACAATTGAAATATTTGTATCCGTTACTTAATTGAAGTCGATTTTACAACCAACTAATCTGCTTAAATATTGATACAAACGTAATGAATTCTAGACGTTTGTTTGCTTGAATTTTTCTTGTCTGAATACGGAAGTCAATTGTACTTGTCGATTGTCCGACAAATATCTCACTGATTTACGATGAATGCATGATACAAGTGAGCACCGTGAATGTTCGAAATATAATTCGGTTGCGCGCATGCTCAAATTAAGTGCAACAAAAAAAAAAACAACGTCAACAACAATAATAACAGAAACGTGCTTTCTTCATTTGCCGGTATGCCAAGATAGGGAAATAAAATGAAATTAAACGCACTAAAATTCGCCCGTTTTGTATATGACCGTCCGAAAATCCGAAGAATGAAAAATGCCGAGCCAAAAAATGAGTATTTTGATTGCAGAAAAAGCATGTAAAATTTTTATAAACACACTTAGTTCTTAATCTGCTCTTTTTTCAGTCATTTTATTTTCAGTGTTCATTTTTCAGTCATGGTAAGCAATTTCACCGGTTCGTGATTTAAATGGGCGTTAAGTCATAAGTTCATGTATTACAAAATTCATGAAAAACAAAAAAAAACATGATCTACTGCAAGCGCAATTCATATATCACGTTGGCCCTACGGTTCAAGTGCCGCAACACCGCTATCAATGCTCGCACAAATATTCATGTTATTCTCATATTCTGACATTATAATGAAATGAAAAGAACGTATGCAAAATGAAAAATCTCATCAGTTCGCAATGTGTCCAAAAAAAAGATCACTAGCCATGGAAATGTCAACACTTGGTGTTGCGTTATTACGATGGCACAAATTGTGTTATGATTTAATTGGAGATTATTAAGTCTAATTTATTGCATTTTAGTTTTTTTTCTTCGCTGTTTCTTGATTCGTATGAGTTGGAGTGAGAATCTGATATCAATAGCGGAGTCAGTTTACCTATCATTTGCTCTTTGAACGTGTCCCGAATGTTTGCTTCTTCAAAAAAAAAGCAACAACATTTTATTCGAAAAATACACAAACAATGCACGCGCGCGCACATCACATTCAAATCAATTTTGCGAGCCAGAATAATCTATTTGGTTTGTGTCATGTATTGTGCACCGCCGTCGTAACGTACACATTGGCAAAATATTAAACGGCCCTCTAACAATGTTGCTGAGACAAAATTATTAAAGCCAAATGTCACTGCGCTGTCTTTCATATATTGTCAACATTTTATTTGATATGTACGATCTTTTCAATGCAAATGAATTCACTCGATGACATTTGCATTTTTATTGACGACCACAATTACATTTTTTTTTTTTCAAATAAAACAGAACATGAACTGAAATCTGCGGCCCCTTGAAAGAAACACGTCTGTTACTGTTCGATCAATTGACAGTTTTTAAATATACATATATGTCGTTAAAAGCCAACGCTTGAATTCATTTGGAAAAGTTTAGCGAGACATCTCTATCTAATTGCAAGTAAATAATTTTTCAATGTTCTCAATTTTTGACTTTAGTAGTCATAGCCTCAGTATGACTGTTCTTTTGAAAGTGGCCAAGAAGATATTGAAATTCATCTATTTTGAAAGCTTTCGAAATAAAAAACATTTTTACATTAATTTTTTTTTATTAAATCAAATTGTTGTGTCAAGAAAGAGTTCCACAATAATTTTTCATTAGAAATAATTGTCTTTAAAATCGACGGAAAATGAAGGAGACGAAGATGTCATTGACGATGCAGCCAGATTTGCACTACTGAAATGATCCTCTTTCATATTTGCGAAACTAGCCAATAAATGTGTGTTCAATATTTTACGCTCCGACGTTAGATATTCTCTAATTCCTATCATGAACTCAATACATACAATACGTTTCGTATTGTAGTCGATTAGAGTATTTTTCAAAGTCTCAAGCTGTGTATATAAACCTGTTAATAGTGTACTTAAGCGTCCCGTAGACGATCCGATGTTTGAAAGAATTGTTACCAGTTCTGCTGCATTGTTCGTCATCAAAAGATCATTAAGCGATGGTTTTGATGACAAAATCAATTTATCTATTGCTGTTCTTTGTCAATCGAATACTTTGATTTCTTTGTTAAATTTTTCTTGCACCTTTCCAACTAATTTTTTCATCTTGCTTATTTGACCGTTAACATTTTTCACATGTTCCTTGTCCATAGGATCGCGGCTCCACAAAGTCAACCAATTTTCCAAAACTTGATCATATTTGATGGCTGGTTTGTAGACAATTGCCTCCAAAATGTCCACATAAATATTTCGAATTTTAACTAACTCGTCGCCAATTGCTAGATTAATCATATCTTTTATACCATCACTTTTTTGTTTCATTTTGAAGGTGTTTGGCATTTTTCGCATTTTTGGCACCGTGTCCATCGCCGAAACTTGAAATTTATTTTGAATTTCATTGATATCGCTTGCAATATTGAGTACGAAATCCAATTGGGGCTTTTTTATTGTCACTCCTTCTTCACTCGCTTTCTCATAAAATTTATCCAGAATTAAAGAAAATGTAAGATCCCCTTCACAGTTGATGAACTGTGTGAAAGTAAATGATTCCAGAAAAATTTATTCGTTTTCAATTCTATTATTTCTACAGATAGCTTACCTGAATGAGCAGTGAAAGGGATAAAAATGATAAAAGTAAAATCGGCTTCATGTTTTCCAACTTAAAATGAAAGTGAAATAGTGACTACAAAGCCTTTTATACATACATATCGTGTACAATGGTATTTTTCTAGGTTTACACGTGCGTCTGATATATCATCACAAAATAAATTGTTAAACATTCCACGCATTGAAATAAGGTTAAAAAAATTATTCGCCAGAACACGGAATATTTCCACTAAAACTAATGAGTCTGAGTTTTTAATGGAATTTCATGTATAACAGCAACACGTAACTTTTTTTTCATCTGTTTAATCGATTTAGACAGTGAGTAATTATTTACTTTTCGAACCGCTTGAAGTGTCATCCATGAGAACATTTTGGTAAAACCTGAATATTTGTCAAAATGAATTATATCAAATTCACAGATTCCCAAATAAACTTCAATGTGTTAACACTGCGAAAAAAAATGTCGCTTGACGAATTTCGACTCCTTTCTTTCGCAGCAAAGAGTCATTATATTTACATAATATAGACAGATGTACGGTGTTTTGTTTCGAATGACTTTCACACAATCTTAATCAATTTGAGTCGTTGTATTCTCAAAAATAAAAGAATGTTAAGCCAAGAACTTTATCATCTCATAATTACTATTGCGATATACCATCAAAATAAAGCACAGTTCACTCTGTTGGCCTCTTTTTTATGGCTTCAACTCTCAATTATATTGTAGATTGTTGCGTGTGCATATATTTTTGTTTTGGTCCATACATGGGCAGTGGATGAGGAGAATGAATTACTCCCTTACATCGCTTTCACGAAATAATTTTATAAAACAGGAAAGTCTCTTCAAAACAGTTATTTAGTAGCTAAATAGTGTCATTCAATGAAATGAGACCTCCCCAATTTCACGAGCGGTACCCATGTATGTCTGTATCCAACTGAGATAAATTTTTTTGATCATAAATTATGTTTCCGTAAAGGATAAAGACTTTTTTTTTCGAGAAGCAGACACGTATCAACATGAATTTTTCGTTAGCAATGATGTATTATAAAAAGATTTTCATCACTTTTACAACATTTTATTTTTAGGGTTCGGGCCAAAGAGGTCATTATACTCGAAGGCATTGCCGCACTGCTGGATATGGCTGGCAATTAATTGCCACATGTATACAACTCTGGCCAATTACAAAATACACTTGTGTTGGCATTTCCAATGAATCGGATTACAATTCTATTTATTTCGACATATTTTTTTTTTCTTGCTATCAATTGATTATTCTGTGCTATAATTTCAATAATTCTCAATTGAATGTAATTGAACGGTGTTAGGGAAGAGAATGAATTTCATTCGTTTATTTATTTATTATCTTTTGCTTTGTTTCTTTGAAAAATATTGTTTGTTTTTACTAATTTTCCGCACGTATAGTCATGAAGGAAGGGAAAATAATTTTCTTTCTGTTTTTCAAGATTTATTTTTAATTAGATTGTTGATGTTCGTGATATCATTAGATGGGAAATGTTAATCGATATATGAACAGAGAAAACTCCTACATTCTAATTATAAAACAAATAACGTTCCTGCACGCAGACCAGTACCAATCTAAAAAAACTGAATAATTTGAGTGTCGTGTATAAATAGGCAATTGTTACATTCAATCATCATAACATCGATGTCAAAATCAGATCTTGTCAAATTCACTATGTTTATGAATATTTATGAAATTATCAAACAGTTGATAATGTGATTTATTATTACGTTGTCATTGACATAACAACATATTAAACTGTATTTTAATTGTATTCATTTCGTATTGACTCAGAAAGCAGTACAAAAATCTATTAGATGTTGCGTGGATGGTCAAAATTCGTAGAATTTTTAAATAAACGAAGAACGAAATCGTCAGTCATAAGCGATTGATACGAACTCATAAGCGGTTTCTGATAAGATTTGTTAAGAAAGCTCAATCAAGTTCACAAGTGCCATTCAATGCTCTGCAATTCATGAAAAATAAATTTGAAGATCGAAATTTAACCATTTCTAATAATGCTTTCGAGTCGCAAAAATTGTTCCAATTTCTCTTTTATTTAAAACACAGACAGAAACCGACATGGAATATCACATTAAAAAAACACTTAAATATAGATATATTAACCGTTAAAGGCAATGATGAGTGTTACTTTATTTGATGTAAATGGTGATATAAATAGCTAGCATATGAAACACCATATTACAACAATGATGAATGAAAATGCTTGTAAATGAAACGACGCAAAAGTAAACAATATTTTGATAATGTCATATTTTCGACAGATCATAAATAAATATAATTAATGTGAACACTGAACAGTTTTGATTTTATAAATAAACTTATTCGATTTAAATGTATATCGAAATATTACATACTTTGAGACTGTTCATTACGACGCGAGATGCGAGAATATCAAAAATGTCAAGAATTCAATGTGAAATATATGTATTCTGTAATCAAAAATTTGTGACGAAAACATAAATACACTGTTAAGTTTAAGATTTATGAATTAATTAAAAACCAAAGAAACGGGCATAATTCTATTTCATATAGCGCTAAAAACATTATAGTCATCCAAATTCAGAGCCTGAATGAGAAATCCTCAATTGTGATTTGTGCAACATTCAAAAACTTAAACCGAATAAAACTCAAAACTGACAGCAAAAATCCAAAGAATTAAGAACTATTTATTCGATTCATAACATATCTTGATTTCGTTTGTTTTGTTTCGCTTCTTCACAAAAATTACAAAATATATCGACGCAACAAATTCACTACTTCGATGATCGAATTATGAGTTCTCGCGTTGTTATGTTGTGAATATTATGTTAATTTAAAATTATTATTATTATTATTATTATTTATTGCTTTTTACGTCTACTTAAATAAGCCGACGGTTGAGATTAGTACAATTTTTATACAAATAAATTTTTGGAAAGTAGTTTTAAAACTCTAGCTAGTTTAAATGAAAGTGAGTATAAGATACAAGTTCAGTTCAGTTTCGTTCAATAAATCTAATATTACGTCAGTCACAGTTAGTGTGTAAATTCTTTGTAAAATAAACACAGAATCAAACATAACATTTTCTGTTTTCATAACCCGCGAATCGTTTTGCAAACTGTCAAACGTCATACAATTTTTTATGGGAATTTGCAATTTTATTCATGAAATAACAAAAACATAAACGTTTCGAAAATATAAATTGTTCTTTATTGGTATTTTATGCCCATACTCAGAACACCAGCTGCTCCTGCAGCCTGTGGACCTTGTGCTGCAATAAACAACACAGTTCCTGAAGGAACACTGGCTTCTGTCACACCAAAGCCCCAGTTATAATCAATCCATCTAAAACTAATAATTATACAAAATGATTTTGATGGGAGGGTAGAACATCCTATCTAGTATATGAATTTAAGTTGCAAATCTACTGAAACCGTCGTTTGATAAAGAGGGATGTCAATTTTTCATTTAACGAGTGAGCTGGGGCATTTTTATTTTGTACTCCTGATATTTTCTCCATTTGTTTACACGTGAAGTGGTACAAAAATGAAAATGCATAAAAACACTGGCTCAAACTTTTTGGCATTGTTCTTTATTAGCTGCATCTTATCAGATTAATAAATTTAAACCAAATACGAAGTTAAAAACAGTAACAATAAGTTTATTTTTTTTATCCATTGAACTTGATTGACAGATAAAGAAAGAGCTATTGTAGCTGTGATCTCCATTGCAGTTCCTTAATGTCTTCACTTTTATGAATTCCTTTTAAGTTTCATTTGTCAATTTCTATAAAAAAAATATTCTTCATTTATAAAAACATACCGAATAACCGACTCAAAGATTCAGTTTGCAAAGTCAGTCAACATCGTATTGCATCGTCTTTTGACATCCCATATATTTGCCAGAAAATGTAACGTAAGTCTTTTCGCGATAAGAATAACAATGAATATGAAAGAGATAATTTCTTTATTGAACATTTTTTCGCCTGGAAAATTGAAAATGGAAAAAAGTTGTTAGTCTAAGATAGAGAATGTGCCTGTGCCATTTATTCAATGATGAAGATCAAAAAAGTGTTGAATAGCAATGAGTTCAAACTTTATTATTATTTTATCATGTTTTGTTGTCTATTTACATTCAAAAGAATAATTCTTCTTCTTTTTAGAAATATGTCAAGTGATTTTTAACATCATTTATTCTTTTTCTATAATTCATTATAAACTTTGCAATTTTGTTATAATGTTAAATAATCAAACATTTATTTTGACACTGTCAAAAATTGTATTCGAATAAATCCTTCCAAATAGGATTATTTCGGTGAAATGTTTTTTTTTCTTCATGAAATTGTCTTTCAATAATTTATTTTTGAGTTAAGAAAAATTGTGTAAAGTCAAAGATTTTATGTTTGTCAAAATAAAAAATATAAAAAAAAAATAAATTTGGCCAAAAAAATAGTGGCCGCTATAAATATAGTATTTAGCTGGTTTGTTTCTGTTTTGCATGTATTTTGTCAGTTATTTGCCATTGCATCTGAAAATATGCAATTTAGTATACATAAGTTAGTGAAAAATATAAATGCGAATGATTATTGAATAATTTATTGAGAAACAAGATTTACCGGAATTTTGTGAGCCCATTTCATCGGCGCTGCTTGCATCCGATGAATCGGTTGATGGGAAGAATTTGTCATTGGCCACCGGATTGGTCGATGACACGAACGCATTCATGCCTGGTGACATGTCACTTCCACCGCTACTTTGTACAGTAGCTGTAAGTCGTGTCAACTTTATATGAAATGGACGAGCCAGATTTGGTGTAAGGTTTGTTCGTGTGCCATTCGGCCGTACAGCATCATGATCATCAATGTCCGACGTAATATCATCGAAACCTTGTAACTTCAAATACTTTGCCGCCTTCACAAAATCATTGACCATAGACGGTGCAATTGAAACAATGCCCGTATAAATTAAAGCAAATATCTTTCGAACGATGGAAGAGTGCATGTTTGACAAACAAACTGCAAATCGAAGAAGAAAACAACAATGAAAAACATAACCTATTTCAGTTTAAAATTGTAGCATGTTTCACTTACTGATATGGCCGGGTCCCTTGTGCCGTTTGAACAAATCACGAAAGTATACGGAGCACATTGCCAATAAAATGCGATGACTTTTTATCTCTTGGCCATCTTCGGTTGAAATGGTTACGTCCGAAAATTCTGAACTATTGTAAAACTTCCATAAATCCGAAACGAATCCTTCCCCAAATTGTTTCCATTCAATTTCCACCTGTTCTTGGTCCATGTTCATATTGTTGTTTCGTTGTCCCGAATATTTCAATTTGTACCGTCACGTGGTTATGCTGCGTAATTCTCAATGAATACTAAGTAACAACGAGTGTAAAATGTGTCGACAAGCAGTGTGAGAGAATAAAAAGTGTACGTTACAGCATCCAGCTGTCAATAGTGTGAATGAAGTTTGAATATGATCTACCAAAATGCGAACTGTCAAATGTGATTTTTCATTATATTTTCTATATTTCATTTTAAAATGGTTTACATTCTTATTGTTCACTCTTTTGAAACCGAATTTCTACAGACTAGATGAGCATTCGTTCTTTTAAAAAATCCTTCTTTATCCTAGTAATAAATTAATTTGTTCTAATATTCAGTTTTTGCGTTTCGTTAAGTAACTATTTGCTATTGTTTTCAATCAATTTGAGTGGCTAATCGGTGGTAACTATGAACAATGTTTCGTGCACAAAATATAAACGGTGATATGGCCGCAAATAACATTCCAAATGCTAACCATGGTCGTAGTACTAACCAACAAAGTGCAATCAAAATGATGGCCAACGAAAATGACAGCAATACATTGCCATAAAGTGGTTGTTCTGGATTTGGTAAAATAATAGCAAATAAACGAATATCGCCCAAGAACACCGTTAACAATTCCGATGTGCATATCGTTGAGAAAAATATCAGCACCCAACCGATGAACCGGAGTGCCCATGCATGTAATTTTCGTTCGTAATGTGCCGCATCAAATGATTCTTCGATGGTATGACGACCAGGTATTAAAATTAGTACCGTTGAATTAATACTAGATACGAATGGCACCAGCAAACCATCATCATATTGAGCTATGATTGTGTACTGAAAATTGAAAGAATATGTTGTTGTTTTTTTAATAAATAATCTTCGTTTTTTTGCGATAGAGAAAGAAAAAAGATGATCTACATACAAAATTTCCTTCAATTCCAGCTGTCAAGAATTGCAAACGAATGTCACCAATTTCTGGATTAAATACATTGTAACAATGATAATAGAGACCTGAGTGCAATTTAACCGATGGATCTTCTGGTCGAGTATCTGACGTTATTTCGATGTAGTCATTGATTTTTGATTTTGCATCTGGGCCCAGCTCATAATTACCGATAAACACATGATTGGCCGTTTGAATGCGATTTTTTATTGGAAATTGTTTTGGATTTTCATGGCCCATTCGCATGTGAAACAATGACGAATCAACCAAATCGTCTCTCCAATCTTGTGTATAATAATAGGTTTTATCATTGCTGTCAATCGTATGTATACTCTGACCAAAGCCCGGATCTCTAAATATCATAGAAAGTTTTGTTTTAAATAAAAAATTGTGTTGATGCAAAAGGATATTCTGGTTACTAACACTGATTCTTCAATCCATTGGTACATTTGAACGCGCCGCTTCAGTTTGACCGCCTGCACTTGGATGTTATAATCGGGTTCGGTGAGCGGTTCGTCTGTGTATAATCGTGCAACAATGTGAAGAAGTTGGCCACTTTTTGCTTTCAATTGGTTTTCATCAACTCTCACACTTTTTACATTCGATAATGCCTCATCTAATGATACAATTTTACGGGCCGTTCGTCGCTATGAGAACGCAAAAAAAAACCGGATACATAAAATTACGGTAGAGAAGAAGTGAAATTTATCATCCAAAAAATCTACCTCATTTATATTCAACACAAAAAAGCCGGCAACGAAAAGAATCAGACCAAAGATGACAATCAACCATGATTTTTGAAAGTGCTCAACCAGCAGATGTTTTCGTTGAGCCCACGAAATATACGAAACGGGTCTAGACATTGTTTTAGCTATATTATTCCTTACTTACATCACTATATGAAATAAAACAAACATGAACCGGGCAGCACAATTTTGGAAAAGGAAAAAAACCATTTACCGGGGGAAAAACCATTTGCTTTGGGCCAATATCGAAATGGAAATATCCCGAATCTAATTTCCAATGTGTTGTTTACGAAATATAAAAATTCAAGTTGTCATTGATGAGCGAAACGTCATTTAGACCACAGAAAAATGAGTGCGTCTCATGCATACGCATTTATACTTTAATGCATCTATTATTGGAAGCGGTAAATTCGGTTGAAATGTTTTTATTTTTGCTCGCATGGAAGATTTGAAATCAAAGTTTATTCACTATCAATTGGCTATCAGCACAATGATTTGATATAATATTTGTTGTTGTTTTGTGTATAAATGTTCTGTTGATTCTGGGTTATAATTTAGAATTTACGGATTGTGAACATTTTTTTTATTACTTACTTCAATGGAACTTTAGATTTAAAAAATTATACACATTTGAAAAAGTTAGAGTAAATAAACACAGATAGCAATCTGTGAATGATATTGACTTTTTTTTGTTTGTTTGTTCGCACAGTGTTGTGCACTGCAATTTGAGCAACAATCTCGACGTAAGTTGCCGACATTTACGTGGAGACGATATATATGACGTAATTCATAAATTGAACAGGTTTTGAATCATCGTCATCATACGGCTGACAAACGTAAAACTATATTCTATTTTTTACCTGTCCAATTTGTTTACATGCACGATATTGAGCGAGTTTTTTACTCCGCGTGTATACATATACTTAAACGTTAACCAATAGATTAGAATGTTTCAAATGATTTTTCGATGTTGTGAAAGACACTGTGTATAATTGTGTGCAAACAGAAAATTTACTGCCAATCGTCATCGTTGCCATTATCTATCGCAAAAGGCAAAAGAGTCTAGCACACGTTTTTCAGCTGGTCAGCCGATTGGCAATTTTTTTTTATCAGTTGCTTTCTCCTTTTCTGTTTATTATACGAAAAAAAAAAAACACAGCAAACGCGATTGAGTTGCTTATATTGAAGGGGAAAAAATTGACGAATCGGTTTAATTATCGCGTAAGAAAAATATAATCGTTTCGAACTAAAATAAGTGATGAACGTTTGTCGTAACATTTGGTTGCATCTAGAAAATTGCTCAATGAAGTAAAGCATTGCACAGTTTTCAAGAAAAATCGGTCATTTTTGCACATTTGCAATTGGTTTTGACTTGACTCCTTATTAGACTAAACGTTCATTTCATTTCTTTGCAATTCATTAGATTAGACAATTTTTTGCATTCGTCAAAATTTCATCTCCATTTTTTTCAATCAACTGTATAATTTTTATTCGTTTTTTTTTTCTACGCAATTTTTTTTCTCGTTGACATTTCAGTCTACCAACTGTAAAAAGAACGCAACTGATAATTGAGCGAGGATCTTAACAGATGCTTAGAAAGTAGATGCAGCCAAAAAAAAAGAGATCAACCGTATCTCAGTCAAATGGTTCAACTCGAAAAAATCGTTAAAATATAATTAGCAACAATCAAAGCACGACTATCAACCGTTATCAGACGATGAGAAACAGATGTACTATGTGGAAAACCAAATCCCTACTCGTTGTGTGACATTCTTGCATGTGTTTGCTTACATATGAATTACGCGATACGCTTCATACACATCGTGTACTGTAAAAAGAAATACGACAACGACGAAAGAAGAAAAAGAAGAAGAAAGAAAAAAAAACAGCGACAGCACAAATCATACACTGTAACCCGAATGTGAAATGTTGCCGTTTCAATTTGAATTTTAGTCGGTAAAACGAATGAGTCTGACAATGATCGCATTTTTGTGCTAAGGAATCGCGCTATCGAACACTGTCCTCATACACAGAATTTTTATTGTGACCCCACATCATCGTTGTGCAAAGAAAAACAAAAAAACAAAACCCTACGATAATCGTCAAACAAAAACAAAATCAGATAAATAAACGAATGACAATATAGAAGGCTCCGCTCTCTCTTTTTCTCACTCGCACATATATACAAAAAGATTCTGAACTAAATTAAATGTGAAGTGAATTAGTGCGTTATTTTTAGTTCGTTTTGTTAAGAACTGAAAAAAAAAAACCGACAACGACGAATGTACAATTTGACCAACTGACGGTCATTCGCTGTATAATACACGTGATAAATAAACGACACCAAATCACCGACATCAATTCGAAGAATTTTATTGATAACATGCATGCTCACACTGCGTGTGATCGATAAGATTGAATTGGATGATAAATGATTTCAAAAAAAAAAAAAAAATAATGTGTCACCAGCGAAGTTCAAGCAACAAGTGAAAAAAATTCGAAGTGACCAAACGAAAAGTAAAAAAAAAATCATATCACCGTCATCACATATAATTGCTATTAAAGTCGTCTTCTCAATCAAAATCAGCTGATTCATATGTTTAAATTTTTGTTGCACAAACGATGAAAAGAATGCCCTGTTGAAATTTTCATTAAAATTATTAAATTTTTCAAGAGGAAGAAAAAAAAAAACAAATGAACATAGATCTCGGTGTGTCAATTAATTATTTAAAAAAATTTAATAAAAATTAAACACATTTTTTATGCTATATGATTTTGTCATATGTACACACAGGTTGCAGTTTTTGTTTATTTGAAGAAAGAGTGTGTGCAAGAGTGCAAGATTGTAAACACTTCCTATTTACAAAGAAGCAAGTTTATCGTTTGATATTACACCGAAAACACGCACACAAACATACACACATCGTGTACACTATCAACACATCGAATCATAAATCAGCTTAAAGAGCAACTAAAAAAAAAAAAAAGTGGCCTATGATTTTATTAGTTCGGTAATATTGTGATAAATGAACGTGTCTTCAATTCGTACATACATTTAATAGAGAGTGTCTATGCATCCCGATTGATTCTGAAATTATATCGTGTATAGGAAAAAAAATGAAATTTAAATATAAATGAACCGTATAGCGTAAAAAAATATATATATGAAATAGACTATAGAGAATCAATTGACGCCATGAATTTCAAACGATGACTGACGAGAACAAGTGAATTATTTGAACTTGTATCCATCCGTGTTGTTTTTATATAAATATATATATATTTTGCGATTGCTAATTCGTGCAGTGTGAAAACACATTATAATTGCATCGGCGTGGTCGCTAACGCAAATTCAACAATTACTAGTTTACATTTAAACAGTCGCAATTGCAAACGAATTTTTATTTTTTCGTGAAGAAAAAATGTATTTCGTTTGACATTTGCATTGACTTGATATTTGGAATTGAATCAAATTGTGACAAAACTGGACACTGTGTTGTCGTTTTCTATTGTTTACATTGTGTAAAAAAAAATTCAACGAATCTACGATCAATATACAAATTACAAGCAGCTACACAAACAAAAACAACAAAAAATTAACATAATTTTTCGAGAGCGACTGCATTCAAACGAAAAAGAAAAAGATATAAACACACAGAAAGAAAGACCTTGACCAAAGCATTACATAAAATTTCAACAATAATTGTTGATCGGTTGTTTTTTGAGTGAATACGCCGATATTTTATTTGGCACTGCTAAATATTACATGATTATTTTATTTATTTCGGACAAATATCAATTCATCGATAAATTGCGAAAGCGCGGGAGATACGCGCTTTCAGAAGACATCATTTCTGTTTTGGCATAAATCACCCAACATACCGATCCGGATCATCACGTAACAGTTTAAATTGTTGTGTATGTGTGCGTTTATGCAAAGCGTTACAGCTGTTCATCAATAGACGATAAACCAAGTGGTGTCAACAACATACCATTTTTTTGCGGCAAATAAAAAAAAACTACTCTACATCTTTTTTTGTCGAGAAAGAGTAAAAAAGGAACAACAAAAAGCGAAAACGAGAAGGAAAGAGTGACCAGAAATAAGTATATCAACAAAACCGAAAGCAATGGATTCGATTACAACGACCAATACGATTTCACTGAACTGTGACATTGAATTAACAAACAAAGTACTGAGCCTTCATGCAAAGCATTTTACGCGACCCCATGAAAATCATAGCAAATATGAGCTAATATCAAAAAGGTATAAACAACTACATGTTCATTCAAATAAAGTTTTGGCTGTTGGCCGGAATGACGAAACACCTAAATCACATGCACGTTCATGTTCACACTTCCTCGTTTTGTCCCAAAAAAAAACACATCAAAAATAGAATTCATGTCTTTCTTCTCTATTCGAGTGACATTTCGCGCGAAACAAGAAAACTCTTTCATTCTTACGAATTAAACAGAAAATGAAAACGAACCGAATTTTAAAAGACGATTGCAAAAAGCAACCAGGAAAAAGTACGCATTCTGTAAACAAACTGTTTTCGAATTCGAATCATGCAAAAGCAACACGAAAAAAAAAAACAACAACAAACTATCAGTGTAAAATTGTACAAGCAAAGTAAATAAGTGCGAGGTATACATTGTAATGTTTCCTTGTTTCTTTCGATTTGTGTGACCATCACTGCGGTGCATATTTACAATTCGAAAATGTCAGCAGTGGATAGCGTAATGCAAACACAAAACGAAAAAAAGAAAATATTAATTTCAATTAGGCGTTAGAAATTCTAGTCGATGGTGTTTGCGTGTGTGTTTGTCATTGCAATATATTATACGATACACAATTTTTTTTTCTTCAATGAATTGACTTTTTTCTGTGCTTGTTCGTTTTTTTTTTCTATACAATTTGTCTTTCTTTTTGTTTCATTTATTTTTGTCTGCAGTTGTCAAGATCGTATCAATGCTGTAGTTAACATTGCCATAGACCTAATATCCTATTTAATAAATTTATGCGCATCGTTCGGCTGGCAAAGTGCACACACAATCTATTGTGTGAAATTCATTCGACTTAATCAACGGGCATTGTTGCACCATTTGAAAAGCATTCGCTTAGTTGAACACATTAAATCAATCGGCATCGATTTGATCAAAAATGGTATTTATAATAATTTTTTTTTTGATATTTTAGTTTAGTTTTTTTGATTTTTAATGTGATCGAATGCATGTAACACATTTACTTTTCATTTTTTTTTTTTAGCTCAATGGATATTATATCCAATCGTATATATGATGAGGCGGAAGAGCCACTTTGATGGAGAAATTGACAACGGCGATGACAACGATGGCGACAGCGACAACTGTGAAAATGCGTCTAACGCAACGAAATACCATAGCAATAACAGCTCCACCAATAACAATAGCCATAATAGGAGTAATGATACAAATAATAATAGCGATAGTAACAAAACCATAACACAAAACGATGACGATGCGGACGAAATTGATAATGTTTCGTTGGAAATTTTATGGGAACCAAAATGTGGCTCACAAATAACAGCCGATGTTGTTTTCATTCATGGTTTACATGGTAAGTTGAGAGTACGCGCGAAACGCGTCACCTCTTTCTCTTTCTCACTTGGCTTGCGTGCGTGTGTGTGTGTATTTCGTAATTCAATATGCGCATTAAAAGAAAAATATATAATAAAATAATTTGCATTCAACTGCAATTCATAAACTAACTACGACCAATTTATCAATAATATAAATTAAATTCACTCAATTATCGCAAACAGTTATATTGCGCCAATGCATAGAATGAGATACGTACTTTGAAACCTTATACAATATATGGACAGTATGTACACATGAATGCTTTTTCCATCATATGAATGGAGGCATCATATGAATGTGTGATACCATTCTCTATGCTGGTTCAATCGCTGTTTTGTTGTATTATTTTTATCTGCTGGTGAACAGCAGCCATCGATAGCAACCATCGAGCACTTCGATAAGTTATATATTATTGGTGAAAAGTTTTTTTTTGTCTGATTATGGTTTTTCCCATTAAATATATTCGATTGTATAGGATCGAGTGACAGTACATGGAAACAGGGTGAATGGGATTATAAACCGCAAACCGCAAACGATAATTTTATACAAATCACACATCATGAACAACATAATGACAGTTCAAAGCATCAACATGATACGCATCATCACATACAAACCGATGATAATACAACAAACGCCACCAACAATAACCATTTTAATTCGGCAACTTTGGAATCATTATCACAATGTTGGCCCAAAGATTGGCTGCCCATTGATTTTCCAACAGCACGCGTATCAGCCATCAATTATGACACCGATCCACATTTATGGCGACCCATTTGGTATCCAAGTCGTAAACGTTCGAGCCTTGCGATTCGTGCAATGAAAATGATTCGCATTTTAGTTGAACATAAAATCGGTGTTAATCGTCCAATTATCTGGGTTGGTGCTCATTCCCTTGATTTATTCATTTTTCAATCATTTGTTTTTTTTTTTTTTTTTTTTTTTCAAATCAAAAATTAATTATTATTTTTGTGATTCTCCCTCAGGTTGGCCATTCAAAGGGTGGTTTGTACATCAAACAGATTATCGTTAATGCACACGAATGCAACGCATATTGGTTATGGAAATCATCAAGTGCTGTACTTTTTTATTCGGTGCCACATCGTGGATCACCGCTTGCCGAATTAAATTTGCCATTATTAACGCGTTCCATTGAAATGATTGAAATTCAAAAAAGTAAGTAACAAACAATTTCTTGACAAATTTAAATGTTCTGATGTAAAAAAATAGATAACTTATCACTTTTGGTTTCTTCTTCTTCTTCATTTTTTTATCGCTGCTTAGATTTTTCCACAATAATGGACCTTCATAGAAGATTCGTGGCATTGTGTCGCCGCGGAATTCTTAATATGGATGTGTTTAGCTTCATTGAAATGAAATTCACTGAATTATCGGTGTTCTATTTACGAATAATTGGCGTTGATTCAGGCGGTATGTGTGTTTTTTTCTGCAACAATATTCATTTTTAGCTCAATTTCTTGTTCGTATTGCAGATCCGGGTATTGGTCGCGTAGCAAAAGTTCCACTGGACCATTTAGACGTGTGTAAGCCTCGAAATCGTGACTGTTTCCTCTATCGTCAATTGGCAAAAATGATTAAATGTGCGATGCATGCACACACTCGTCCCATACTTAATGCATTCGATGCCGATAACTAGAGTCTATCTATTTAGACAGATGAGAAGAGAGAGAGAGAGAAAGAACAATTCTTTTGCTTGTCAAATAAAAAATTGTTTCTATACTTTGTTCATTATTTAATAAGTATTGACCTCCGTTTATGTATATAAGTATAAAGTGCAAATTTAGTAAATATAATAAGTGTTAAAAAAAACTCGTCAAAAATAATAATAAAAAAAAGAAAATTGTGTTATTTTGCCTCAGGAGATTCATTAGCGAGTTCTTTTTTTTCTTGATTAATTTCTTATCGCACATGCAATTCTTCTTGCCCTGCTATGTTTTCTAATCGCACACTCTTTTTTATTATTTCATACAACATCCGAGCATGATAGCAAATTAAAAGTTTTATGAATATGTATCGTACACGTGTGACATCATTTCAAAATTGTATTTGTCTATGATTGAAAGCAGCCCTAAAGCGCAATCAATTTTCAATCCACTGTCATTCAAAACGATTGAACGGGCCATCGTGCAACCGTGCAATAATTTTATTAATTTGATCTGTCAATAAAAAAATTATTTATTTCACTCATGCAATGCAATCAGCCAATTTTTCAATTATGTACGTTCCATCAGACAAAAGATAAACACGTTTTAGGCACTACGCTATTTTTCTATTCTATTTCATCCACATTTAATAACAACAATTTAGTTGGGCTATTAATGAATAGCCTACGGTTGCCATTTTACAAATGGCTTATGAGTGAAGATTGCTATTTTGAAAAGCATAAATATGTTTCATTTGCTCATTTATTTTTAAAACCAAATTATTTTTTTTATTACTCACAAATGCTTTATTTGAACAACATTTTATGAAAACTGTTGAATAATAATTAATTGGTGATTTTTTCGTAAATTTGAAATAAAACCAATGACAAAAAAAATGTCAACATTCTGAGGAATAATATGCTTTTGCCAAAAATGATTTATGGTTTAATTTCATTCATTAAATTAATAGCAATTATTTGGTCAACCTTTTTTTAATTGTGAGAAACAGAGCATATACTGAGCATAGATATATATCCGGGATATTTTGTGAGTATCCGATATTTATCGCAGCCAGACATTATAATGGAGTGAAAACAATAGAAGTGATTGTTATAGGTCTAAGTATAAAACCATTTACATTACTACAATCACTATAACAATAACTTCTATTGTTTTTACTCTATTTCAAAGTCTGGCTGAAAAAATATCCAGGATATATATCTATGCTTAATATATGCTCTGTCTGAAAATATGGATAAATATTTTAAAATTCGTTTACGTAGATACAAGACAAGTTTATAAACTCGTTTAAATGAAAAAAAAAGTTCGAATTTACAATGTTTACCAAACCGATTGCATTGAAATGGACAAAACTAAGAAATGCTGTAAATCAAATTTAAGACGGCATATTTTTGAATTAAATGTTTGGTTATTTTTTCTTAAATAGTTCTGGATGACATTTAAGTATTCACGATTCGGAGTGTAAATGAATTTAAATGGGAGTCTGTGTGCATACATCCTCTCGTTGGTTATTTTTTGTTTTCAAAAGTGGGCTTTCTTTTGGAAAGTGCCTTTTAAATACAATGTGATCAATGTGACTGATTGATTGATTGATTGCGTAAAACGCAATTAGAGAGTAAAATTTTGAATTAAAAACAACCATTCCATCAAAGTGTCAATATGTTGTAAGACCTTTGCAATAACACAAAAAAATCGTTTGTGTGCAAAAAGATAAGATCGAATCGGAGCAATATAAAAATTTCAAAGTGATGTGTGTGTGTGTCGTTTTTTTTTCGTCTTAGGCAGTTTTGGCATTTTGTTGTAAATCATACGCTATATGCAACTACATAACTACCGACTAAAAGAAATAGCAAATATGGCCGTTTCAAGTGGTAATCTATCTTTTAAAGCAATAAGACACCAACATGGTTTTATGTGCTAAGCATATTTAATCGGCAATTATAATCAGAAATTGTATTTCTCTCACGATTTACGCCCTACTCCATTCAAAACAATCTTGTTGTTTATCTTAGCTTTTTTTTTCTCTTTCTCGATTCCAGTGAAGTAAAAAAAAAATCTCATTCAACAGAATAAGCAATAGAAATATAGCAACATAGCACACCGGTGTCTGGTTCAGTTATATACTTTTTTTTCTCTCTTTGGGGGAATAAAAACTCTCAACAAAGTATTCGAATAGTACAGTCTTGCAAATTGATTCGACACCAGAAGTGTTTGTGCGTTTTGAAGTGCGTTCCAATTGAAAAGTGTACAAATCCCGTCGTGGTTTTGCACGTCTATTCATTCTTCTTGTGAATTATTACGTGCAAATGCGAATGATAGTGTGTGTGTTTGTTTGTCTTTTCAACATTAGTGTGGCAAAGAGCTGAGCAAATAAATCTCTTGATTTCAATTGTTCAATTGAACGTGTGTGCGCGTTCATTACACTCTAATTGAATGTTTCGAGCTTGCTGTTTGACCTTTGACTTTTTTAATATCAAAATTCATTTAGCTTTGCTCTTTTGAAAAAATTTCAAACAATTGGCACTATTTTCCGCTTGATTTTTTTTTTGAAATTGAAATCAATTAAAATGCGATATTTCATTGCGGCCGTTTCATTTTTGGTAATGATTAATATATGTCGTTACTTTGTAAAACAAAAGAAAGCAATCGCGAAAATCATATTTTTTTATTTTCTCAAATAATAGATATCCGTATATTGTGTACCGTATTATCAACAACCAATATTTGCTCCGGTCGTCCAACTTAACAATGGATATACGATGCCCATCGTTGGTCTTGGCACTTATTCGGTAAGTAGAGATGATGATTTATCGTCGTAATTGGTGATTTGAACGTTGATTGGGACTTAAATTGATTTAAATCATCGTGTCTAGGCAACGGGCGCACAGTGCGAACAAGCGGTGAAGGATGCTATCGATGCTGGTTATCGTCATATCGATACAGCATACTTGTATGGAAACGAACGTGAAGTGGGAAATGCAATTCGAGCAAAAATTCAAGAGGGTGTCATCCGACGTGAGGATGTTTTCGTAACAACAAAGGTTTCATATAACCATAGTTAAAAATAAGAAAACAAAAGCATATTGAAGTTCACAATCTATTATCAATTTTATAAAATTTCAGTTGTGGAACACATTTCATGAGCCCGATCAAGTTCCGTATGCTTTTCAAAAGTCATTGGATAATTTGGGCTTGGGATACATTGATCTATTTTTGTATGTATTTTTCATTTTATTTGGCATTTTTAAAATGGCATTAAAATGTCGAATTTCAATAAAATTGTCCAAAGAATGCATTCGCCGGAATCATATCATCGTATTGGAAAAGCTGGCCTAAAGCATGCACCACAAACAATTGATGACATTGAACTATTTCCGAAAGATGCTAGCGGACGAACGTTAACATCGAATGTTGATTTTATCGATACATGGCGTGCCATGGAACAATTATTACATACGGGTCTAGTGCGAAGTATTGGCATCAGCAATTTTGAAATTCCACAAGTTCAACGTCTCGAATCGGCCGCTCAAATAAAGCCAGTTGTTAATCAAGTCGAATGTCATCCGAATAAAAATCAACGTCCAACCATCGAATATTGTTCATCTCGTGGCATCGCTGTAACTGCATACTCACCACTTGGACGACCGCATGAGGCGAATGGCAAACAAATCGCAATATTCGATCCAAATGTTCAACTTATTGCGGCTAGATACAACAAAACACCAGCTCAAGTTATTCTTCGATTCACGGTAAATATAAATTTACATTTTGCGGCGCAATTAAGTGTGTGTGCGTGAAACATTTTAAACCGAAATCGAAGCATATAATAATTTTTGTGTTTATTTGTCTATTTTTTTCTTTTCTTCTCTGTATCTTTTGTGCACTATTTCTCAACTATGTGCGTAGGTTCAAAACGGAGCACTCGTTATTCCAAAGTCAACAAACAAAGAACGAATTGCAGGCAATATTGATATTTTCGATTTTGAACTGGATGTCCACGAAATGGAATATCTGAATGGGCTGAATGGCCAGTAAATAATGCGCTTTATTTTTTTTTTTCGTCTATAAAAATAAACTTGCGGCAGCAAAATGATGTTTTCCCGGTTCCAAGCCATCGTTTTAATGATCATTTATTTTTTCGCTCTTTGTAAAATATATGCTTAATTCGTTCGTAGATTTTAGATTCTTTATTTGCTGAAACCGGTTTCGTTTCGTTTCTTTTCTCTTCTCTCGCATGTAATTTTATCTCGAACTTCTTCTTTTCATACTCTTTATATTTTATTTGTCGAATAAAAAATTATGCAAATTTACTTTGCACTAATCGTATTCCAATCTTTTGTTTTTATTCATCTTTGTTGTCTTTATGCTTCTTTGAAATATGCGAAAAGAAAACCATCGAAACTAGGGGGCAGAGCACTATTAGAGTAATTATTCTATTATTATAAAGTAATACACACTAATAAATAATTAATAAAAATTCATATTTGGTGATATGATTACAATAAAATTTCATTTAGCCAAAATCCTAATAAATAATTACTCTAGTACATTTCTGCCCCTAGCATCGAAATATCATCTACATAATTTTTAAATACTTGATCTGTCAGGTCCAGTAATTGTTCAGATAAATTAAGCAAACTCATCTAGCACAACGTAATGTAAATTCAATAAAATCAGAGAAGATAAAGAAGAAAACATCGAATGTACGGTCAAGGTAGCGTCACACACAGCCGGCTTCATTTTAAATCGTACTGTCGATGATAAAGAGCCACTATCGATAAAAAGACCCATCAGTCTTGCACGGCATTCATTTGCGAACAGAAGTGTTGAGCACAATTTTATCGAGTTAAGTTAAACTTGCATAATTCTCTTTCACATATTTGTCTTTTAAAAAAATCGAATCGATAAAATGCGCCTATTAAGCGTGACCAGTGCAATTTTGGTAAATTGATTTGATTATAAGTTATTAATGATCATTTCCGTTCTATTTATGTTAATTTCTGAATGAATTGTTGCATTTTGGTTTTGATTACAATTAGTTTTTTTTGTTTGTTGTTTGTTTCGGAAGGCATTCATCATTTTAGTGACTGAAGCTAAACTTGCTCCAACCATTCGATTAAATAATGGCTATGAAATGCCTGTAATTGGTTTAGGTACATTTGAGGTAAATACAAATTGAAATGTGATTATTAAATTTTATAGTCGATAAGATGTTGAAACTATTTATTATTTATAATTAATGTCTGTTGGAACAAAATTGTTATTTGTAGTCAACATCTGGCGATGCCGAACGTGCGGTGAAAGATGCTATTGATGCCGGATATCGGCACATCGATACAGCATTCTTGTATGGAAATGAAGTTGAAGTCGGAAATGCAATACGATCAAAAATTGAAGACGGTGTTATCAAACGTGAAGATATTTTCGTTACGACCAAGGTAATTATTTCATTTTTTCTTTGTCCAAAATATGTCCATTCTCGTGGCATGGCAATTTCATTGTTATTCTTAAATGTTTTTGAAAGCACATCTTTTCAAAAAGATAATCGTGAATTGAATTAAACGATAGAATGAAATCATAGGTGATGACGAGGGTTCCTAGGGGTCGGGTGACCCCCCCTAAAATATTTTTAGGAACCCTCAACAATTTTGGAAATGAGGACCTTTTTTTTTGCTCTTCACTTTTTTTGGCCGAGAAAATTCTTCCGATTTGCTAGGGATTTTCGCCAAAAAAGTGACTTCCAAAAAAAAAAACGATTTTATCCTCATTTCGTACAAATTGTTGACATCTTCAGGGACCCCTTACGAAATTTTGCCATCACCATGAAAATGAAATTAAAATAATAAATGTGTATTTTTTTCAGTTGTGGAGCACTTTCCATGAACCGGACCAAGTAGAAAAGGCGTTCCAACGTTCTTTTGATAATTTAAATTTGGATTACATTGATTTATATTTGATGCACTACCCAGTTGCATATCGTCGTGTTTTACAAAATATTCGTTTACCATCAGATGATGTAAACGCATTCTATGTATTTCCCGTTGATAAAAATGGTAAAAATGGTGTTCGGTGCACAGCAATTCATCTAGTTAACCATCCCGATATTTTGCTAACGCTTCTAATCGAAAATCTATTTTTTAACACAATAAAAACGCTTTGTAACTCATATCTATCGCTTTTCTCTTTCACCAAATATCGATCCGTATGAATAATGAGAGGAAATTGTCTTGTAGGTAATACATTAACTGAAGACGTGGATTATGTGGATACATGGCGTGCAATGGAAAAATTGATCGAAACTGGTCAAGTACGCAGCATCGGTATAAGCAATTTCAATAGTGAACAAACCGAGCGTATTTTATCGATGGCAACTATAAAACCGGTGACAAATCAAGTCGAATGCCATCCAAATCTCAATCAACGTAAATTGATCAATTTCAATGCAGCACGTAATATGACAATTACCGCATATTCACCACTTGGCCGTCCACATACTCCAAACGGACAAAAATTAGCATTATCGGAACCAAAAGTTTTGGAATTGGCACAAAAATATCGCAAAACACCAGCCCAAATAATTTTACGTTACACGGTAATTGTTACGTTGTGGCATTTTTACGTTTGTTTCATTCAATCAATTCATTTCGTTTAACCTCTTTCGCTGTCTCTTTCACATCTTTCAGGTTCAAAACGGTGCAATTGTTATTCCAAAATCAACAAATAAGAATCGCATACAAGAAAACTTTAACATTTTCGATTTTGAATTGAGCGATAGTGACATGCAAATCATGCACGGGCTTAATAATAATTATCGTCTAATTGACTTTGCCACCGATAAAGACAATAAATACTATCCGTTCAACATAGAATTTTAGGTATATATAGATATTTAAATGAATAAATATTGCACATTTTATCGCATCGCCAAGCGTTCTCCGTCAGAGTGAGCGTATTTTTCAAACTATAGGGTTATTTGTCTGTGTTGTTGTTGTTGTTGTTTTTTTTTTCATCTGCAACAAACTTAATTCTTCCACACACGTACACGTCAAATTAAGACTATGGCATTTTTTTCGGAATTGGTTGAAATGCACATGTGTATTAATGTTGGAACAGGTTTGATTTCTTCATCACAACACATACATTGAACGATTTATTTTTAAAGTTAAGTAATTTTTTGTCTTTAATCAATAAACCACTTTTTTTCTAAACATTTTACTTTCTACGCCAATTGTTGTTTGTTTGTATATGTTTTGTTTGATTTTTTTTTTTTTTGGTTTTAATTTTTAGTTCTTCGATTTGATGCCAAATGATTCAACGTTAAGGTTTGAATTATTTATTTAAATAAGGAATAACGATATAGTATGGTTTCGCGTTATTCAACTGTGTTATGCAATGTTTATGCCTAGGGGCTCGGAACTTAAAAAAAAAACATCAAATAAACACATATTTGTACGAATTTGGTATATAGCGACAAATATTACAAATATTACAAATATTCGTGATTATCGTAGTTTTTTGTAATTATACAGCTCGTATACAGCAGCGATTTGTAACACACACAACACAGTCACACAGTGATTAGAATGACGCTAGTGATATATCGTGATACTATTGATAGCACGATATGAATATCATGCTATTTGGGACATTTCAATTTTGTCTTTTTAATATTTTCCCTCAAATATAGAGCTCTATTTTGATATTTTAGGTGTCTTCACTTGAGGGAAAATATTGAAGAGCCAAATAGTTGTTGTCACAAAATTGAAATGTCCCAAATAGCATGATATTCATATCGTACCATCAATAGTATAACACGATATATCACTAGCGTCATTCTAATCACTGGTAATTAATATTCTTATTGTAAGCCTGTGTGATTTTACAAATGACGGCACCATTTGCCGCCATTTTGGGTATTTACAATAATCAGGAATAATGATTTTATTCACGAATATTCACATAAAGTGAAGTAATTGTTCACTACCCAAAATGGACCAATATTCGTGAATATACATGGTTTTTCACGAACGTTGGATCGACTTTATTCATAGTTCATAATTTACTATTCAAAACTATCACATAAGTTGCTCATCGCCTCAACATATATTACTAAAATGACCCATTTTGGAGATATTTATTGGGCCTACAGTGTGATTTGCAACTGAACAATTTGATAATATTATTTTTGGTTCTAAAGAAAAGAAATTATTTCAAGATTATACGGCTGTAATTGAATTTTGCAACTGAATTGAGATAAAAAATATCGTCTGAAAGAACGTTTCTTTCTCTTTCATATGATTCGAAAAGTGTATAGCATATTTTCGTGTACTTTATCGCATTGTATGTTAGTCGTTTGTTGTTCTTTACTAGAAAAACAACATCTAGAATATTCACACAGGCTTACACCAACTCAAAACGACACAGTCTACGTGTTGTTCACAAGTTTTGCTTTGCAAAATCGTGCATCAGTGATTTTTGATTCGAAATCGAAAATTAAAAAACGAAATAATGAAAACAACAATGTTTCACCAACAAGTTCATCACAGTCATTGGCCAATGATTGCTATCCTAGTTGTTCTGTTCAATGTAAGATATTTCATTTTTGAAGAGACTGAATATTTTAATATGGATAAAATTCTAGTTTACATTGAGTGCTGATGAGAAACCGATATTTGCACCGAGAATTCGTTTGAACGATGGAAACTCGATTCCAGTATTAGGTCTTGGTACAAGCAGGGTAAAGTATTTGATAAAATTGTTGTATTTAACTGTGTTAAAAAAATAATAATTGCATATGCAGGCCAAGCAATTCGAATGTGAACAAGCTGTTAAAGATGCAATTGACATTGGCTATCGTCACATTGACACTGCATACGTCTACGAAAACGAAAAAGAAGTTGGAAACGCGATTCGAGCCAAAATTTCCGAAGGTGTGATCAAACGTGAAGACATTTTTGTCACAACAAAGGTATAAGTCGTGCGTTATACAATGTGACATGAAATTGGTTTAATTAAAATTCCTTATTTTAGTTGTCGAGCACCTTCCACGAACCGGATAGTGTGGCAAAAGCATTTGAAAAATCATTGGACAATTTGAATATCACTTATATTGATTTATATCTTATGCACACTCCAATGGCCTTTGCGCGAATTAGCAAAGTAACCAATATGACAACTCAAGACTTTGATAACATTTTTCCATTTCCACATGATTCAAATGGTAAATATTTGACTGTTGACATCGACTACTTGGACACTTGGAAAGCAATGGAAGAGCTTATGAAAACAGGAAAAGTACGTAGTTTGGGCGTTTCGAATTTCAACAGTCAACAATTGGATCGTGTAATTTCGGTGGCTAAAATTAAACCAGTTGTGAATCAAATTGAATGTCATCCAAATTTAAATCAGAAGAAACTCATTGAATTTGCAAGATCTAGAAACGTTACAATTGTGGGATATTCACCGCTAGGTAAGTTGTGTCTATTTTTCTTTTGTCGCTTATTCAAAAGAATTTGTTTATTGCACTTTTTAACGCATTCTCATTGGTGGTTACGCTCATCATTAGGTAGGCCGTCTGACAGTGGCGATCGCCAAATTGCACTAAAAAATGCAAAAGTTCAAGAAATGGCCACTGAATACAAGAAAAATCCAGGACAAATTTTGCTACGGTATTCATATCAGAATGGTGTCGTTTCCATCCCAAAATCAACGAATAAAGAACGACTTCGTGGTAATATTGATATTTTTGACTTTAGCTTGAACGATAAAGACATGGAATTTTTGGATAGTCTTAATGATAACACACGTGTGATTTCATTCGCCGATGGCAAAGACAGCAAATATTATCCATTTAATATTGAATTTTAAAGTGAAATAAAAGAAATCAACGATTTTTATCACATTTTATTTTTATTTTATGTTACGTAATACAATTTTTTGTAAATCTTTTGTTGACATTCTTTGAAATAAAATACCCTTCAATGCAAAATACTACCTTAGTGTTTAGCAAACCATTCAGTCGCATACATTCGAGATAAAAAGTAGAAATCTTTGTCAATCATGGGAGACAAGCGAAAAAATGAAAAAACCTAAAGTTTCTGAAGTATATTTTATTTATTTGTTCTTTGTTTGTTTTCTTTAAACATGTTGTTTAGCATTGAACAATACAATTACCACCGTTCATTTTTTTTTCTATATATTTGTTTAAAAGTTATAAAAATATAGCAATTTGTTGAAAAATGTAACGCTTTGGCCCATTTTGGCCATACTAAAATTGGAAGTTGGTTCTTTGATGTGGAGAAGATTCTCACATAATTCTTTGAAAAGCAAGCAAACAATTTTCACTAGCATCTCGGGGCGATCGGTAAATCAATACTTAATTCAAAAATTAGTTTATAACAATTTTTCAGTTCGCCAGGCTTTGAATGGCCTTGCCGAAGTTAGTGCAATTATCCGCATATCATATCAATATTCATATCAAACTAATTGAATTTTTGTTATTTTTTTTTTAACTTCCATTGTGACATTGAAAATGACTGAGTTTGTTGTCTTGGGCTAGACACAATTAGATTTAACACATTTAAAATAAAATATGCACGATTTTTTCAACACAAATATTTGCTGTGCAAAGTTTGCACATTACACAAACAATATAATCTTACTTTATATATACAATTTTTGTTCTTCTTATTAACAAATAATTATGCTTATATATCACGAAACTGATATCTTTCTGTGTATTTGTTTAAAAGTTATAAAAATATATAGCCATTCGATTTATGTAAAAAAAAAGAAAATGATTAAGATTGATGAGATTATTAAACATTCAAGCATATGCATTTATAAGTAAAAAATATTTATTATTATTCTCTATTAATATTCGTTTTTTTCTCAATGAATTTTTTTTTGTTTCATTTTCGTTTGTAAGTCTTGTATATCTAAGAGTAAGTGTAGTTCGACGCAAATGAGATTTAATGCATTAATTGGCCGAAGTCAGACAGCTGCTTGTGAGTCACATAACCTAATTTTTATGTGACAAAAGAGAATGGAGCAGAGAAAATGAAATGATTAGATATGCTTGAATTGAAAGACGATTAGACACAAATCTATTTACCTGATATGCCTTGTATGTTTGACGTCATGTTCGGCGTTTTCACTTTCATCTCTTCAGTGAGTGCTTGTTTTGATTGTTGTTCAGTTCGTTGTCTCGCATCGACCGCACTCCACGGTGTATATCCAGACGATGCTGTCGGCTATAATTATTGATTGAAAATAAAATAATTCAATTGATTAATATTTGACAATCGGTGCATAATAAAAAACAATTAACCAAATTAAAAACCATACCTTTCCACAAATGACTTCGTGTGTAACATAACCATTAGATGTGAGTAGTGGTGGCGATGACTTTGATGTATTTAATGATGACACTATTTGCCTTGAAGCAAAATGATTATCATGCGAATCAGGCACCTGATGATTTTCAAGTGTTGTTGACATTTGTAATAATGGTGATGGAGATGATGGATTTTGAATAATTTCAATCTCATGGCTTTGATGCACTGGAATTAGTGGTGTTGGCGGACACTACATCAAACATATATGAAATTTAATTGCGAAAAATTTGAAAAAAAAAACAAAAAAAATCGAAATAATATTGCTCACCATTTTAGTAATATTGTTCATATGCTGATTATCTGAAGCTCTGCATTGAAGACTGTTATCTCCGGTATTTTGTTCATATTCAATCGAATTATCGATGCCCACATTATATTCAGTTTGACTGTTGCTTTCGCTGCTATTGGTGCTTGACGATTCCATGCGTGACCGAACCAATGGGTCGTTTTCATATTCATTTGTTACATAATCAATTGTTCGTCCTAATTCTTCACGTGTGATTCCACCTTCCAGATGTTTTGATTTGCTTTCTTCCTTAATATCTTCTAAGCCTTCTGGCAGCACGACGCTAATGTCTTTCATTCGTTTCAATTTTTTCATTGCAAAGAATGTACCATACATAAAGGCCATGCTAATTATAAACAAAAATACAAGCATAAAATAGTAGCCACTTGATTTGGAATTGATTTTAAATTGCGATGTGTATGACACCGAATATGGTCCTTCGAACAATGTTGGCCATTTGTCAGATTTTAAATAATTCAATAATTGTGGATCGTTCTCTTCTTCGCAAACTTTAATTCGGCTTAAATCCACATTGAATACGTCATTATGATTTTTATAAACACCGTCATTTGTCACAGTTTCAATTGGTATATGAATCTTTTCGACATTTTCATTTGAATTATGATTGAATGCATATTCGGTATCAATTTCTAGATTTGAATGTCGTTTTAATAAATTAATTTGATCGTTCGCATGATCGGATTGAATGTCAATGTATTTTTGTGTAATATCGCGTCGATTTCGTTGGTTAATTGGAACCTTATAATGTGATGAATGCAATATGTTTACAGCTCGAATCGAAAAATCTAATTTACCAACCAAAATATTTCGAAAATCTTCGGTAAATTTACATTTGGTAGCATTTATTTTGATTATTCGTTCCTGTCGATCATTATTCGTGTAAATCACTTGCAATTCATAATATTCCAAACGGCCACCTTTTATCGCTGGCGCTTCCCAACGCAATTCATTATTTATCACTTTTGGTTGATGAATTATTCCCGGTCGACCGACTGTTGTATTGAACATAATGGCATTACTTGATTCCGAACATTCCGTTGTACACGCATTAATAACCACTTCATATTCGGTGAAACTATCTAAGCCAGTTAATAGATATGGTTGCTGTGTTCCATCGTCCTTGTTAACAGCAATTTTTTTACCATTATACGAAACTGTATAACGATTTATAACGCCATTTAACATCTCGGGTTGTTCCCATGTCAATTCAACAGTTGAATTGGTCACATTATGTGCACGTAAATTTCGTGGCGGTGTTGGTGCCGCCTCAAGTGTTGTGTTCACTTGTCGTTCACTCCATGGACCTTTTGAATATTCGGATAACATTTGAATACGTACACTGTACGTTGTATATGGTTGCAATTTTTCCAATTTATATTCATTTGCTTCGGCTGAAATGTTAACACTTTTCGCTGATTCTTGGCATTCACCGGTTTTTGGATCTTTTATCGAACAATATTCCAAAATGTAACCGGTTAAAATGGTTCGATCGATACAAGCTAACGACCATTTGAATTCAATTGATGTGGCCAACACTTTAACCGTTATAATTGAAGTTAATTTATTAATTTCATTTCCCGGTAAAACGGTGCACATTGCCCATACCATGCCTGAACTTGATAATTTTGAATTGGCCGAGATGGCAAAGTTCATTGAATTATTTGTTTCAATACGATAGCTCAACACATCACTGCCAATTTGTGCAAAATCAATTGAACCTTTGCAATCATTTGGCGATTCATTGTTTGGTTCGCACCAGAATATCGTGTAGCTGGTTATTTTTGGACCATTAATCGGTGCCATCCACGAAATATTATACGTTTGAGCATCCAATCGAATTTTTTTGATCAGCGTCGGCGGTTCACATCGATCTTGAACAGCTGGTATATGCACGGTACTATATTTTATCGAACGGCCCACATTGTTTTCACTATGAATATGGAAATTCAATGGTTTTGTCATAACATTTGCATCGAGATGCTCAAGTTTGGCAAATGAACGAGTCGATACATATGGCGTGTCATTTGCATCAATTATAATATATTTCAAATTTGCACCGTTGTGTTCTGATTCCAATAGTTCTTTCCAATAAACGAACACATGACCGCTGGGCGTTAAACTAAACGAACCGACATCGGTGAGTGGCGGTTTATCGGGAATTCGTGATTCCGTTTTAAATATTTGAGATTTACAATTTGACCACATTTCCGGTATATCTTCAGCATCATCGACTTTAAACGATATACGATAATCGTACCATGTATCGGCATATGGTAAATTGGTTAATGCATGCGACATTTGCATATTGTGCTCTTCACGTTCATTCTTATGTGGTTCTTTGAATGGACCCAATTTTATCCATTGATCTTTATGATATTCATCTGTATAATTGATCGTGTACACAAATTCTACATTTTTGAATAACAAATAAATAAAATGAAATATATTTAATGTGTTTAAATTTCGAATAAGGTCCCAAATAAATCAAAATAATCATATTCCAATGATATATATATATACATACGTCTTGGGAAATTCTGCAAAAGTGCTGGTAATTTCCAATTTAAAATGACTGAATTTGATGTGATATTCGTTTCGCTTAAATTCTCCGGCGGATTCGGCACCACTGTAAAAAAAAAAAAAGTTATCGAAATTCGTGATAAAATGCGGCATATTGTAAATTCGAAGAAAAACAAAATGTATAATAAACCCGATGATTTTTAACCTTTAAGAACCTTTTTTCTTTTAAATTTAAATAAATAAGTTCCTTATAAGTGACACATTCAATGATCTTTCTAATTTTAAATCCTTTTTATTTTAAAAAATAATCGAATGTCTACGACTTTGCGATGATGATTGTATACATTATCTTAGATAGCATACTACATGTGTCTTATTTAGAATTCAGATAAAAATGCATAGTATACTTACTTATGTTGTAGTGATAAATGGTAAAATCTTCAGTTATATTCCCAAATACATTGTTGCCCATCAGTCGAAAATAGTAATAGTCATAGGATTGTCGATAGGGCGGCTCATTTTCAAATGTAATTGTACATGTGAATTTTCGATTATAATTTGGAACTAAGCGGCACGCATGTGTCTGTGAATATGTGGAGACGGAAAATATACATGTTTAATTTTTTAATTAAATGAAAAAAATGTTCAATTGCATATTTTTTACGAACCGGTGTTTGAAATTTGAGCTTGCCAGTTTCAATGCCAATGCCATATAATAATGTATAGTTAACAGGTACGGGATTGAAAGGTCGTTCAAAGTTGAACGTTAAATTTTCCCAATTGTATGATCTACATTTGAAATTTATCACTTTTGCTGGTTGCGTACCTATTTAGAAATGTTCACACAAAAAAAAATCAATGAAAGTCAATTCATTGCTAATTCGAATGGTAATTTTTTCTTTCTTATCAATAAATCAATCGAATACTTACCAACATTAATTGTTACTCGATTAATGCCTGACTGACCCGCCATACAATCGACGTATGCTTCCATTATCGGTGCATTATTAATTCGAAACATTTTCGTATTATGACTTAATGTCTGTGGAAATGATGAAAAAAAACGATATTAATTCAAAATGATTGAATCAAACGCAGGTTGTTTTCTAATTTCATGTGTATCTCTGTTTCCTTTTGATTGTATGATGCAGAAGAAGTCCATACCATTCCAACGTGGTATCAATAATAAATAAGTGTAAAAAAAAGTGCAGCCAGTGTGTACCCGACCCAACAAAAACACTGAGAATTTTCATTGAACGTATTCGTAGGGAAATAACTTTAATAAAATGACATGTGGTGGAAAAGTGTCCATACAGTTTTTTTCACATGTCTGGTCCCAGGAAATACGCGGTAGGAGAGATATACACGAAATTAAAAAATAAAACACACTAACCAATAATTTTTTGTTTCGGAAATAGAATGATAAATGGATCTTACGATAATTTCATGTCGAACACCTGGTTCATTGAAAATAAAATTCAAGTCATCAATGGTGTGATTGGTTGATGATATTGTACAATTAATTTCAATAGTTTCGCCTTCTTTTCGAACTATATTGCCCACTGGGAACATATCTGTCAATGGCAAAACAAATGATTGCAATATATAATAGAAATAGTTTGTTTTCGCACATCAAATTTCCATGAAATTCACTTTGTTCCATGTATCGCATGGAGATGGTAAACTACACAGCATATTAATTAAAATGAAACGTTCTTTTTATTTTTTACTTACGACCCAATGAAACAACTTCACTAATTTCAAATAAACATAAAAATAGCAGTCCCCAAATGTATTTTGCCACCATTTTGGTGAAAGGAGATTCTGAATGTATTGTAGATTTTGTGTTGATGCACGGTACTATTCTGAGAATTACAAACACATTAGTGTATCGGCTTGGGATGCTTCTCTCTGTTTTGTTTTTCTTTTTTTTTTGCTCCAAGTTCAATTGATGTGCATGCACATCACACTGTGTGACTCTATCGTTTGTGAAAACAACGAGACTGATCGTAGTACGGGAATCTACTGTAAACCAAAGATAGAGAGAAACGAAAGAGAAGACAGAGAGAGAGAAAAAAAGGCACACATAGATCTTTGACGACAACAAACGAACTTTTATGCGTTGTTGTAAGTGTATGTTTTACACCGACTGTACCTTACGATACATGTGAGATAACTTGTCAAACGTTATCAAAGAGGAAAGAAAGAAAGAGATACATAAGGAAAAAAAATATCCGAGCATGCGTGCGTGCGTTCAATGTCAACAACAAAAAGTTTTTCTCTTCACATTTCAAATACTTACTTACAAAAAAAAATATCTGGAATAAAAAAATGAAATGGTGAAATAAAAAACTTTGGAATTGCAGTTGGAATCGTAATTTATTTAATTTTCTTTTAATATTTCGAGACGAATCGTTCTATAAACAATGTAAGCATGAATGTGACAACATAACAACATTATACTCTTCTCACTCACTCTACGGTATAGCGTTGATCACATGGTAGTTGATAGACAGCTGGTGCGCACACTATGATAGACAACTGTTGGTAGACATTTGTGTGCGTGTGACATTCCTATATGCTATACAGCCAACATTGTGTATGCAGCGCGTGATAATTTACAATGTACATCAATGCTGTTGATGATACAGAACGAGTACACCATATTGTGACATATTTTTTCTCACGCTCATACACACTTAATGCCTAGGGGTTTTTATCTCAATCAAAACACTGTGAATATTGCGTATATTTTGCGTATATTCACTGCGAATATTCGCAAAATACGTACATTCAATGCATTATTCGTAAAATATGCATAGTATATGTACCATCGAATAATATATATTCGCGAACAGATAAATTCCCCTAGCTTAATGCATTGTCTGTCTACACTGACAATTTTTGTTATGCAAAAGACTATTGTTGACTATTCTTTCGATTTTTTTTACTTTTTTTCTATTCAATGTAAACAAATAGTCGAATGCCAAATGAAAAAAGGTATTTTCTTCAATAAAAAATGTATTTCAGCAGGGAAAAAGCGATAGAAATCATGTATTTCTATGAATTTGTTGAATTTCAAGGTCAATAATTCATAAATACAAATAGCTCATAAACATTCACCGGCCGATGTAGCCCTGTGGTACAACGCTCACCGTCTTATCTCGTGGTTCTGAGTTCGATTCCCTCTGGTTAATAAAAAAAATTATTTCTCACAGGTTAGCAACAAAACACCATGTAATATATTCAACCCGCCAGGCCCAGCTGCAATATGTATACTAGACTAATACAGAAAAATTCTGATGTTAGGATTAATTTAGATATACCAACAAGAGAATTCTACCATATTAATTAAGTTAGCAGTAGGCATTTAGGTAAGATATACACATAATAAGACTGAGACCACGAGATAAGAACGGCATCGGCCTTTTTTTTCAATTTTTCGTTTTAAATGCGGCCTAAAAAAGAATTCTACTTTTTACTGGGCTGTTGGTTTCAAAATGTAATGATACAGTTTTGAAACTCTTAAAAATTACATGTTATAAATGGTATGAAAAAACAAGATCAGTTGATAATTGGGCAAGTTATGGCTGTTTGAAAATTTTGGCCGCCATTTTAAAATGGCCAATTATTAACCGACCTCAATGTTTCATACCATTAATAACATGTACTGTTTGAACTAAATTTTGAACAGATATTGAAAAAAAAAATAATTTTTCAAGTGTTTCCAAATTTTCTGGCGGCACTGTACTGTCAGCTCAGTTGACCAGTTAGTTCAATATATTGTCTGATTCCCTCTGGTTAATAAAAAAAAACATTCTCTCACACAGGTTAACAACAACAAAATACAATATATAATTCAAATCTCGCTGGGCCAGCTGCAATATGTATATACTATAGTAAGATTGAAAAATTCTCATACTAGCAGTAATATAGATATACTAAGACAAGAATTAATCGATATTAAAATAGCAGATAGGGCATAGGTAAGATATACAAATAATGAGCTTACTGCGACTATTAGATTAGAATGGTATCGGCCATTTTTTTTCGTTTTAAATGCGGCCTAAAAATGATTTTTTTTTTAAATAATTTTGAAACATAGTTTATACATTTGTGTTGATTCAAAAATTCAAACCTATACATGCTTGAATCAAACACATACACAAATTCACAATTTCTATTAACTGACGCCATTTTTCTATACATACTTATTCCACATATGCGATTTCCTTTACACAAAATAAATTTACAAAAAAATGTATGAACCCTTGATCGAATTTTATCAAAACATTTCAAGAAAATATTAATATTAGAATAAATTCAATTTTTTCAGTTTTATATTTGAATGAGCTACATGAATTACTCAAAAAAGAAAAAAAAATCTTACCACAATCAAACGTATGTACGTCTGATGTTAGTGACGGCTGATATGTGACTTAAATTCATGTGGTGAGAAGCACATTCGCGTATCACGTGTGTCACATATGATCTTCGAACGTAGTTAAGTTCTTTTACAACGTTTCTACGTGAAGCTACTGGTACGACTAGTATTGCCATTTTTCAATAACAATTTTTTTAAATATTATTTATACATACATTTAATGATTTAGACATTATGTGTTTTTATTTCATAATGCGAAAAAACATTGTATCCAAACAGAGATATATTTACTATTTATTCAAAATAATTTGGTTCTAAATTAAGAGACCGATAAAAATTATTATTTTAAGACTAAAGTCGTTGATTCAAATTTTCGGCGAACTCAATCGCCACCATGCAGTGAAAATCTAAAAACATAAAAGCCACAAACAAGTAAAACAACCTTTACAATATCTTATCAACTAATTTTCAAATTTTATTTACGACGTTTCTCTTTATCGCTTAATTAACAATTTACGTACACATAAAAATAAATGATATTTTTCTCTCTCTTACACTTTTAATTAAATAAGAAAATGAAGGAAAAGAATTTTTTTGGAAAGAAAAGAGCAAAAGTAGGAAAGCGAGAGAAAGAGAGAGGGAGACAGATAGAAAAAGAAATTAAATTTTTCAACTTTAGTTGAGTGTCGAATTAGTATGAGTTTTTTTAAACGAAGGATTATAATTTATACAGTTCCCAGACACAGAAGAAAAAAGAAGAAGAATAAAAACATGATATCTCTGCTGGGCTTTTGTATATCTTTTCAGCGAAAGGTGTTTAATGGAAATGCATTTTAAACAAATATGTATGTGTTGTGTTTGTTTGTGTGTGTATGATTGTTATTTGTGTGGATTCTATTTTCGTTTTTCATAGTTGTAGTCTTCTTCATCGTAACGTGATGTGGTTGGTTGGAAAACAATTTGAGGTCGACGCTGTTGCAACGAAATGTTTATGTCATCAGGTGATCGATATGCTGATGGTTGCTGTGTACTCTGACGATATGTGGGCGTTGTATTTTGAATGCTTTTTCTAATTCCGACTTGAATCTGTTGCGAAAATTGAAGTAAAAAAACCGAATTAAAAAACCGTGCAAAATAATTAGAAGTTTGTGTAGAATTTAAACAATCAGCATTTTCCCACATTGAATATTCGAAATTAAATTATACCGGTTGTCGTTGACGGTATTCACGCGATCTGTATTCCTCCTCTTCTTCTTCTTCGTCTTGTCGTTCATCACGGTAAATGTCTTCAGGATAATATCTTTCTGAGTATCGAAGCGTAACATTTGGTCGGGATTGATGCTCTTCAACGTTTATTGGTTTGTACAAAAAATCATTGACAATATGATATTTGGATGATAGTTGGCACGCATTATCATTTGATGGTGGCATACAAATCAAATGCACCTGATGAAATTGGAATCCCTCTGGACATACCCAAGAATGTTTTTGATTCTCTTGACAATAGTGGAACACCTCACAATTTACACTTTCATCGGCATAGTATCTGTGAAATGATTATTAATCAAAACGAAATTCCATGAATTTTCAGATTTTCGATCGAAATTGGATCAACATTGATATCAATTGAATAAAGAAATAAAAGCAAGAAAAATTGCAAAAAAACCTACCCCGTTCGTCCTTCGCATTGAAATGTTGATTTTTCGAGTGCCAATGCCAAGCGATCGGGTTCTTCTGTTTCGAGTTCATCTTCGAAGCGATTTTTCGATGGTCCCGATGGTTGTCGAATTTGTTGTGTTTGCTGTTGTTGTGGTCTTATGTATGGTTGTTGGCGACGATTCTGATTTGGTACGGTTGGGCGTTGTTCTTCTTCTTCTTCTTCGTATTCATACGATTGACCAGCCGATTGACGATAATTTATCGCTGCCGATGGTGTTGAATCGTCAACTTTATCTTCATCTTGTTGTTGAATCGATGGGACAAATCCAGCATTAACAACGGCCGCTTGACTTCGGAACTGTGATGGATGATGGTATTGTGCGCGTGCTAGCGTTACTAGTGCAATGACCAGCAGCACCGTTGTTGAACTTGTGATTTGCTTTGATCTGTAACAATATAATTTGCAGTATCGGATGTTAATAACATATACATTTCAATTGAATTAATTTCCTTTTATTGAACTCTTTTTTTTCTTCATTCTCTTTATTGAACAACAGTTATTGATTGAAATTTTTTAAGCGAAACATGCATGGGCAAATTTTTCAATTAAGATATATTCCTTTCTCCATTCACGCGCTAAATAATAAAAGAAACATACAAAAAGAGAGAAAGAGAAAGAGAGAGAGAAAAGTACTTCATTCAAAGTGATTTCATGGAAATGGTCATCGATATTTTTTTTTCTTGCTTTATTTGCAATTACCTTCGGTGGAGCAGAAATCTTGCAGAGGCACAACCTGCCTCAATGGCTTAATGGCTAAATTTAGTTCAATATCCATGTAAATGGCGATAAATCCAATATTGTAAAATGTGCATGAAATTGAATGCAAAAAGAAAAGAGAATCTAATGAAAGCTTTACGCATCATTGAAGTTGATTGATCGACTGATCGATTTTTCCACTGAAGACGCGAACAGAAAAAAAAAACACATACACCGAGCACACATTAGAGTAGAAAAGAGTGAGAAAGATAGAGAGAGAGATAAGGACCGTAAGCGATATGTAACCATTGAAAGTCAAGCGCAAAAGCATTCCACTCGGGGTCGAAAAAATGCCTCGATAACAATGTACTTCAGCTCATTCAATCATTGAACTGCAAACCGTTGAATAAGAAAAACGACGCGACATTTCTCTCATATTTTCGTTTTGAGTGTTTGGCAAAACATTGCCTTGTATGTAATTTCACGTTTGTACTTTATTAAACACCACAAACACAGAGAGAATAAAACAATTCAGCTAACGAAAATGTGTTTCAAGTTCAATAATTGTGTAGTATTTTTTTCTCTGATTTTACTTCGATTGTCGAACTCAATTTTTTTTTCTGTATTATGTTTTTATTTTTATCCACACCGATTTTTCCATTCGAACATCACATTCAAAGTTTTAAAACTTATTTTTCACTTCTATTTTTTTCTTCTTTCGTTCAATTGGTTGATGATGAGAGAGCACACTTGCCATTGTGCATATTTTGTTTCTTCTTTTTTTTTGTTTTCCGCCGAGAATGCAATAATGAATTTCTTTCTTGTTTGTTCGCATTCAAATTCAAATCAGCCCAATATGTTATGCGCTGCAACACAATACCAATCGGTGACGGTACATGATTTTTTCTTCTTTCATTTACATGTCTACTTGTGATACAGAGATGTGTCTATCTATACGGTACATCAGGCCACGCATTCTGACGAAATCTTTTATTTTTCTTCATGCGTTCATTTGAATCAAGTGACTTTAGCGAAATGCAAACAACAACAGTATGAAGACGAAACAGAGACAAAAATGAAGCAAACGGAATGATTTTATTCAAAAGTTTCGTTGTGTGGCAAAAACAAAACAAAAATTTCAACAATAAATAATTTCTATAATTTTTCACATTAAGACTTTCTTATTTTTGCTGTATTGTGATATATATATATATATAGATATCTGTGTAAATCAGTGAATGCCGTCTTTTGTTTGCACACTCTCGTCTCGGTTTCAATTGTTTTAAATGATTTTTCAATTTGGTTTTTCAGTCTCTAGTCGATGAATGTGTACAGATTTTCACTTCATTTTTTTCCCAATTCCCAGAAAATTGTGTTGAAATCATTTTTTAAATTTAAGTTATCGGTCTAAGCAAAATCGACAATGAGCAAAAATCGAAAAAATCTACTCTTCAATATCTTTGCTTTTGTTCTTATACCCTAATTATAATGTGTGCTATGCATTCGCAAATAAAACGAGAGCAAGTAGGTGAGAAAGAGAGAGAGAGAAAATTCCAAAAAAAATTCGACATTTATTTTGATTGAAGACTTCAACTGAATATTGTTGTAAAATGTTTATGATGCATTTGGCATGTAAAATGAAGTAAGCGTATCTTTTCTAACGGTCATTTTTAACCCAATAATAGTGTCATTCAAAATTCAGTTTTCAATCAAACATTATTTTCAAAACTCGGCCTCCAATTGTAATCCAAATGGAGTCCAAATCACTGAATTATTGAAGTAAAGAGCAATTACGGAATAATTATGTGCAATCGACTAGTTTGAGCACTTTATTTAATGCTTTCGACAAATTCGCGAAAGGTATTCAATAGCAGACTGGTACAAAATTATGCGTTTAAATTACATTTTATGCAATATGATATATCGTATCTATATCAAAGAGGGTGGAAGTTTGGTGGCCGCGTGTGGAAGACTTCCTTTTTTTGCATATTTATGCCTAATGCGTGGTGTGAGATTGAAAATAATGCTTTTATATTTGTAAAAATACCTTTAGCTCTGGTTATGGACAGACGGCGGTAACGAGTTAAAGGAGCGCTCTCGTATTTGTGTTCTCATTTCAAATGCACGTATACTTCAAATACACGCAAATTCCATGCCGAAGAAATATGCCCATCGAATTGGTTATTTTTTATCATTAAGTTGTTGTTGCCTTTTTTTCACCACCAAAATGACTTCATTTTGGTATAGTTTTACTGCATCGACCCAAGCGCAGCAAGTGCATAATCAAAATGACTCTACACATTTAACCATCATTACATAATTTTGCACTAATTTTTACTTTACTCAGACAAACGAAACAAATGTTTTTTTTTTTAGAAAAATGCAAACTGCGTGCAAAACATGAAAAATTGAAGAAAAAAAAACGAAATGAAGGAGAGAAGAAATAAGAGCTGAAATGCCGTCGTGATTTCTCATTTTCTATAACTGGTTGCGCGTACACGTGAGAATTATTATGATTGCATCGTGTGGCTGAACCAAGAAAAAAAATACACGTCACGAAAACCAGATGTAAATAAAAATTCGAACAATGTTTTTCTGCTCGTCGTCGTCGCCGGCTGATCCATGCATTTTTCCAAATGTTTTTCAACTCTGGTAATTAGCAATATGTGCAAAGAGGCATACAAACAGCCAAAAAAGTATATATTGAGCACACATACAATACCATATGCACAGTAATACACTAAGATGGCGGGATATATGCTTGAACGAAACACCATTATTTAAGAAGAAAAAAAAAAACACATCATCAACAACAACAAAAACACACAAAATATGAGTGGAACGAAAAAATGTTCAAAAGTGCCTTTGCAATCATCAACATGTGTAGTGCTCAGTTTTTTCCCTTTCCTTTCATTTTCATAATACATATACAGAAGAGAGACAGGCTGCATCGAAAAAGATCAACTAATTAAAAAAAACCAAAACACCTATTTGGGAGCGAATACCAAGCATACACATATACCAAAAAAAAAATCTTGTTAGATTAAAATGTGGATTCAACAACTTTTTTCCGTCTCTTTTCAATTTTATTTTGAAAAGTGTCTCAAAGCAAACAGCAATTGGTCTAGATAAATTTTCAGAGAGAAGTGTCTGTAAGAGTGAGAGAAAATTGGATGGTGTTATGAAATCAACCGATCAACAGGTTCTGATTATGTGGAAATGGTGAGTGCGCAGTGCGTTATAATTTTGTTTTGGCCAATTTGTCAGTTTGAGCGATCGTGGAATGGATGGTTTAGTGGCTGGCATGAGAAAGTAATACATTTTATTTTTTGTTGTCACAGCGAACGATTTATAATCATTTCACATACGGCGTGCCTATAAAATAATTGCATTTTTTGATGGTGAGATGTAGGAGTCTTGAGTCTGCTGTTTTTCTTAATTTCCTTCGCTAAAAAATATGACTCTTTGACTTGCCTTGATTGCGTAGCCGATACTGTAACTAAATTATTGTAATTCTTTGGGCTTGTACGATTTTTATGCGTATGCAAATCGACTTGCACTCCCAATACGAACGAACATTGGAATTCTCTCTCTCAAAAAAAAAAATTAATTCCAAATCGCATTTGATCTATAAGTTTAAAACAAAACCCAATTCAAAAGCGAAAGAGAAAAATAGGTAAACAGTACGATTTATTGATTTGAAATGTAATTGCCGTGTTCGAATGATTTCATTTTTCTATCTTCGGTCTGAAAAAAAAAAACATATATATCTAAATCGGACACAATGAAAAATTACTCGCACTGAATCCATGTCAAATGTGTGCGCAGACAGCACTCCCCAAAAACACGAGCGCATGAGATCATTTTTGCACATTGTACGAATATAATCTCATAATTTTCCATCACAATTTTGTGCGATTCAAAAATGGAAACGCGTGTGCAGAGAGTTCATTGCAACGTACAGTCAAGAAAAGCTGAAGTTTAATTCTAACTTGAAGCTATCAAAATACCGCAGAAATATCGAGGTGGTATTAATCTAAATGACTTTGACTTTTTGTATAAAAAAGCAACGGCAACAACAGAAGAAATAATATATTGTACAACGCACCAACGTCAATCCAATTTCATTTTGCATTGAAAATTATATCGGGCCATTGTATATATATTCAAAAATTATTTGAAAGGAGTGCGACGTTTAAATGATATTCATGAAATCAAAAGCTTCTGGAAAATAGCCTTCAATTGTAGCACACAGCGTAAATGGTGTGCGCGCGCTCTGTAATCAGTTTTCAATCGATTCCAAAATCCAATCGACACATTATGCCAATGGATTGAATTAAGTGGAGTACTTGTACAACATACACTGCTACTTCAAAAGCAGAATTTCAATTCAAATTCAATCGGAATTCAAATATTTTTGTTAATTTTTGACCATTGATTCGTACAAATAGCATGCAATAACAAATGCATTCAATCCGAAAAGAATTGATTGTTTTGTTTTAGAGATTATTATAATAAGATTAATCCGATTTATGAAATTTACCTCCGAGAACCAGGTACACTAAGTTGGACAGAAAAATTTGTGTGATTGATCGAGCATTTTTGTCATTCAACTTATCTGAATAATACGTATTCATCTTCTAGTCGTAATGAATGTGTGTCTCCCTTGTGTGTGTGTATGTGCTAACGCTCTTGATATTTTTGGGCCTTTGAGTTATTTCGATTTTTTCTTTACCATATTTTTTTTTGGTTCGTTTACTGAAGTGTGCTTCAATGTGACGGTAAGGCAAGTGAAAGTGCATAATGTTTAACTCATATACACTCCATTAAACGAAAATATACCAGATGAACGCAGCTGTTGCTACTGATTTTTCTTTTTTATGCATATTAATTTTGTGTGCATTTCGCGCACATTTGCGACAACGCGAATATGTGCACTATATTGTATGCATTGCAATGTAAATTCACAATGGGCCCATGATGGGCTTTCTATGGTGGCTTTTGTTCTTTTGTCTCACTCATTTTCCCAACCGATATTTAGTTTTGTTTTGTGTATGTGCATGTTTTTTTTCTATTGCGTTTTCTTCTCTTTTTTTTTTGGTGGATTCATAGACATACATTTTTTGTGTTCGTTTTTCCAACAAAGTATACTTTCTTATGAATTAAAAATAAAAAGTTATTTGCAAAGCAGAAAATCTGCATCAAAAGTTAAGTAAAACAAAAAGCAAGAAAGAAATTTTTTAGAGAAATACAATCATCGATGTGGCACAAGCACTTTACCGAGTGTACAAAGTGATTTTTTTTTTAGATCGCGATGTAAAAACACAAAATAGGAAATACATTTGAAGGAACCAATTATTATTTGATTTTCTATTTAAACAGTTTTTTTCGTTTTCGCTTCAATGCATCGGTAAATTCATTTATTCAAGCCATCATTCAAATAAATGTGCATAGAATCGCGCGCGCTCGCTCTCTCTTTCTTGCTCTTCTCTGGCTGCATTTTAAATATCACACAGCATTTCTTTGATGTCGCTGCTATTGTGGTGCACAAATACGTTTTATGCCATGTCGAAAAGTTTCAACTGATCTTTGGTTCGGTTATAGAATCTAAAGTTTATTATAATAACTTCAGGAATAAGTCATAACATTGAGTTTTTTTCTTAGTTCATGACAAACATGAAAAATGGTATTCACATGAGTTGTGTCTGTTGGTTCAACGGTTGGTTCAAAATCGCAAAAACAAGATGTCAAAACCGTGTTTTTAACGAGAGAAGAAAAAACAAAATATGCTGATCGGAAAAATGGTATCGGAAGCGAAGAAATGAATGCGAATATCTACAGCAAACCAATATTATTCGCTATGTTAGTATTCTTTTACACCTTTATTATCGATCATACACAATGAATGAGAAACAGAAATGCGCAATATTCTCGTTTGCATTCAACTGAACAATCAAAAAGTCCAAATGTTAATAGATACTCATTTTTGGTGGCATAAAAGTTCAAAAATGGAGCACGATTTTTCTCTCGCTCTTCACTCTTTCTCTTTTTGACACTGTCGTATATACCCTGATCGTTCACTTGATCTCAATAATATGTTTGCGCCATCCATTTTGTTGTGAATTGAAATGTAATTACATTTTGACCACGCTCATTCATCGATGAATATGACCATTAAAGAAACAAACAACCAATAAGTACCCATGTCCAATCATTGCCATTCTAAAAAAAAATGCCAAGTACTCTTTTGGATCATGATTTGTTTGACCATTTACAAGAGACACACATCAACCGATCCGGCCAGCCACTTTTGAAATTGCACAAACAGCAACACAAACGGTGTAAAATCATTACTTTTTCAATTCAAGTGTGAATATGCGTTAATAATTGATTGTATGAATAACGAACGATCTCGCAACCACCATAGAAACACAGTAAAATATGTAACACTCTCTTTTTGTCACTCTTTCTCGTTCTCTCACTTCCATCGCATCAAACGGTAAGAGAAGTGAAACAAAAATCGTAATAGTGTACTAAGGCCAAGTACTGTATCTTAAACAAAAATAATAAAGCCGATGAAGAGAAACATTGAATAAAGAGAGTGCCCAAAAAAATGACAAATAGGATGAAAAATGACGATAACATAATATGTTATTATGACAACAATCCTATAGTCTTACGTTGACACGTCATAAATACGTGCAAAAATACGTCGGAAAAACGGATAGTATAATGTCGTGATATGTAAGCGCGCACTCACACACATGATTACATGTCAAAGTGCCGGGATGAGAGAGACGAACAATAAAAAAGCAACAAATTGGATCACCCAAAGAAAAAACAAAACATAACACAACGGAGACAAAAGGAACTGGTTTGGCAACCAAATCATAATTGATGCTCTACATTGTACTTTCGATACAATCCGAAAATGTTTTCATTGTTTTGCGTCTTATGTTTTTTTTTTTTTTGTTGTTGGTTGTTGTTGTCATCTCACACGATTCGAACCATATTAAATGGAGAATTTCCGTTTTGTAATTTCTTTAGGTTTTTTTTTTCGCCGCTTGTATCTCAGTCTCGTTCTTCTCTTTGTTTTGCTTGAATTTGGGTGAAATGACGCCGAAACTTACATAAAATTTGCATCAGTCACTTAACCGATTCGTCGCGAATAAGTGCAATCGATAATTGTATAATGGATTTGAGTGAATAAAAAGTGAGAGAAAAAGAGCAATTTCGAGATTGTGATCATGAGCATGTAACTATGTACCTATATATTCATTCAATTTATCCCATTCACCATCACAAAACATTTACAATATGCTCAAATACAATCCATTAATTGCCATTCCATCGGCAATATTTGTCGCATAACAAATTAATTTTTATGAGAGCATCAAACGGCATTCGTATGGGTTTTTCACTCGTTTGCTCATTCATTTCATTTTTCTATCCTTCTCTCTGTTATACGCGTTCATATCGCTCTAGTTTAATCGCCGTTATCTACTGCACGTAGCGAATCAATGAATGCCTTTTGCTCTCTCTCTCTCTCTCTCTCTCTCTCTCTCTCTCTCTCTATCTTGCTTTCTTAGCGCACATAACACACCGGAAATGGATGGATAGGTGAAAGAAATGTATCTAACAAATAATCTATTTCGCGCTATTGAGATATATCGATAATTGGCACATTGTGTAATAGTGATCTGGGCGGCGAATGTGTGTCTATGTTTGCATCAAACTTACTGTATGCGCTTCGTATGTCAAATTACAATCAAAATGCCATTGAAAATTTATGCACAGTATAATTATATTTAAGACCATATGTGTATCGGTATCGCGCCCGATTCGAGCGCAATGAAATGCATATGAATTTTGAGCATAATATTCTTCTATCTCGCTCTCTCTCTGTCTCTCTTCTCGTCGATAATGATTACATTAGCAGGCCTCTTATACAAGCCGATTTACATTTCATGTGATTGAAATAGAGAATAGGAAGTGTCGCTTGAAATGACTAAAAAATTGATTTCTTTCGTTTTGCGTGTGTTTATTTAAATTGATTTGCATTGCTTACCTCATCATTGGATCTCAAATGTTATTTACGATTATTTTCTCTCTCAGGTGGTTTCCGATCGGGTTTTCCGTCTGCTTTCCACGACGACGACAAAACTTTCTTCCCTAAAAAAACGATCAACAAGTCCAAAACGTTTTTCTTTTATGTTTCAATAAATTTTCAATTCCGCCAACAGAAGAAATTAACGGACGAACTTAATGGCAAAAATAGAATTATTGTGGTGAACTTTAATCGACAGAAACTTAAATTTAAGACATTCAATTTTTGCAAAAAAAAAAAAACTAAAATCTAAGACAATCTAATATAGAAAATGCCGGTAAAGTCAAACACACAATAGAAAAAAAATAACGAACAACACATGAAAACCAAACACTGCTTAAATTTCGTACCCGATTCTGTTTGAAATATTGAAAATGATATTTCTCTGTTCACGAACCACTTCGTTCAATTTAAAACAAACGATACGAAAAAAAAAATGATTGAACTTTTTGTGCACTGAATTGTTTCAAGAATGGATTTACGTACGACAACGATGACGACTTGAAAACAAAAAAAAATATTTATGATTTTTAGCCGAAATTCATGGAAGCCACAACCTCACAACTGAGATCGAATCACTAAAATGATATAACTTTCTACTTGGTACTTATGTTTTATATAGCTTGCCCCCGCCCGAAAGACATTCATTCATTTTTCGTGTGGCATATACGGCGGATTTGGATCCAATCGCACGGCTTTAAGAGACGAACGTGAGCTATGCTGTTGATGGTGGTTTTGCTGTTATTGCTGCTGCTGCTGCCGTTGTATGGATATAGATTTCGATTGTGAGCTGACTTGACTACAGATGCATTTGGAGACTGCACGAAATGAGAGCTTTTGCCAATAAAAATAATAATATCACACAAAAGGCCAACAAGTAAAAAGCATACAACATACACAAATTAATCTTTTCGGTTGAATCATTATTAATGTAGCGATATTTTGCATTTCATGCCATCGGTTGCAGGTCGTTTTCTTTTTTTTATTTTTGTTTCTTTAAATTTTCTTCGTTTCAAATCTTAGGCAATACAGCAAACAAACAAAAGATTGATATAACTGCGGATCGAGCGCATTCCAAAAGACATTCCGATTGATATCAATGCGCGTACATGAGCTCGAACGCCAGAACAAAATCTGATTACAATTTTATACATTCAATTTGTCTTTTATCTTTTGATTATCGAATCTCTTTCACTATGGTGGGCACGCACTTCTTGCACACTTTGGGGCGGACAATGGTAATAACAAGACAGAGAGAGTAAGAGAGAGAGAGAGAAATCTAAATTCGTTTATGAGTCATATTCCACGGCACGGTTGTTTTTAGTTGTGCTTTTTGATCGCATTAAGTGCTTAATTGTTATTTATTAAGGTGTTGAATATATGATCTTTTTCGTTTATTCATTTCGAATACAGTCATTTCTTTTAATTTCTTTCTCTTTTTTTTATAATTGTGTGTGTTTTTGATGAGAGTTGACTCGGACTCCGAATATTATCATTTCAAATGCATACACTACGATTTTTTTTTTACTTTTATTCGCACCTTCATTTCCATTTATTATACTTTTATTTTAATTTGTGGCGTTTTTTTCCTTTTCAATTTCATTTGGGCGTGAGTGTGTGTGTGTGTGTATTTCGTTGGTGAAAACAGTGGCTGATAAAACTAAAACATCTTAAGAATAACAATCAAACCATCAAACAATTGTAAAACACTTTTGGACTAACTACCAAACATGTGTTGTTGCTTCTTGGCACTTTATATGCGCGATTTATGTGTATTTTCACTTTTAAAAAAACAGCATAAATATATCGGTTAAAAGTGATAAATTTGTAATTTTTTTTCTTTCATTTCTTTCTTCTTCTTTTTTTTTACTGACTGGCTGGCTGGTTGACTGTTGCTTCGCTTTGTTCCAGTCATTCGACATGCACATTGCACTGCGTACATTGAATGAACTTATCATTTCATTTTCATTTCACTTACAGTTTTCTTCCATCTGATTGTTTCAACAACAACAAAAAGCGATTTTTTTTGTTCGTTCATCTGTTTTTTTTTTTTTTTGGATTGCTTCTTAGGCGGCCATCGTATATTGAGCGTTCGCTCGACTAACATTTATATTCGAAGAGAGAGATATATACCATAAAATTAATTGCCTGATCAAAATTGAAAATGTGCACTTGCGTATTTTTATACTACTTATGGCTATATACCATTTCGATAAGAGGATTCGTGATTTTTCTTTCTGATGTGTGTTATTAGTTTAGTTCACGTGAATTCCAATGTGTGGCAGAGAACTATGCGTACACACTATTCTTATTTTTTGTTATTTTTTTTCTTTCTTCTGTGGTGTATCGTGATGTTTAGCAGCCTTTTAATTGCAAATTATGTGAATTTATCGAAAGATTGAATGCGTGTGCGCATAAACTGTGATTTTTGGTGCGAACCGGTGGTACGCACTAGCCCCGAATTCCATATACTTACATACAATTCTGAATATATGTATCTTTGGGCTTTTCTTATTTTCTACATCAAACACGTAATTGCACAAATTGCATTTAGTAACCGAGAAAAATAAACGAAACAAGAAAACAATTTCGTTGATGTCGTGCACCAAACTACTAGCAAAAAGCACAAAATAAGAACGAGATGGTTTTGAGATGTAACGCACGCGCACAACCCGATTCAATTTGACGAATCAGATAAAATCTTGAATTGGAAAATGATCATTAGCAGATTGGCATAATTACTTACCAACGACATAGTTCATTCACATTGATTCGTTTTTCTTGTTGTATTTTGCGCATTTAGAATCACGAAAGGAAAAGATCAGTGGAACAACAACAATTGAAACAGCTAAGACGACGATCAATGGATTGGTGCGATCGGATTAAAATGGAATTTTCAGAAATCACGACCAACATTCTTGTCAAAAGCATTTGAACAAATTAATTAATTAAATTTGAAAAAGTGACAGCAGATTAAGAAGAAGAAGAAGAAGAAGAAAAAAAAAAAGACGGAGGCAACCGCAACAACCACATCGGCTTTATTTCGAATATGGATTAAAACACCAATCGACTATGTCCAAAATAAGAGCGAGAGAGAACAGTGCCACATCTGTTGCTGCTAAAACAAATAGTTTATGGTCCAAATGAAAATTAGATTATGAAATGATTTCATTAGATAAATCGTTTTTGGTTGATACTTAACCGATTACATTATTAATTGAGCTCGCGCACCCAAATGCCAACACACACTTTTAAATCGAGAGAGTTGAAATTACAAACAATGCATTAAAAACAAACAGAAAAAAGCACTATCACTTTTATCTGTTTGCAATTGAGTCATTTCGATTTAATTTCATTTTCGGTGATGTAAAAGTGAACAAGAAATTGTGTGTGAAAAATGAGCGCGTGCGCGGACATTTGTGTATTACATGAGAGCTAACGAAAGAAAACGACGACGGTTGGCAGAGCAAAAGAGGCATTGATTTAGATTTGGGCATGAGCAGACAGATTACACACTATTACCAAGCCTCTCACATGATTTAACATCGGTATCTGTGCAGGCCAACGTTGGATGGCGACGATGATTTGCTTTTGTTTGACAATATCACCAAATGGCAATGCATATACAATTGCGGCAATTTCCATGAAAATAGATCTCTTTTTCTTTCGTTTTTTTTTGTTGAATTCATTCATTTATTGTTCTGTCTTTTGTATTGTTTTTGATAAAACTGGGTTGTGGCTTTGTCTAACGATGCAGCAGCATCCATAATTTTGTCATTTTCTTCGACTTTTTGTTTTGTTAAACCATATGATTATTGGATACCAATGGATTAGTCTTTTTGAGTCGCGTGTTTTTTTGTATTTTGTTCAGCGAAGTTGTGTGAAATATCGTGTAATTGATTAAATCTGCATATGCGTAATCATTTGTTTTTATTTGGTTTGACAAAACTTATGTAATCTTTATCCATAGATCATTTCAATTCGTATGTCTCGTCGGCACACATTTGGCCTATTCGCACATTTCTACAGATTTACTCTAAATTCAGTACCCGCCAAATCAAAACTCTTAATATTTTACTATATACACATCGCAACGCCAATAGGCCGATTTTCTCATTTTTTTTATTATTTCTTTTAATTGATCGGCGAAAAAAAAGAAACCAGTTTCTGTTGGAGTGTTGGATCCACATCTTGTGTGCGTATATGCCAACTAAAATACCATGCGCACGCAATGTGTGTGTCAACAAAGTTTGTCATTTCATCTAAAAGCACGAAACAAGTTTATTTCATTACAACATTTCTCTTTTAATTTTTTTTTTTTAGTTTTTTATATCTGTCCCTCTTTCACTCACTCAAAATCATTGGAGAAAAGTAAAACAGAAGTAAAGAAGAAGAAAAAAGCAATTGCCATGCAAATAGACACAAGAAGTCTCTGTACATAACTTGATTCTTGTCAAACGTCATTTATTTACTGCATTTCGCACCGGCACAAACAGAGAATGATGAAAATAAACAATCGGTGTATTTATGCACATTTTTATTTATTCATTTTGGTGCACGAAAGTAAATCGCATCGAAATAAATTATACAAAATTAGTGGCGCTACCATACGTTTGCATCGTAATAATTGACTGCCGTCGATGATCGTTGAATGCAAAAGAATAAAATGTGTTTGTATACTGTTGTTGTTGTTGTTGTTTTTTTGTTTTGAACAATAAACGATGAATAGTTGCTAATTTGGTTTGTTTGTAATTTTTTTTTGTTTTTGTTGAATTTATTTAATGGCACTTTGCACCCAACTTCTAATTTTATCTGTATCTTGAAGGCCAACCATACGTTTTTCCACTTTGCCGTCTTTTATCACGACCAAGACTGGAACGGAAGATACATCAAAATCATCGGCTATCTCACTCAACTCATCAATGTCAACCTGAATAAAACAAAACAAACAAATGGGAAAATGTCAGTCGTCGAAAATGTTTAATAATATATTCAAGTGTCTACTATTCAATGTCAGTTCTATTTTGACAAACATGAATCAAGTACAAAGGACATTCTTTTGAATGTTACAAAATTATCTTGATCATTTGGTCGCTTTATGATTTCCTACTAAATTGACACTGTGGCAAGATTCAAAATCTTGCAAAAGAACTCCATCGGAAGCTTCAGAAAAATGATTAAACAACTTTAAAGACGATGTAAAAGAAGGGATTTCTTCAAGTTGTTTCATGTATTCGTTTAGTATCTAATGACGTAAATTAAGATGTGTATTCATTTACTTTAGCTAGGTCGACAGCTCCATTGGTTTCCTGGATGACAGTCTCAATGCGTGGAATAAGCGCTTTGCATGGATTGCACCATCTGTTCGACACGATAAAATAATGAACATGTAAATAATATCACCGTATTTTAAATGAAACGAAATTTTGATTTATGGAAAAGATAAACACTTACGTTGCGTAAAAGTCAACAACGACCGGTGTCTTGCTTTTTCGTACTTTTTCATCAAAGTCTTCAACACTTTGTATAGTATAGATTTTTTGCATGATTGTTGTCGTGGCAATGTGCTGAGCCCGAATTCTTACAGGCATCACCAGTGAAACGAATCGTCGTGTTATCGTTGGAAACATGACCCGTGTTTTTTTTCCCTTTTCTTCTTCAAATCAAACGAATAAAAATCCAATTGACTTTCAATGAAAATTGTTCGCCAATGTTTGTCCTGTTTGGCTAAAATGTCGAACTTGATAAAACGCAAAGTGTATGCAATTGTCAAAAACAATGCATTTAGATGCCAAATTGTTTTTGTCTAAATTTACACGTGTAATTGTCTCGGTTTTTACGAAATTCACAAAATTTTATTATGCAACGATGATGCTACTATTTAGCCATGTTAACAATCTGAATGAAAATAATACACAGACACACATACACATAGACACACATACACATAGACACACATCTAACTCATTGAGAACACATGTGTGTGAACATGGGCACGAATCGCATGGATTTTGACATTTCGTATATCAACAGCAACAATATTTTGACACATTCCGAAACACACTGAAAAATGTGGCTGCGTACAATTTTATGGTGAATTTTTGTTGTTGTTGTTGTTGTTGTGTTTTGCTTCAATTGAGATTTTATTATTTCCATATCTTTCTTAAATGCTACAAATGACTTTTTACATGGAATTTCTTATACATAAACTCAATGATTGATAAATTTCTATTTTTTTTTTAGAAATGTCGATATCAAAGCTGAGTTTGGCGATTTAATTTTGCCTATTTTCCCATTCCAACTCGTTCACAATGCCGTTCAATTTCTTTGAGACGACCAATTAGGAATTGTAACTCTTCAGCATTACACAAGAATTCGGTGATTGTTTCTCTTTCACCGCTCAATTCCTTATATCGACCTAAATTAATGCAAAAATTCAGTGCACCGGTTGTTGAATCGACTTGTGATGATTTTACATCGCACGTTAATTTCCATTCAACATTTGTTACATGCGCCAAATTTAAGCCAGTCGTTAGATTTTTTATTCGAAGCGATGTTTGATTTTTCTCATAAATCGATATTAATTCGGCCGTTGCCACATCGGATACACCATGGTGTTCGAGTAATTCACGTAATTTTCCATTATCCAAATCATATTTTATTGCTAAAAACATCAATGTAAGCACAGAGTATTCAGCCTGTTTGGTATACACTGGAGTCGTTGCATAGATTTCCGGATTCGATGGAATGTCTGTAACGAAAGAGACAGAGAGAGAGAGAAGAGAAAGAACGTTATTAACTAGAAATGGCAGAGAGTAAAGGTGCAAAGTTACTTGCGTCCGAATGTAATGCCATTTTCACAGCGTTTGATATGATTTTCTTCGTTAAATCCGAATTGATCACCGTATTCAGGCTTTTTAAGCCCTCAATCACAATATCCGACAGTTCGATTTTACTCATATTAACGATTTAAATCGCAATTTCTTCTTTCTTTTGTCGTCGAAGGCGGATAATTGATAATACAACTTTTAATGCATTATTTTGATGTAAACAAACTGTCAAAATGTCTATATAATCAATTAAAAATCACCTCACACTAGAATGTGGTGAAATTCTTTCCCTTCGAACATTTTGTATTGAAAATGAATTCGAACCTAATAGTATCGTTATGGATTTTTTTAATACTCCCTTTTTATGGACAAGATTATTTGGTGTCTTCATGATTTTATTAAAAAAAAAAAAAAACATGCAAAAAGTTATTTTCCCAAATTCCCCACGTTCACTTGACATTTGAATGAATCAGTTCAAAGCTGATGATGTTTGCCGGGCTGCAAACAGCTGATAAAAGAGGAACAAAATTACACAACAAGCCATTTTAAAAGTAGGCGCTCGTCACCGTGTTTTTCTTATGCTACACAAATACGCGCTCAGTATTGTTTTAAAACGTAGTTTTCATCAATTCAATTCTATTCGAAGTTTTTCACAAAAAGTAAGTACATCGTCATTATATTGTTTGACAACATTGTTTCGATGATGCTATTGATTGATTATAATGTTCGTGTGTTTTTTTTCGTCTTCTATAGATAACAATGGCAAATAAAACTGCGTTAGCTCTTTTGGCAAATGGAAGTGAAGAAATGGAACTTGTTATTACAGTTGACGTGCTACGACGTGCCGGCGTAAGTATGATAATAATTTTTTATTGCGTAGCGCCATATGTACAGTAAGAAATGACCTTGCTCTTATCAATTACCTATTTTTTTGTGTGTTCTTTGTAGTAAATTGATTTCTTTGTTGTTGTTTTTGCAATGTAGGTGAACGTAACTGTAGCCGGTGTTGCGAACGCTGAACCAACTAAATGTTCGCGTGACGTTGTTGTTGTACCTGATAAAAGTCTACAAGATGTTGCAAAGGTTCGAAATTTATCAATTCATCGTCATTAAAAATCGGAAAATTTACGTTGATTCTATGGAATGTCTCATGTCAATTTTGTTTAGGATGTTTTCGATGTAGTGATTCTGCCCGGTGGATTAGGTGGCACCGATGAGTTTATCGCATCCCCATTGGTGGGAGAAGTGCTTAAGGCACAACAATCCAGTGATCGTTTGATTGCAGCTATTTGTGCAGCACCATTAGCACTTAAAGCACATGAGATCGGTATCGGAAAATCAATCACGTCATATCCATCGGTTAAAGATAAATTAACCGCCGATTATAAATATGTTGACGATCAACTCGTTGTTCAAGATGGAAAATTGATAACCAGCCGTGGTCCGGGAACAGCTTATCAATTTGGATTGAAAATTGCCGAAGTTCTTGTCGGCGGAGATAAGGCAAAACAGGTTGCAAGTGGAATGCTGGTCAATTGTTAAGAATATTATTTTCTATTCATGTATCCCGATTGAATCGATTTTTATTACCTCTTCCGCGCACCTAGTGTGAAAGGAGAAGAATTAACTTTTATGAAGAATTTATTCCACTTTCATTTTTATCAGTCAGTTTTTTGTTAACGAATATTCTTGAAGAAATGAAAATAAAAGAAGTAAAATGAAAGAGATTCATTTCGAAAAAAAAACGGTGTTATTCCTTTTTTTTATTATCAAAATAAAATCTTATATTGTAAATAATAAATGCACGATTTGAATTATAAATAAAGCCTAGTTAAAATTATCTAGCGTATATCTCTTATAATAGAAAATACGCATAATAACAGTCTAAATAACAAAGATCTGCCAATTAAATATACATTTTACAAATACACTTAACGTTAAAATGAGCTGAATACATGAATATAGCTAAAAAAAATTAGCGACGCCGTGATTGAAATCCTCTTGATACAAGTGGTGCAATATCTGCTGGTTCGCGTCCTCTTGTTTCCGGTAAATAAACAAATGTCAATGCGACCAGTGCAAAACAAACGACCGCAAATGGAAGAAATACAAATGCACCAAGTGCCTTGCTCATTGCTGGGAATGTCATGCCAATGTAAAAATTGCCCGCCCATGAAGCCAACGAACCAATTGACATTGCTGCTGGTCGTGTAGAGATCTCAAATAATTCCGATCCAATGAAAAATGGAATTGGTCCCAAACCGAATTGATATACAATAATATATCCAAATATTGAGAATACGCATGCCTCTCCGAACCATGTAATGGCATCAATGTATTGCATTGTAAATGCCAACGAAACCAAAAAGAAACCGCAGAGCAAGCATGAAATCAGAATAACCGTACGACGATTAATATGCTTCATGACAAATGGACCACTCAACGCTACCAATAAATTGACGCAACCCGCTCCAAGATTAGCCCATTTGGCATTGACCTCACTCATGCCAACTTTCTGGAAAATACCCACCGAATAGTAAAAGACAGCATTAATGCCAGACAATTGTTGACCGCCCAACAATGCACAAATCAAAATCAACGGCAACATAAGCGTTTTATCACAAATAACCGATGCCATTGAACGGGTATCCGCTTGAGCGGCCGCTTCTTGTTCCATTCCAAGCAATTCAGCATTTATCAAATCATCACCGCCATCAACTCCTCGCAAACGCACAAGTTCTGTTTGAACGAAAAAAAGAAATCATTTTAAAAAAAAAATCCTTCACGCCGGTCGATTGATAATTTTTATACTTTTGATAATAATGGTATTTGGTTTTTTTTCAGTTGACTATCAACTTGCAGTAAAAATGTAAAATTTTTCCACTTTAAAAATCACTCACCATTTCGGGCAGCATCACGTTTACCGGCTACGATGAACAAATATTTTGGACTTTCTGGATACCATGTGTATGGTAGGAAACAAATAACGACCAGCAATAAGTAACCAGCGACCGCATAATGCCATTTTTCTTCGGTGCCCCACATTTCTTCCAAACTTGCCACTTGAGCAACAACAACACCAGCCGTTATACCTAAAAAATTAATCATTTTAATTAATAAAAATCAGTTTTCATCTCATTTATTAGATTTTCATTGATGTATATAATATTTAAGCAGCACGATAAAAACAATATCATATGAGCAGAACAAACACATACGGGAATTAAAAAAATGCGATGGCATTATTCAAGTCCACCGATGTGATCTTGGAAATTAATTCGATCGGTCTATGGTGATATTTCTGGATATTTATGTGTATGTCATAAATTTGCGATAGCATGTAAAGGATAGAATTAAAAAAAATACAAATAAGAAATGCAATTGCCAGTCATAAGATGAAAAAAAATTACTTCAAGCATGTTATTTGCTTTGGCCTTCAGTGATAAGATAAACCATAAAATGCAAATAAAATTGTGAAAATGGGCAATGGAATTTTTTTTTTTTTTTTTTTCAAACAAAAGAAACACGTGTAAAATGGAAGCTGTTCATATGACGTTGAACTGAGTATTTACACAGTAGCAAGTGGCTGCTACTGACTATATATTAATTGATAAAAAGACGCTTGCCGAGTTTTTGTTTACATTTTACTTCAATATGTGCCTTATGATGACGATATTTTAGAATAATGGTGCGACGCGCCTTTTCTAATATCATAATGTGTGGCTTATCAGTGAAACAAACGTGAATCGTGACTTCTGATTCTTTTGAAGATGTTGTGCCATAAATTGCGTTGAAGTACGGATTATTTGAATTCATTGAATGAAAAAAAGAAATACTCCCATTTTTTTCTGTACAATTTGTTTTTAGTCTGACGATCAAGTGCGCAAATCTTCCATCAATCGTCTAAATTTCCATTGCGATTGAAACACTTTTTATTACACTGATTTACGGTGCTATCAGCGAATGCTTAGTTTCTTTTTCTCTATCCGCTTTATATAATTTCTATTTCTTTCTTTCTTTCTTTTCTTCCAGCTTTCTAGAGTGAGTTTTTCTAAAATACACTTTACAACATCGAAGTATTAAAATTTAAGATATGTTTGAAATGTGTGTGTGTGTGTGTGTGTGTGTGTGTGACAGAGTTGGTAAATGCACCTCACGAGTGCGCGCCCTTATAAGTTGTGTGCAACTCTTCTTGGGTGCGCGCACCTGATTCCATATAAATGTTGGGTGCGCGCACTTGGAATTTTTTTCTTGCTTATTTCAATATAAAAAATCGTCAAAAATGTATTTTTTACTTAATTTTTTCCATTTTGAATTTTTTCACATGCAAAAACTGTTTACATGTAAAGCAATGTGGTTCAAAAGACAACCAGCAGGCGGCTACTTGTAGCTGTCAAAATATATAAGAAACACAATTTGACAGTATTTTGTATTGATATATTGAAGATGACCAAATAAAAAATGGAAAGATTTAAGTAAAAAATACATTTTTTTCAATTCTTTATATTGAAATAAGCACGAAAAAAATTCCAAGTGCGCGCACCCAACATTTATATGGAATCGGGTGCGCGCACCCAAGAAGAGTTGCACACAACTTGTAAGGGCGCGCACTTGTGAGGTGCATTTACCAACTCTGGTGTGTGATTTCAAAAAATTTGTGGAAAAAAACAAAGTCCTAGATTCGTTTTTTTTGTGACTCACGTCAATTGTTGACGTCGACAAAGCGTCAAATCAAAGTAATCAGCTGTTGAAAACAGTTCACGATCAAATGTTAAATGATCGATTTAATTGAAATTTGCCAGTCGAAATGTAATTGATTCAAAGGTAGGTATGTTTTTATGAATCAAGTGAAAACAAAGTACTCATTTAAAAAAGAAACAATGGCAATAAAAGAGAATAAGATATGAAACAACGGAAATGCATTGCAATTCAGATAATCAAATACATACCTAAACCGGAGAACGTGCCCAATGTACCGCGCAATTCGCATGGTGCAATTTCAGCAAGATACATCCCAAGTACAGCCGTTGTCACACCGGATGAAATACCAACGATAAATCTTCCGGCCATCAACAATTCAACGGAAGAAAGTGCACGACAGAAAAAGAAGAACAGTGCACCGACCGCAAATAAAATGCCACATATCAACAATGCTCCTTTTCTAAAAGTTATAAATAAAATTAAGAATCATTATTTTTTCCGCTTAATTCATACGTTGTCGTCGTCGTCGTCGGGTTTTTTTTTTGTTGTCTTTTTCTTTTATTATCATATCGCGTGACATGAGATACGAACCGTCCAAATTTATCAGCAATTGATGCGGCTATTAATGACCCAGCACAACCTCCAACCAAGAATATTGAAATAATCGTTGCCCACAATGTGTCCAATGTTTCTGGTGTTAAAATCGTTCCATATCGCTCATAAACAGTTTGATTGCACCATGCTTTTATGTGTTCGGCCGGTGAATTTAATACGCCTATATTGTATCCGACTATTGGTCAAAGGGTAAATTCCATTAGTTATACCATTATTGTATTGCATAAATTTATTTAAAAATAAAAAAACACTACAACGCTTAGAAAGCTTTATTTTCGCATTTTTATGAGCGAGTAAACAAATATTTGTATGTTGAAGCATTGATACAAATTTTGCGGTAAATATTTTTGCTTCGATATACAAATTTTATTTTGGAAAACGAATAATAAAATGCTATTCACCTGAAATTCCAGTTCCAATTGTCATAGCAAACGTAGTGGTCATCAGTAGAAACCCCCATTTTGGAGCCTATTGCGAGAGAAAATGTAGAAATCCGTTGATTAAATGTGAAATTTCACAAAAAAAAAAAAAAAAAAAAAAAAAACAGTCTAAAATGTCTCAGAAAATTTCCGTTTCATTTTAATTTTCAAATTGGTTGGAATAATTGCCAAATCTAACAACTTCAAGTTTTTTTCAATTTTTTTGTAACGAACCTTTGTCTCATTTGGTTTTTTGTCCACAGAAAATTCTTGTAAAACACCCATATCGAATTTAAAAAAAAAAAACTATAGATAATTACACCAATTTTTGCTTTTCACTGAAAAAGCACATTCAATTTGTAAACGATCTCAAATCTCAAAAAAATAGATTAATAAATTGCCTTAGTTATCGATTAAAATTTATGTGTTTGCAGCTGGAAGTTAAAAAAAGTGTCGTTTGAACAGTACGCGATCAAAACATCGACTGAGTGAAAAGACGCGGTATCTTTCTCATGCAATTCGCCTCTTTTTGTTTATCGTGTCAACTTCACTGGCCCGACGTAAGAATGTGAGACACGAATAAAAGGAAGAGAAAAAAAACGAGAGGCAACAACATCGGTAGCGAACGAGATTCTTTGCAAAACATAAAACATGTGTGTAATGTGGTTGCGTTTTCTATTTTTCAATTGTAACAATACACACACACACACACACACACACACACACACACACACACACACATGTATGTTATTTGCACGTTATCAATGTCGTCAATTGCTCACGCTCGGCTTTCCATTCATTCAAACATATTCCAAATCAATGTGGCACACATTTATGGACGACGTACAATGATCAAGACATTAAATTGCTCTATTCCGTAATGAATAGATGCTCCTATATATATATCTTTATCAATAATGGACATTAATTTACTCTCGTATGTTGCGAAATCGCCCACATTTGCATGATCAATTTTTCTAATTGATGCAGCCGTCTAATTCGATTCGGTTTTCTATTGTCCTTCACAAAAAAAAAACGACGTGAATCATATAAATATTTTAGTTATCACTACGTGCAGTAATAAGCGTTCTTTATTATGATTGAATGAATATTTAAATAGATTTTGCTTTGATCATTCGGTTCATATTACATTGGGAATATCATTATTGTTTTCGATTGTGTCGAGTAGCGCTGACACAATGTACAGAATATTAAATATTGAAATAATTTGATTACATTGTGAAATCTCCTTGTAACCATATTGAAACGATCAATAATGGTAAATGTAAATTTATCGGCGCTTGTCCGCGCCCTGTAATTACTTCGATCGCATTTTTTGGTTCTTGGCACGTGCACACGTTCATAGAACATTCGACATTTGTTCACATTTTTATCACATATTTTTGAGATGCGCAATAAATTTCATCAAATCAAGAATATTCTATTGATGAAAATCTTCCATTGATTATCGTTTAATGGTTTTTATTTGAAAAAAACAATAGACACTTGTTCGAGACACACGAAGAAAAACACGTGTATAATCAATACAATTGACATACAAACAATTTCAAGTGTTGGCATAAGCGAATCGAAAGATGGAAAACAATTTTATAAGGAAATGATAATACTTTTGCGCGAAAGAAACAATTGGTTTTTCAAATAACAAATTAATCACCTGATTTTTCGAGAAGAAAAAAAACCGAAGCAAATCAATAGTTTACAATGATATTTACGTCATTTTCAGTGTGAAACATAAAAAAATTGATCACAACGGTTTTACGTTCCAATGATAATCGTATACCAGAAAATTCCATTTACGATCTTGTTAAACTTGACTACTGTATATTGTATATACGGTAAGTCCCATTCAACTTTTGTGTTTTTAATTGGTTTAATGCCCATATTTATGTGAGTATAGCGTATGACTTGACATATAAATTGTAATTTGTCTAGGTTTGATGATCACATTGTGATCATACTATGGAATATACGAAATATTTCTCAAATACCTGACCCATATCATATGAGTCTATAAAATAAAAACTATTTTTTTCGCCGCAACGATTAATATGATCATTGTCAAAGATTTATAACATTCATTTAAAAATCACGAACACAAAGAGAATCCCTCACGTGAAACAAACAGAATTCATGAATTGAAATTTTATCTTTTTTTAGAGAAACAAATGGAAGATTTCCGAGTAGCAATTATAGTCCTTATCATAATTTCTTCTTGTTTGTCTTCAAATAGCTCATACATTAAAAAAAACTTTAAGGTGACACGTCGTTGCCTTCAGCGATTCCAAATTAATCAATTGTCATAAAAGAATTCTCATTTAATCACGAAATATGCAATGTCTTCTGGTAATGCCAATATTTACTTGTTTCTGTTTCAAACACAATTTGGTCGATGTAAACAAGATTCTTCACCGACATCCATTTGTAGTGTAAACATGCCCTTATAAACAGACATTATGTAGATAAAAAAACGCGTTTTTGTTTTATGACCTATGTACAAATTTAAAACATGTATAGAAACTTCGCGAAATAGAAAAAAAAAACATATATAAAAAAAACTCAAATATAAAAATTAAAAATTGCTATTCATCGTATATTCGATATAGATAACTAGAATAAAATGAAAGAAGAGAGAATAATAGCCTCCTATATTCCCATTTGAATGGTTTCAATGTAAATTATTCTATTCAAATTAATTGAGATAGATGATGGGCATTCAATGGCTTCACAGCCGGAAGTCGATTGAACATAATTTTTAACAATGTGTGACTTTAAAATATTAAAAATGAAAACAGACCATCCAGTCAGTTATTGGTTTATTCAACTACGTTTTTTATTGAAAATATTTTATTTTCAATAAAAAACGTAGTTGAATAAACCAATAATTGACTGGATGGTCTGTTTTCATTTTTAATATTCACGAAACAGTCGATAGGAACCAGATAGTGTGACTTTAAAATTGGCTATGATTTTGCTCATTTATTTCTCTCATAATAATTTGTTAAATGACTCAATTGTTTATTTAGATTATTTTTTTCTTCTTCGGAGGGGGCCGAAAAAGATAAAACGCTTGTTAACGATAGGTGAGTTTTATGTTCTTTTTTTTACTTCTTAAGATTACTGAAATGTTTTTTTTTTTCAATTATATTAATTAGATTATAAATCATTAAATTTTCAAAGGCATTATTATTATTTTTTTGAATCCTAATCGTGAGTGCAGTTGAAGCAATTGACAAACCTTCAAATTCTTTTGCGATTAAAAGAATTTAATTTATTACGATGGAAACAAAATCAAAACAATCATCTTCAAAATTGTGTTTTTGTTCGATTGAAAAAAAAAAACTTCGAACCATTTTGCTCATTGATAACTTTATATAATTGACAACCAAAAACAAGTGTCTAGTTTTGCGCACGATATGACATGTTTATGATATGATTCATGATGACAGTCGATTTTGTATTATTTGTTTTGGGCATTCTATATAACACTTGAAATTCAATAACAATTTCATGTTACGAAATCAACTTCGTTATGATTACGATGACCAATTACATTCTAATATTCGAGATTCTTTTTGCTAGGACTTTCTATTATAAAGAATCGCATTTAATGCAATATGTGGAACAGTACGGTATTTGCAATTGCATGGTTACTAAATATTTACATTTGATCTTTATGTTTTTCATTGTTTGCGATCGATTTTAAAGATGCGAATGATTTTTTTTTCATACAAATTGGCAATGTATTAAATATATTGGTTAATTAGTTGGCCGGCGGCTGAGCCAATTTGTCTGAGAACGAAAAATCACAAATGACATATACCTAAAAAGCTATTTTAAATGACTTACTCGTGGTTGAGTCGTTGGTGTATAGACGCCGTTTGCTTTGTGTTCAAGAAGTTGGCCGCGTACGTTATTACTCATTTTATCTGCGTCGATTCAAAAGGTCAATAACGTATTTATATCAATTTAAAAATGTAACAATTTAATTGAACGAAATCACATGAAACGGCAATTCAATCAGTTCACAATTGAAACTGATGAAATTAGAGACGATCTTGATTTCTTGAAAGAACAAAAAAGAATTACTTCATAAATTAGTCAAACGGATTAGTTATATTTGTATATCGTTTAATATCATTCAATTGAAATGTACGTAAAATTTAAATAAATTTTAATTAATTTGTGACACTCACGAATAATAAAATAGACTTCAATTAAAAATAACTCTGTATGGTACACACACTGTTGAACACGAGATTTTAAAAATAAACTGATGGAACGATATTTGTCGGTTTTGTGCAGAATCGACTTGACACTAGTTACGCACGTATATGATTGTATCTAACTAGCGATTATTGGTGATGAAATCAGAATCGTTGATCGTATTTCTAAAATGTGGATGAATTGAGTGTGAGAAAGAGCGCAAACACTATTAATGACTTTACTCAACGTATCGTAGTCAGTTTTTTTTTGTTGCCTATTTAACCAATAACCATTTACAAAGCAAAAAAAGGCAACACAACAAAATCAAATAACAATTACAAAGGCCATAATTATGGGGCTTCACTTCTTATCTCCAAATAGCGAATGATAAACGTTATTTGACTCATACACTTTTACTGAATGAACGAGTAAAAGACTACTAATAGCAACGCTTTACTTCTGACGGTTTCAGTGGAATATTTTTGCCATACACACGATTGTCTGTTTCTGAAGATCTTGTGAAATGTGAGTTGTATACGCTCATACATGTTTAACATATACATGAATCATTTCGGCATTTTTGGCTCGAAACTTATATTCACCATACATGTGTTCAAAACAAACAGAGATAGAAAATCGTACGATTTTTCTTTGTGACTTGTATTTACAATGAATTTGAAAACCATTTTCGACACAAGCAATTTGCTGTTGTGTTGGTGTTTTGTGACGGTTGTATGTATGTTGTACGTAGAAAAAGAAATGTCGAAATCTCGCTTTTTTTGTGAGTAAACAACGGACGCCGGGTATTTGCTACAACATGTGTCACAGAAAAAGGAGAGAGAGACGTAAAAGGTGGAGAAACGTGTATGAAGGATGAAAACAGTCGAAATAATTCTATGTGTGATGATGATGCACAATGAGTGTCTACATATGCAACTACTGTCAAATTCAAAAAATATTGTGCGATGTTTTTGCTATGCCCCCTGCTGAACATACATGTGAACTTTGAACTGCCGATTAAAATTTGCGTTCACTCTTTCGCATGAAATACAGAAAAAAAATTAACAAAATTATGTATTTTGTCAAATGTTTCACGCTCAAACACTCTCTCTCTATCTCCATAATAAGCGCATTCGTAGAAAATTCGAATGTCTGTGTGCATGTGACTCTATAGTCGCATCACGTTGCCGTGTATGAAAACAGACAAATCAAACGAAAAGGTAATGAACTAGTAATGAACCAAAAGGATCATGCGCTTGTGTCAACCAATATATATTGTAACTTTTCATAATATACGTAAATATAGTGTTGTTTTTTTTTGTCATAATCGTCATCAATTCAAAATCGGTGTTAATGTGTGATTTTATTTGTTTCAATTCGATAGCAATTGGTGTGTGAATAACGAGTTCATCGATTTTTGTCGTGCTCGCCTCTTCTGTCACACAGAAGTTAAAATGTTGCTATTATTTTTTCCCGTTTTTTTTATTGCACTTGTTCTTGCTTTTGATTTTCTCTTCCTTTCAATCATTCAATGCATGCCCGAACTATTATTATAAATACAATAACTACCCACAATCACCAACAATAAATGCAAAAAAAAATCGAAAAATAAAACAAAAAAAACATACAAATAAACAATATGACAAGTGATATTGATTGTGTATCAATTTTAAACAAACTAATACTATTAACAGAACAATATAAACGATTAAATGAATTATTGGAGAATAAACAGAATATGCTGAAGCAACGCGCGATAAATTTACAACAACGGCGCCTTCAACATAAATACGATATGCAAAAAATGTGGATCACTCTAACACAAATCGGAACGGATGGCACATTAGATTTCTTACCGTCGTCGTCACCATCACCCATAGCACCACCCTCCGAACACTAATTGGACACACCAAATTGCCGCTCATGACACACAAAAAAGGCTTAAGAATTTGAAAAAATGTAAAAAATTATCAGTTTGGAATTGAAAAGGAATTTAAAAAAAACACAGGGAAACATGATTATATTTGAAAGATTTTTGCAAACCAATTTAAAGTTGATAAGCTTAGTTTTTAGACTAAATTGTATTCAAATCGATAAAAATAAAATGAATACTAAATAAAAAAGAAATAAATACCGAAGTGTTTGGTCTCATTTCTTGGAGTGAATAAAAAGTCAATTTTCAAAGTTTATTTAATCAAAAACTGATTTATTTCATTCTTAGGTGTTGATTAAGTTACAATCTGTTTGTCTTTTATTAAAACTCGATAAAATCTAAGGAGATTGATAGAAAAAAAAAATGGGAATGGAATGTAAAATCGAGACAATTATGAAAAAAATATATTGTATAACAAAATACACGAAAAAAAACCTAATTTCCTTACTAGATATACTAAATGAAATGCTTTCGGAAGAAGAAAAAAATCAAATCAATCAGAATGTGAATTTTGGCATTTTAAATATATTAAAAACTCTACTATGTTCATTTTTCATATCGAAAAAATAAAGCGACCGTCCCTAATATTGGTTTACGTTCATGATGCTGAAACTGTTTCATGTTTCGACGATTGAGCGTGCGAATTGCTTTTCTTCTTTTTGGTTAGAATGAATTGTGGCCGATTGGATTGTTGACGTGATGAAAATTTAAATGAATTATCATTTGAAGAGACAGTGGTGTTGCCACTGCCGCCGTTACACGATGCTTTACCCGAACGATTATTAAGCAAACGTAAACTGTCGAGCATTTGTTTTTGAAGCGCAAGACTACGTTCAATAAACATTTGTGTTAATTTAAAACGTTGCTCCTCCAAATCTTTCATTTCCTGATGTAAGACTTTTGCTTCACGTCGTTCCAATTCAGCCATTGCATTTGCTTTTCGTACTTCCCTCAAAATTTCTAATTGAACATTGTTTGGTGTGAGATTTGCATCATTTATAGCGGATGCGCTCTCAATTGCTTGCAATAAGGCATCCAACGATGAATTGACTGGCAATGATTTACGTTCACATGAATTGCTTGAGGTTGCTTGCGGTTTTGTAATTGAAATCATTTTATTTGACGATGATGACGATGATGATGACATATTATTGTATGGCGTTGATGAAACGGCCGGTGATCGTCGATTGGCCACCGTTGCTGCAACTGTATAATGCGACATTGTATCACTTGCATACTCCTTTTTTTTGTTTTCGGAAAAAATATAGAGAATTTCAGTATTTTTGTCAGTGAAATGATTGATTTTATTTAGACTTATATCTAGCAGGAGGTTATACATAAACCAGCCAGTAGGTAGGAAAAAGAAACCCTTTTTAAAATGTAATTACCGTTTTAAGCTTTTTCATTACATGATGGTCGTATCCATTTTTGTTGTTGTGATTTTCATTCGATGAATGTCGATTTTCATCTGTATCATTATCGCTACCAGAATCACCAATCGATACAACTTCGTCTTCTGAATAATTGACAAAAAAAAGTGAGAGTGAGAAAAATTCAATTAGACAAACCGAAAAATGATTTAAGAATTTTCTAACGATAAAACAGATTTCATTTACTGATTGACGATGTATTGTTGGCGACATGGCTTTCATCTAAGTTGGATAAATCAAGCGAACTGTCGTTGTGCGATCCGAGTAATTCATCAACTTCATGGTAGTATTGCCAAGTCGGTGCTTCGCCCGTTGATTCGATGCGTCGCTTCTCGTTTCTGGTGAAAGATGAAAAACATCACACACACGCGCGCGCACACAAACATGCAAAGAGATAAAGACAACAATTATTAACGGTACTCATGGTTTTGATTCGGTTTGTTTCATTGTTGATGGTGTTGTTGTTTGTGGCTTTTATTTATTTGCTACAATGTCCATTTTTAGCGGTAAACCATATTGGTCAAAACCACAAAAATGTGCGTTAAACCACCGCACCGTGTACAATGCACACAGCGAATGATATTGATTTTAATATATTTTAAATTGAACATTCAAGCATCGTATCACGTTTCATCTTTAAATCAACACTTACCGATACAATTGTGATAAATTTTGAATTTTTATGTGGACCTCTTCGCGTATTGTGTCCAAACCCATGCTATTTAATTCATCGCTGATTTCTTCATAAATGTGACGATTTTTCTTCGATTGACGCAAATCATCCAATCGAGTTGCCCAAACGCATATTAATTTATGCACTTCTTCCTCTTGCCAAATGCGTCGTCGAATTTTACGATTTTGAAAATCATACGAACGCTTCTTTTTGCCATTTGTCACTGGTGGTGACGGAGTGGCAGCAATATTACCGAGATCCATACTATTTATGCTATTGTTAAGATGATTCACAAGATTATTTGCAGTATCGTTAATGTTAAATGCCATCTTTTTTTTATTGTTTATTTATTTTGTTGTTTTTGGTCAATCTGGTTTCTCTTTCTTTCTGGAATATCTTGAATTTCGTTTGTTCGGCCTAATTCTTAATTACAACACACTTACACTTCACACTCAATGTGTGCGACTTTTCTCATTGACAATGGCGCAAATTCACTTTCGTTTTCAATACACACGCCAAACATCCAGATCTATCAATGCAAACTGCAAGCAATTTTTGAACAATGGCAACAAAAGGCGCTCTTTCTATTTTTAATTACAATTTTTTCATTTTTTAAATCGCATTTATCGGGTTATTAAAGAGATATTGAGAAATTCGAACAAAAAAAAACGGTTGTATTCTTTTATGTTTTTACCCTGATGACGCGCGATAGTTAAATGAACGCGATACGAAATACGACACACAAACGAAACACGAGATGGTTGAAACAATGGATTTGATGCTGCTACCGATGCACTGTGTGATTTAATTTACCACCACAATATATATGTATATATTAAATTAAACAATATATATAACAAAAAATGAGTGATGCTTCACAAATGTCAGATGTACAGTATTTTGGCACACTCTAGTTCTTTTTTTAAACTCAATATTATTGTACAATAGTTTTGCAAATTCTTTATCTCTTTGGCTTTGTATTTTAGAATATTTTTTCTCTTTTCTTGTAATTGCTGATTATAATTGATTTGTTGGTTTTTTTTTTTCTCTCGATTGACTTTGGTTTTCTTCTTTTTGTAAATGTGATACGTTTTCAATTGTTTATAATCAAACAAACAACATTGAGAAAAATTGGTAAATTGCATGCGCGCGACTACGTTACCACTGATTTATTACACATTCGAAATGCCATACAAAAGGGAATTTTGATTTTGTTGTTTCTTTGTTGTTGTTGTTGCGTTTCTTGTTATTCCGTTTTCGTGTATTAATTTTGGCATCTCATCCTTGATTTGCGTTGCAATATAACACGTTCTCACTCTACACCTTTTATACACTCAATTTTCTATCACACTGGCGCGCACATACACACCATTTTTTGGGCACAAAATGCTAATGTTAATGACGATGATGATGATGCTGTGGCTACTCTGCCATTGTCGTGCTACAAACCGTTTATGTGACAGAGTGTGCGTTAGACGACGACAACGACGACATATCCAAGCGATATTTTGATTGTAGTACAGAAGGAAGATTTAGCATTGTGTACATGTATGTGTGTAGTGGTGGTTGATCAATCACAGATAGGGTGAGAGAGAGGAAAATGTAGCAACATTTTGTCGCATGTGTTTTCATCACGTTTGCTGAACATCAAATCATATAAAAAGGTACACACAGCAATCATTCGTAATATATCATTCATGCTATACATCTATAGCATTGTGTACATTGACTTCAAATCGGTCTCTTTCCCTCGTTTCGACACAGTCTAGATGAGTTTCGATCTCTTTCGTTCTCCGTCATGCATACTCAATTGGTGATATCGTGTTCGGCAAGGATAATTGCCAAAAAATCGTATTTTACGAAGCAAGTAACAAGAACACTGTGTATGTGTGTCTGTGTACATATATACACATTTCCAATATATGAACAATGATGCACGCGTTATCCAAAGAACGATAAAAAGAGAGCAAAGCAGCAACAACAACAACAACAACAACCTGGATAAAGAGATGATATTCACATTTTATTCGTTTCAGTGTTTTGCAATTGGGGTGAAATTGTAATGCGATTGTGAGTGGATTTTATGTGTATGTGTGCGTGTGTGTATGTGTGAGTTTGTCATTAAATTTCGAACTCGTTTTAATGTTCATCATCATCGTCATCATAAATTGCTGTATTCATTCGTTCATTGAATGGTTTGCTTTGCTTGGTTCGTTGGCTTGGATTTAAATGACCCGAGTCAACAGCGAAATGAAGAGAGAGAGGGAGAGAGTTCAGGGTACATAACTTTTTGCAAATATTCGACTTCCACATTTACCCCCAAAACTCTCTTTTTGCTCAATTTCGCTCTGAGTCATTATTTGAACACGTACACCAGCAACGCCAATTAACATCAATTGATGACATAAATGATGATTCGCAACGGCAAGAGCGAACGAGAAAAAAAGTTGAGTGACAAAAAAAAATTGAAAATCAATACATTTTATCCATTCTGCAAATTTGCCCCATTTTATATGCTATCATTCAAAATGGCCTTCTAATAACTTCATCCCGTGAAGCGAATGAGACTGAATTACACCGATGACACAATAATTCTACGACGATTTTAAATTTTTCGCTTCGATTTATTTTAAATTTTATTTTTTTCATCATGTTTTTTAACAATATTATTTTTATACAACTTTCATACAGTCTTCGTGAAATAGTTTTTAAATTACAATTCTGTTATTCAAACAAAACAAAAAAAAAGCCTTTGCAAAAAAGGTGCGCTTCGACAATTGGAAAATTATTTTGTATCAAAGATCGATAAAACTGTGCGCCAGTCGAAACCTTGTTGCCGATCAATTAAATTAATTTTATTCATTTTGCTCATGCTTGTGATCAGCATTTTAAATGGTCGATAATTTTCCAATGATGCTGTATCCCCAACCATAATTAGTTTGTGCTTGGCACGCGTAATAGCCACGGTTAAACGCCGTTGATCCTCTAGAATTTCGTTATTTCGACGCATCTCCATCGATTTCATTGTCTTATCCGACGGTCCTTTTGATTTGGTACATGAATATATGATGACCTGATAGCAAAAGAAAATGTTTAAAAATAATTCACTGATAATCGGTAAATAGAATGTTATAAAAACAGCAATGATTATCAGAGGTATATTATCGATGAAACAAAGCTATTATTGAATAACATCACACTAAAAAAAAATATTTTTGTTTTGAAAACCTTGTTTAATATCAACATACTTCTTTATCACGACCTTGGTATTGATCTACGGTGTTTACTTCGATATCGTTATCAAAATGTTGTGCCACCGACTTATGTAGCAAATCAACTTGTAGTGCGTACGGTGCAATGATGCCAATCATATTGCTATCGAGACCCATTTCTTTTAATTCTTTGACAATTGCCAAAATAATGGCCACCTCACAGTAATTCGTATAAATTCGTGTACTTTTGACCTTTGTCGGTGATTGAATGATATTTGCATTGGCATTTCCAAGAATTCGGTCAACCGTTGTGCCATTCATTTCGGCCACATTGCCCGTATTTAAGAATATGACCGATTGATCGATATGCGGTGACAATGTTCGTTGTATCCACTTTGTTTTTGTTATGACCTTTCTTTTGAATGTTGCATTTGCCACATCATCATTGGCACATTTCAAATGACCCTTATATGTTAAATCATTCGCCAGTTTTGTTATGGTCTTATTCATTCGATATTGATGTGTCAGAGCTATTGTAGCCTCTGGCGAATCTAAACGTGCAAATAGGCTTTCGTCAGCACCCAATTTTCTTTAATTTATCGAAAGAAAGAAAAATGTCTTAGACAACAACGAAATATACATATATACGTATATCACTCTAATTCGATTCATATCGTTAAAGTGTAGTAAATCTTCAAATTATTTAAAATAATAATAATTCGTATTTACCTCGCCATTTGCGATCGTACAATTGGTGGTAATTGATCTGGATCACCAACGAGAATAATCTTTTTGGCTGAAAATAATGGACGCAAAACGGTACTCTGGAATACTTGTGTCGATTCATCCACTAAAGCGACATCAAATACTCTTTGTGTCAATAACGGATGACCAGATCCTAAACACGTGACACCAACTACATTCTGTGTGCGGAACAAAGAGTTTTTTTTTATATTGCAGTTGATTTTGATTTTTGCATTTCAGTTTAACGATTTTTTCAGATTTTTCCAATGGCACCATAAACTTGGAATGGACAGTGTTGATGATTCATTTTGAAATTTTCAATATACTCACAAATTGATTATAAACATTTGCCAATTCATCTGGTGTTTTGCATGTGGACGTGTATGCTTCTTCACTGCTGTCCCTCAACTCTGGGCGTATTCGTTTCGCCGATCCTAATCGCATAAATTTTATATTTGCATCACATTTTTTGAGACGTGTCAGTACATTATCAACGGCCGAATGTGTGTGGCTTGTGATCAGAACCGATTTTTCCATCAAAACTAATAATCGAATTAGTGCGGCAAGGGTTTGTGTTTTTCCGGTTCCCGGCAATCCTTTCAATAGTAAATATTCATTTGCCGTAAGTGCTTTTAGCACCGCCGTTCTTTGATTTCCATTCAATGTGAGCAAAATGGATTTTCCTGCCATCGTTATAACTTTTGGTAATGTTTTTGTAAATGTTGGCTTCGTGCGATCGATGACAATTCTGCAGAATACTAAAGTTTTATCACTAATATTCAATTGTTTTTCGATTTTATTTTGGTCTTACTTTCTCAGCCGTTCAGCGGCTTCGGTATTGTCAAGCAAAGCACCCAAATTCGACATGTTAAATGTGGCATTTGTTTGCGATTCGTATTTATCGATGATGAACGTCTCATTTGCGTATCGATCACATAAATTTCTGATGAAAAAAAAATTCGTTGAAAAATTAATTGAATTAACTTTTAAACACAAGAGAGAGAGAGAGAAAAAACGAAATATTCACCTGTCCAAAATGAGTGTGATGACATTTTCAGTGATCCCAATAACAGGTCCAGCTCCAACTGCGTATCGCTTTGACGTGCTAACAATCAAATAATTACCCAAGGCAAATCCAAATGATGTTAAATCAACTCTGTCCGTACGAAAATCGTGAATATATTCGCCATCTTTTTCTTCTTTAACATTTCGATCCAAAATCAGATCAATCACAGCTCTGCCGCATTTTTGACGGTGTTCGGGCGTTTCGAGCCACAATACTTTATTTGGATTTACTAAAGAAAATGGAGAAAGTCTATCAATAAAGTGAATACAAATCACCAGTTTATCCACAATATTCTTACATTTTTTATTCTCTTGATCCTCTAAAACCATCAGTCCAACCCAATGACAAAAATAATTGATATGCGCATCGTTCAAATGTATGGTTACCAGGGGTGCAATTTCACGAAGTGGATGCTTTGCATCGAGCGATGATAGTGTTTTTGTATCTTGATTCAAATACACCGAACAAAGAATATTATATGGACACGTTGCACATACATTGCCCCTATTGATTGGCTCTGGCAGTTCCGGAATAAATGAAACTTGCATCAGTTCGGTGAGTAAATCATCGTTGGATTTGGCGCCACGATCTTCATTGAATATTGACTTTTGTCCGATATTCGCATACGATTCGAATTGTTTGGCCAAATAGTATGAGATTTCATTGCGAAGAAGTATTAAATCACGCCGTTCTTTGTGTGCTCCTTTTACCTCACGCATTACTCCTTCACGCAAGTACAACAGAAGCCCTGATTCAATCTTCGTTTTCTCTATTTCGGTCATCATCATTTGATAAATGATTAATTGACCTGTGTGTTCGGCGGAGAAACTGGCTCGTCCCGTTTTCAATTCGAGCGGCATGTATATGGATTTTCGCTTGGACATACTATTCTTCTGACCGCAATTAATATTCACCGATACATCAACTTTTCCCTTGAGTCCCAATCGTGGCACCCATATATTTTCTTCAATATCTTGAATACTATCGATCGTTCCATTGAATTGTTCAGTCTGAAAGAAAGATTCTTGCAACTAAGTGCAGGTTTTTTTCTATCTATAATAATTTCATTACCTTCTTGTCTGAAGTAATTGCCTTTCCTTCGACATATCGCTGCATGAAATCATAAATTTTATCCAAGAATCCATTAAATTCGTTGCGTGCTTCCGTTGAATTCATGCTACTTGCATATAATGTATAAGCCATTCCACCATCGGATAACATTTCTTCGCTAATCGCTTTGATTTGATCACGTGTCGTAAGTCGGCGTCGCAATACTATTTGAAATAGTTCATGCACAATCGAACCGATGGTCATCTAATAAGATTTTATCATATCATCAATTAAAAACAAAAAATCAACAGAGCGATTTGACTTACAATTTTGACACCCGCTTCAATGCCTTTGAAACGATCTTGGAGCACAGCTTTTCTCATGCAAAACAGTCCACTAACAACGGTCGTACCCGAAACCAGGAAATCGGGACGAACTACCACAAAGCCATCGTTGTTTGAGACACAATATGAACGAGTTTTTGCATTCCACACGGCAACTATGGACACAATATCACCAACATCGATTCGGCACTGTGACCAAAAATGTTGCAATCGACAAATCATTCGTTTGACGGGGTCAGTCTTCATATCATTAGATTTTCCATTATCCTCATATCCAGCAATGATGAGATCATGATTGCGTGCATCGCGCGAACAATTATCAATGATACATCGTTTCCAAGTGCTAATATCCAAGATGCATTCGGATTGTGATGAATCACTATCATCGAAACTATCAAAATCGATGCCATGCAGCAATTTTTCGACCGAATTGTGACGTTCTATTGTTGATGCTGGTTGTTGCTCTTCACTATTATCTTCCGACGTTGTAAATTCATCGTCAAAATCGACAAAATCGATGCCATTCAACAAATCTGCGCAACCACTTTCAGATAATTTTATGTGCTTTGGATTTGGAAACATTTGAATTTGTTCATCATCGCATGTGCGTCGTTTATTCATATCGAGATTTTCCATTAAATTTAATAAACTTTTAATTCACTTCTAAATGATCTGTGCCACCTTTCGACATTATTTGAAATAAATGATGAACAAAAAAAAGTGAATTATTGACGAAATTTCGCGCGCCAATTTTGTTCTTTCCATTTCATACACAAAGTGACAGTTCATATGTGTCACTTAAGTACGGAACTGTTGGATGGATGCGTTCAATTCGATTTGTTTATATTTCCAAAAACATTTGTTTTATTTGTCAATTTCAAAATAAATTATTGAAAATTATTGCTCGTAAACCCGGGAAAATTATGTTAAAAAAAATGTGTATAACGATATTCCGAGTAAATGTTTTGATACATCATTTTTGTATTCGCCATGGATTGTAGGGAACGACGAAAGAATCAAAACAATGAATTTCACCACATACATGCACTCATACATATAGGTACAAACACCAAAGCAACAGAGTGTTGCGAATAAAATTACACAGTATCAATCAATGTTTTAACATTGTGTGCATATAAAAATTGAAATGTCGTACATACCATACGAATGAACATAGAGGCATATACAAACAGATACATGCGCCGAAACGGCCAACATTGAAAAGTGCATCATTGTTGTTTCTTCTTTTTATATATTTATTTCTCTGTCTTACCCTCATTCAAATCGGTCATGCATATTCATAGTTTGTGTTCTGCTCAACAATAACAACAACACCATCATATACGAAATACATGTTTCTATATACTATTGTAGTTTTTCGTTTCGTTAAGTTATGCATATAGTTTTTTATTGTGTGTGACATACAAAATTTCAAGAAAAAAGAGTATTCTTTTGGCACAAAAATATTGTGTGTACATTTGGTTGTAATGAAGTGAAGTTTCGCATTGTTTGTCTGCACTAACGCAGCAGCAGAAGTAACACTAGTCGCAGCACGTAATAACAAAAGTTTTATTTTTTTTTCACGAATTCTCTCTATACAATACGGACTATTTTTAAAATAAATAAATACTTTTGTCGAAAGTAATGTGTTCAATTTAATTTTGTGTTGTGTGTGTTTTATTTTTCATTTAAAAGAATCTGCAATAGTGGATGAAGACAAAAAAGGAACAAAAAAAGAGAAAATTATAAGAAAATGCGAGAATGAGAGCCAAGAATTTGAAGAAGACATAAAAGCGATTTTAATTTTTCGTCGCTTCCAGTTGGTAAGCAAATGAATTTCAGACAGTGTGGAATAAGTAAGCATTTGTCGCTATTTCGTCGGTGCCTGAGTTCTGTTTTCGACAATCTGCCCTTTAAAGTGACTACAAGACTTGAAAAAAAAGTATTACATATTTGCCATTTTCAAGTGTTTTTTTTTGTTCTGCTTTTCGCTCGGGTATTGTGTATGTGAAGGTTGATACCGAGAGAAAGAGAGAGAGAGAGAGAGAGAGAGAGAGAGAGAGAGAGAGAAAATACAACGACCGACCATCATTTTTGACCAACACACAATATTTTTTTCTTTATTTTTGTGCAATTCACATTGGAATTCACTGAATAAATAATAACGCAAAATACAAAGTGAATGAAATAAAAGCGAAAAAAAAGACGTAACAAAAAAAAGAAGCAAAAACGCAGTGACACACATGAAATTTGGTTTAAAAAAAACGGAAGAGAGCGAGCGAGAGAAATCTAGTCACAAAGTATTAAAAGTAAAGTGTTTAAAATTGACAAAAATTTAAAGACTGGTTTCGGATTTAAATGTCCCATTCAATGGCAATTGACTTTGGGCTGCCTCTAAACTTCAACCATTAACAGAGAAGTTCAGTAAACGATTGCACGTAAGTTTTACTACTGTGCTTTGTGGGCATATATAAATCTTCACTTTTTTTCGTTCAAATTGTGATACATTTTAATTCGAATGCAAGTGCATAAAGCGAATGAGAAAACGAGATGTAGAATCTTTACATTGAATAGAATTGCCAAGAAATATTTTGTCTTGCATTGAATATCGAATTCGTTTTCAGTGAATCCCGCATGATGCATGCACAATGCATACACACAGCTGCGTTGTATAACAGTGAATCTTGACAGCATATCGTAAAATATACAACAAAGCACTAAAATCCTATTATGACACCCATCAAAGGGAATATAGAGCATTTTGTTAACTGAAAATGCGTCATTTATATGTGTGTGTGTGTGTATGTGTTTGTGCATAGAAAATGACATTTTATTCTGAATGGAGGACACGTGTGATGTGAATTGAAGTCATTTTGTTTTTCTTTGTCTGCAGTCATCATGTTATTCATGAACAAAATAGCCAACATTCGAATGCTGGGCAACGCGTCGATTTCAAAGACCTAACTTTCGCAATATGTATGTCATGAATCAAAACAGCCAAACAGTCTTCATTTTACTTCGATGCGACTGTCACATAATATTGGATCAAATGACATTACAAGTTGAACATTCTATTCTTTTTTCACGTTCAGTTTTGTTTGTATTTTATATTTGGTTTCTAAAATTGAAAAATAAAGCAACAACAATCATTCAAAATGTTCGACATGTTTAAAGTCATATATGCCATACAATGTACAGTGCAATGCGGTCTCGGTACTAATGCATCGAACATTTTAATATTGAAACTAAAAAGCGATGACACCGAATTAACAACGTACCGTTCAGAGGAAAATGATGTATAAAAAAAACCACAAAAACGACATTGCATACACTGTAATACATGACAGAGGCTAAAACGTAGTAAAGAGTGTCGTAGCCACCGACAAAGAGCTAAAATTAAATAAACGACAGTTAGCACGAAAGGGAGAGGGAGATAGAGAGAAATCAAAAGCCAATCACATATATGCGTGAATGGCAATGAAGACTTCGCTTAAAACTGTGATTTTTTGATATTGTTTTCCATTTGCATGCACACAATTCTTTTTACATAACACTAGTTAGAGAAAATGTTACACTGTTGATGATCAATCTATAGTATGATTTCTTTCCCAGCTCGTTCTCATTCTTTTCGCGTAGAAATGCCATAAGTTTTGCGTAACAGATTAAATAAAATGATATCATTGTTGAATGGCAACGGCTTAGGCAAAGTTCACGAAAAGGAGAATTTCAAAACGTAAAACCGCTGAACAGATATAGATAGAGATGTCCCTAAAACACAATTCTACTAAACATTTGAATATAGGCCCAATGATTGAGTATGCTTTAACACAGAAACTATCTGCGATTTCATATTCATTTGAAACGACGACGACGACGATGATGATGATGTTAAAAAAAAGAGTTGCGATTGGGCTATAAAGATTGTTCTCGTATTGGTGTGCGCATTCTGTGCATTCACAAGCCAATGTTCTGATATAAAGTGCGCGTGCGCTTATTCAGCAGCGCAACTTTTCTGCATTGAAAATATTACTAGAAACAAATATATTGGCGCGCGCGCGCCCAGTTCTCAATTCTCAATTATGGTCGATGGTCGTCTCTCACTCTTTTGCCATTGCCTGATTTTCCATATATACACATTTTTTCTTGCCTCTTGTCAGTGTGCTTTAAATGTATTCTCTATCTCTCTTGATTCCAACTAATTCATAGTCTATTCACAGCGGGCTCATGAGCTCAAAATGGTTTGTGATATTTCGTTTTTGTTCATTCATACTGAAATTACTTTTTTTTTCGTAATTATTATTGGCCAGTTGAAAATGCGCCAAGAATGTACACACAAAAAATCGGTTTGCGCAGTTGAATCAAGACGAGCGAGAGAGAAAGAGAGAGCAAAATATGAGTGGCAATGACCATTGCAATATGTGATTTTTTGTCATTTTCTCTCCCCCTTTCAGTGCTGTGACGCACGATCAAGTACTATGAATTCGGTTGACAGAATCAGAATATGTAATCAACAGAATACCAAGTAGCTATTTTCGATTTATTCAATGTTTTTTCTCTCTCTTATTCAATGCGTGCGTGTATGTTGTTTCTGTTATTTTTTTCTTCTTGCCATTTTGTTGTTTGGCTGACACATTTCGGCGTTTTTTTTTTAATCCGAAAAAGGGTGTGAATGAGATCGCATATTGACATGATGGTGATGGTGGTGGTGATGGTGGTGGTGATGCCATATATGTCATGCAATAACAAAAATAATACGCACAATAATATGTACAAAAAAGAAGCCAAAAAGAGCCGAGATAAGAGCACAAAATAAACTAAATACAAAGCAGTAAAAATTGCTTCACATTTAATGTATTCAATGTGTCATCAACGTTTTTGGATTGATGGTCATTTGCGTAGTTTCATTTCTCAAGTGTTGTGTTGATTTTTATCCTATTCACATGATATTCGTTAATTATTCAGAAGCAACCGAAAACTTTTTTTTTCCAACAATCGATTCGGTGACAACGATTTCGTTTTTTATGACAACACCAATATATACCATTAATGATATTTATATATATATATTTTTCGTAAATGTAAAGCAATTGAACTAATAATAACAACAGTAGTAGCAGTAGCAACAACAAGTGCTGAACTCTCGGTTCATGTTTGACAAGCAAAATAATAACTATATTCATTATAATTTTGTCGTGTGAGTGTGAATTTGCCTCATTTTCTCTATTTAATTCATCATTCTACCAGCATATTGACTTCATATTAAAGGGCATGACATTTATTATTCAATCGATTGATATCACAGTTGAATTGCATTACACGTTTTGATAACATTCGGCCTTTATTTGAACCGCATTTAAACAGTCACATTTTAATTGTTTTCATTTGAACATCAAGATTTATGGAAACGCCTGAACGAGAATTTATGGTTTTATTACCAATCAAAAATTCTTACCGTCGTAGAAATTTAGCGTAAAACAAACATGCCACCATAAAACTAACAGATCAAAATCAACAAAAAAAAAACCTGCAACGAGACAACATTAACAGTTGGAAAACGTTAATGATGAAAAACAAACAACCACATGCCACCATATATGTCTGTGTAAAACTGGATGTGGTTGCGACTTGACTTGGTGTGTTGTTGTTTATGTTAACGGAACCTGTTAGAATCGAAACCGGATGATTTAAAAAGAAATCAATATCAAATATTCATGTAGAATATATCGTAGAAGGAAATAAGAATATACATGTTATGGAATGTATGATATGTCAAATCTCGTTTAGTTCCTTTTGATGAGAGTATTTGAGGTCGGTTTGTCGGACAGCTCGAATCACATGATCTTTCAACGAGGAAATTTAAATTGCCTCAAACATCATTTTTCGCCGGTAAAATATAGTTTTTTTTTTTCTTTTTACGGTTCACTAATCGATTGCAGTATGGTATTAAGTTAACCATAAATTAACTGACAGACGAAAAAAAAAAACGATACATTCTACGTTCAATTTGAAATCTCTATTGGAATAATGAATAGATTCATGGTAGTAATTTGCATTTATTAACCAAAACAAAGTTGAAAGAAAATAAGACAAAAACAACGCATTTGAATGAGTCAATATTGAGAGGACTTGTGTGTTTAATGACGATGGAATTGTAAATGTAAAATCATTTTTACCAAAAAATCACACACAAAGTGGAATTGACATTACTTTTTGTTTATCTTTTGTGTTATTGCCTCGATGGCAGCTTAAAATGCAGAAATACACGATGCAACTTAAATTCTTTAATTGTTCATAAATAGTGTATTTGAAATGAATGTGAAAAAGAGATTTCATTCATTTTTCGCAGAAAATTAAAATTTTTAATTTTTTTTTTTTACGGTTAACAAACGATCCATTTGAAAGTGTCTCCAATTGGCAATTGTATGATGCAATTAAGTCAATTTAAATAGTTTGAGGCGTCAAAATTGTAATGCAATTTGGAACGACTGCAGTGCTCAGTATGACAGACTGTTTTCACATGATTTATATTGCTTAATCGAAAAGTAGCTGCGACAACAAAACCAAACCAAATAAAAAAAAAACCGTGGTAAGCAACAATAGTGTGTATATTGTTTTCGAGTCATAGAACGTGGCGGTTGCATGTTTGCAATATCAGCAAATGGCGCAAAATCACAATACACAGATGGTATTTGTACTAGCTCTCCACCACAGTGTATATACGGAATATATTGTAGTTGATTAGTTGGCTCTTTTTTTGTGTTTCGATATAGCATATTCATTCAATATAATAGTTACGATTTCATTTTTTTCACATATATACTGTATAGTTTGTTAGTTATGATCATTGTGTTTGCTTTTCGGGCCGTTGTTATTTTGTCTTCACAAACAGCAAGCGAATACATAGTTACATATTTGGTCGGTTGGTCGTGCGCGCAATGATTTTTTTTTATAATTGAGATTTGAAAATAGACATAAATGCAAGAAGCGAAACATTAGAAGACGCCCAATCGACGAAAATACGAAACGAATTCAAACGAAAGGTAAAACACAATCAATTCAATGGCAACTGGTAAATGATTTATTGGCATGCGAGTGTGGTCAAACGTTGCTACTTTAGGTTATTGGACTAACTAAACCAAATGTGCCGATACTTTTTTTTCGTGTTCAAATTCGATTTCGATTTTCTTTTTTTTTTTATTTTAAAGTTTACACACTCTGAAATGTTCAATTCGAAATCCGAATATAATTTTGAGGTGGGTCAAGCCACACATAGTGTTTAGTGTTTTTTAAACGATATTTGCTAGAGGTCATGTATACCAATTCTCTCCTGTCTGATTTATTCGCACTTCCGTTTGACACACGAATTTGAATAGCGATGAGGAAGAGCGCGCACTCGAGTAATTTCAAAAGTTTCAATCAAATACATGCAATACAATGAATATATGTAAAACGTTGTTTTCATAAATGCCGTTGTATGTATACAGTTTTGACAAATTACACGTAAAACAAGCAAACCATTAATTAATTGTATTGAAATTTATCGGTTTGTAATTGCAGGTACAGCATGTGCACGTAATATAGAGAAAAAGTCATTTCTTCACAATCATCACGTACAAGTATGCTTGAGCACGTTTTTTTTGTGCCGTTAATTTTGTAAAGCTCTCTTGTGACACAAACAGGGCGAAACCGAAAAATGTGAAGAATTTATTTTTCAAAGTTTTAAACAAAGATTGGCCTGGTAGGTCAAGTATTCCTCAATAAAAAAAAATTTAAATGAAAGGATCGATGTAATATGGAATAAATATCCAATCCAAGGTATCATGTGTGTATTTGGGATATATGCTACTTCATTAAATATGCATGCGATCCATAATGTTGATGGCGTTCGGTTGATTTGACAAAATGAGGTGACTGTGACTGATAGAGCAAGTACAAATAATGCATAAAAACGAAACTAATTAATTATCATTGCGCGATTAAATGCGCGCCTGTCGCACCAAATATATAATGTATTGGAAAAAACAGAAAATCGCTTCGATTGTCTACGATTGACCATGATAAATGCCACACGCGGCTCAAAAAGGGAGAATGTGAAAATACATGTATGAGTTGAAATTGAAAAAAAAAAAACACACACACGGACAGAAACAGAGAGAAACAGAGAGATAGAATATAATTAAACAAATGGAAAATACGGATTATAATCCCAGAAATATATCTATTTTTAAATCCGATTATCAATTGGTTAATGCGCGCATGCAATTAATTTTATGTCGTACCAATAATGACACTCTGTGCTCTATTTCCCTTTCGTTCGATTCCCTTTGCCGATCATTATTCATTTCACTTTCTCTTTGTCTCTTCATTGCCAATGATTTATGTAATGACGAATATAGTCATGAGTGATTTTCATTTGAATTTTCTTTTTATCCATTTCTGTTGTTCGGTCGTTCAATTGCAATGATGATTGGAATGGTTTCAAGCGACCACAATCGAACATTTAAATGGAAATTCACACATTATCTGAAAATTAATTTTCGGCGAAAAGAACTTTCGTTTCATTATAGCTACCAACAACAACGACTATATTTTGTAAATAAATGATATTTACATTATCAGTTGGTGATGTTGAACTCATTCACACAGTCAATCTCAATATAAGCAAAATGTATAATACATTAAGATTAAACAATATACACACAAAATAAATGCTTTAATGTGAAATAAACGCGGATGCGATATAAAAGCGTTGAACGACAGTAGACGGATAATAAACGTTAAAATTGCCAAAGGGAATTGAGTAATAACACCACACAAAAATATTATGATGTATGACTTAATTGGCAAAAAAAAAGTCATTCAAACCAGTGTGATAACGTTCGAATATTTAAAGAAAAACGCCATATAATTTGCCAACTGTTTATAACGAAGATGTAAATTTTCGAATACAAAAAATAAACAAACAAACATCGAAATGCAAAATAAGCGTCAACGCACGTGAGAAAATGAGAACGCACATAAGCGACAGATAGAGACCGAGATAAAGAAGATTCACTTTTTTTGCACAGATCTAATCGATTTCATTTACAGCTAAGCAAATATATACTCTACACCAAAGGGAATGACATTGTTTATTTGTGCAAATAACATCAGTCAAATGATAAAAGTCTGGGCGATTGTACGAACTGATTTCACGGTTCTCTTTTTTGTCATCTTCTCTCATGTATGCGTTGCGTTTTTTTCTGAGCGTCTGGATTTATTTCATTTTCTTGCTTCTGCACTTTTGTGGGCATCCATTGGGTATTGTTGTTGTTCTTGTGCGTTATCAACACACGTTGAAATATTAGCATTTGATGTTGATGGGTGACGGAGAGAGAGAGAGAGAGTGTGTGTGTGTATGAGACATTCATAAGCTGGTTTTATTTGCGTTGTTATGTTTTATATACACAAAACGCTAGAAACTCACTCAAGATTTGCGCTTCTCTTTTTCATTTAAATAAACATTAATTGTTATTTTAACCGTTTTATAAACTCTAAACAAACAACAATAATATTTTTCTACTTCTATTTCACGTTTCTTTTTGGTCTATCTTGTTAATTAATTAATGACATTCGCTTCTCTTTATCTTTTACAAATAGGAAATACAACAACCGGCTACAGCGATGAACGAATGAACTGTTCAAAACAGCACAGTCTGAAGAATCGAAACCATTTTCGGTCAATCATCATTCAATAAATAAAAAAAATCGAGAACAAAGACTGTTTTCAATGGATTTGGTATTTCAACAAGAGTAGCTCTTCAAAAGCCGATTTTACAAATCAATAAATATATCGTCGATATAGAATTATGCGTTCTTATTGAAACGGTGCGACAGGTGTTATAGACAAAGAGTGTTATCGGTGTTCAAAAGAATGTGCGCATGTAATAATCTTTAAGCCTGCTTGCATGCAGATGTACAAAACGGTGTCACGAAACATAAAACGAATAATACACGAGATCCGGTGAAAACAATTTGCATTTGCACGTGTAAAATGTGAAATTGCAAATTTGCTAAAATATTGAACGGTTACACAGGACGGGAGACGAAAGTGAGCAAATGAACAGCCGAACGAATGCTTAGTATAACATACAAAGTATTTTAAGGCGTCGATTTAACGGCAACAGCGAAGGGTGAAAACAGCAATAAAAAAAAATAAAAACGTCCAAAAGTTCGATATCAAAACAGAGAGCGAATACATTTTGCAGCGCACATATTCAGTTCGATTCTCAGCTGATGTGAGTCGGTGGTGAACGAACAAAATAGCGGCGACAGTGTTCACGCATATCGAGATCAGTGTGCTACAGAAGAAATAGACAACGTTTGCATGCCGAGACGTGCACAACGAATGAAAATTCAGTACGCCGAAAAGAGACAAACAGAAAGAAACGAATAAAATTTAAACAAAAAAACCGACATTGCCAAACAATCGATGCGTACATGTGAAAGCTTCATGTTGTCGAAATGCAAATAAATACAACAACTGATCCGAATTAAAAACACTCAATAGAGACGAATCACATTGTGTGTACATATCAGAACCACAATTCCATTTGGGACAAATGCAATAAAAAAAGAGACATTGCTAACAGGAACCCGAAAAAACAACACGGAAACAACATCAAAATAACCACAAGAACTGCAAAACAAAAAATTTCATTAAATTTTTATCTATTTAGAAGGCGGTTTGTAAAATAACTGTCGTGTCCACTTAACTAATAAGTGAATCGAAAGTGACACGATTGATAAAGTGGCCACCGTTTCTGTCTGTTATTTTTGGTGAGTGAATAATCAAGTTTCGAGTTTGTAGGAAGCCGAAAAGAAACCGACAATCAGACACATATATACAACCGACCGAGAAACAATTTATTGGTTTTTTTTCGTCTCTCTTATTCAACGCGATTTGTATTTCAAAGAAAACAACTCGATTTGATAGACGCAAACGAAACAAAAATTGAAATATATTTTTAGTGCAATGAACGATAATTAGCAATTGAAGAGTGTAACAAAAAAGAAACGGTGAAGAGACAGACATACATTGTTGTCGGGAGTGCAAAACAATAAAAAAACGGAACGAAGACGAAGACAGAATATTTATTCGAATGCGATAGTCGCATTGTTGGATTGAGTTTGGCGGGTTGCAGGAGTCCATGGCCATTGGCCAATCCATTACTGTTATCGCATGTTATCAGTGAAACTAAAAAAAGGCACAATATATCAATTGATGTATTTTGTGCGCGCTAAAATTAAACAACAGTTCCGATTAGATCGCCATAAATGATTCTATTGCAATTGAAATAAAGAATAGTGAAACAAAACGAGAGAAAGAAAGAACGAGCGTGCGCGCGCGCTCTGGTTCCGTTCTTTTATTTTATAGGTATATATCGCGCGCGAGAACGAAGCTATTTATCGCGATTGTTATTGTTTAAAAATAAATACTCGATTCACACACAAAATAATGACCGATTTTTCGATAAAGGAATAACAACAGCACGCGAAACACATATGAAAAAGCTGAAGAGTAAAAATTAATAATTTCGGTGATTGTATTTCGTATGTATACAATTCAAATGAGATTCGGTTGATATCTTTATACCGAAGGAAAACATATATATATCCAGAAAAACGAGAATCATATTTAATTAAGAAAATGCATCATAACAACGACATAATTAGTGGTAAAATATCATCAGATATTGAAAATATGGAATGGAACATGGGTTCAGCACAGCTACCAAATGTTAGGTATGTATAATTTGATTGAAATTAGTCGATTTGAACTTAGAAACCCCCATTGGACGGGCGGTCATTCTTCGTTCCAGGCGCATATTTTGATTAGATCATCTCTGTTTTGTAGATATTCATATTGGAAATTAATATAATTTGTACAATTTAAGTCTGAATTATGACGCTCGACGACCAGTACACATAATCAATCGGTTTACTGGTGTCATTTGTGTGTCGTTGATTGCGAAAACTGGTTAGATGTGAATTATTTAATAAAAATTAATATTTTGCTCGATCGATCAATTTCAATGTGATTGGTTTTTTTTCTTCTCTTTTTCTTTCCTCTCGTTTTCGCTTCTTTTACATGCATGTATATTGTTTGCCTCCATCGCGCTCATGCAGAGTGAAATATTCCTTTTTCATGTGATTGTGTGTTTTTGTTGATTTGTTATCCATGTCGCGTACATCCGGATAAATTTTGAGCACAATTTTTTCTCTGTCCCACTGCCGAACACAATACACAACGTGATCGAATCCATTGTGTGATGACAATTGAATCGAAAGAGCCCAAAAAATATTGAACGAAAACAACATTTTCGGCATAACAAAACATCGAGAACCAATAAAATTGAGCATTGAAAAACGGATGAAACGGCAAATAAAAATAAATAATTAGATGTACAATGTGCGGCCGCAAAGCTTTCTTCTTTCGCTCATCTATTGTCTGTTCCAGCATATAGCAATGAGTCCCATTAAGGAGTGAACTATGTTTTGTCGCCATTCCAATGTCTATTTTCATGTTACTTTTTGCGTTTGCGTGAGTTCAAACCATATACGAATAAATAATTTTTTTATCGATAAAATTACATTGAATCGATTAAAAGCCAATGATAATTCAATTTTATCGTATTTCCTTGTAGCAGCGGTAGCAGCAGTAACACAAATGAAAATACCAAGCTACTGGATAGAAGGAAAAAAAAACACCGAACACAAGCCGAACAATACAAAAATCATTTTGTCATGTGGCATGCCACAAAATATCACAAAATTTCATGATTGAATTGGCTGCTGACGCAATAATAACAGAAATAATCAACGCACGACGGTAGTGCCCAAATCGAATCAAATCAAATCATTCAACAATGAATTTTCAGTTATTGTCGAGTTTCCTTCTTGAATATTCATTGAATATTCATATACCCCGAAAAGCACTTAAGTATTGAGTGGCAAAAAAACATATTAATTGTGTGTTTTGAAGAGAAACCTTTTTCTTTAAAACCGTACACATATTTTCTGAGCAAATATTCTGAACAAGACCCACACCCACACGCACACACATCTATATAAAAACAAGTAGCCACATTGACATTCATTTGCGAGCGAACACCAAGTTTGCAACTTGCATCATAATAACAAATTATACAAGAATCGAGCGAAAAAAACATACACATAACATATTTTCTATTTTCTGCTTCGATGAATGACGTTTCTGTGCTATGAACAATCAAAACGTTTCAACCTTCGATGGAAACAAGTATCTCTCTTTCATTTACTCTCTTTCTCTCTCTGTGTGTATGTTTGCGAGAGAGTTTTTTATGATTCTCTAATTGTAAAATTGAGCTTCTTCAGGCCAACCGTCATTGTGTGCTCGGCTGTTGAAAATGCAATCAAAAGATATCAAGCACTTTCGAAAGCTCAAACAACAAACGACATCAACGAAGATGTTGATGATGACAACAAAAAGGTGAAACATTTATAGTTACTGCCGCTTTTTAGCACAAACAGAGATCTATAGAGAAGAGACAAAAGTTGGTCTATTTACTATTTTTAGAAGACAGAGAGAGAAAAAAAAATCAAGTAATTACATGTTAATTTTGAATAAAAATTCAACTCATTTTGTTCGGCTCATTGCATTCCAATAGCGATGTAGACAGCAAAGAAGGAGAACACTCGCATTAGCAATTCAAAACTAAGATCTTAAATTGCACAATAGAATTTCTGATTATTGATACAGCTGCTCTGCTTCTCTGCTATTTATGTGAAAATCGTTTCCGTTTCGTTCTTTCACACAATCGGCTTTTTTCTCATTATTTGTGTGTATCCGCCCCTCTCTTGGTCTCTCTTTCCAAATAACAAAAGTTGGAAATTTCGCATATTTCCAAATGTTTTCTTCTATTACAGTGGGAGCCGCGAGGCTTTTTGTTTTTTGTGATGCCATTTTTTTTTTTGGTTCAATGCAAGCAAGATTTGCTTGCTTGAATTCATTAAAGGTTCATAAAATTGTTCCTTTGCAATGCCGTGCAAGAACAACCAACTAATCCCCATACTCTTGTCGCAACTCTTGCGAAATGTACACTTTTTTTGTTGTGGATCAAACATAAACATTAGAATGTTATAAATGTTGAATAAATAAACACCAACTGACACCGATCATATGTGTTATGTGTACACAAAATGTATGAGGAAAAAACGATTTAAAAATGGACAAAAAAGCACCTAAATATACATGACAATGATGATAGAATACAAACGATTGAAATACCTGAATTTGTTCAATGAATGATTAATTTTGTTTACAAATCGGTATTTACTTATTTTATAACATTGAAAATATACACACGTGCACTCGACCGCATAAAGAACGAACAATTGAGATGGTGCTGCTTAAAATTCAAACACACATGACATGGATTTTTTTTTTCATCCTCACAGCAAAATATTCCAAGATGATGTGATGTGAATCAGCGATAGAGATAGACAGAAAGAGAGAGAGAGAGAGAGAGGAAGAAAGCGAGCGATACCGTTTTTATTAATGAGGTTCATATTTGCGGTTGATGCGACCGCAAATACCAACTGCTTATTTCATTATGGTATCCATAATCGAGTCGGTTATCATGATGTTACGAGCATTATCTGCGATTTTAAATCGATAACCAAATTAAAAATACACATTTTAATCAGTGAAATTGTGCATCTCATTTTTTTTGCCGTTAACAACATGATGATCAAATCGATCAGCGTATCGACTCAGCGAAAATACAGACGCATATGTACGTAACATAAGCATTATCAGCTGTTATCCAATTTGCAAAACAACGATCATTTCGATCACACATGTAAACATTGAACGAATTTATAATTTACAATGTAAATGATATGATTTCATTTCCAGATATCAGAGATATCAATTTGAATTTGACGTCATTGATCAGATGACCGATGACTGTTTGAAAGTTTTCTTGACGCATTTTTTTTCGTAATAAATTGAATATAAAAAATGTTTAAATTTTTGAATTGTATCCAAGAAATTGAACCTAAGATTAACCTTTCTTTCTTATTTTGTTTCTTTTTGTGTCTTCGCTCTACCGAAATAGATTTGGGTCAAGCAGCAGTCAAGCGTCACAGAATAGCGGCGACATATGTCGAATATGTCATTGTGAAAGTGATCCACAAAATCCATTACTGACGCCATGCTATTGTTCCGGCAGTTTGAAATATGTACATCAAACATGCTTGCAGCAATGGTTAACTGCGTCCGAAACCAATTCATGTGAACTGTGCAAATTCCCATTTATTATGCACACCAAAATTAAACCATTCAACGAGGTAAGATTCAACACTGGCGTTAACAATAATTCCATTTTTGATGTTATTCATATTGAATTATAATTTATTGTTTTTGCAGTGGCGAAGCTTGGATATGTCAGGTGTTGAGCGTCGTCGTCTCTTTTGTGCGGTGCTGTTTCATTTTGCAGCCGCATTATGTGTGATATGGTCATTGTGTGTGCTCATTGAACGCGCTGCCGAAGAAGTAAAACGTGGCCTCATTGGTTGGCCTTTCTGGACAAAATTGGTTGTAGTCACAGTTGGTTTAACTGGCGGCGTTGTATTCATGTATATTCAATGTAGACAATATCTTCATTTATGCCATCGATGGCGTGCGAGGAATCGGTAATACTCAAAATAAAAAAGATTCTATGATTTTCTCACAAATAAATAAACATTTTTGATTCGTAAATTCATTTCATTTCAGAATTTTACTAATTCAAAATGCACCGGAAAAAATTCATCCGATATCGCCACCGTCACCCGTGCTAATCGTTCGACATCACAATCTTCCACAAAACAATCAAATGCCAGCTTTGATGAGTGCATCAAATGGTGGCTCCGGCTATAATCGTTCAACGGCACAAAGTCAATGTGTTGCAAATATTGAAAATAATCCAATGAACTATGAACGCGATTGGCATTTGGATGATTCAAGTCAATCGTCTTTTAAACCATGTCCGCAAGGTAGTTCTGGTAGCATGACACCATTTCATGATTCAGCTCATACAATGTATGAAGCAAATAATGGCAGTCAATTGCGCAGTATACATTCATCAATGGATGGTTGTGGTTCCGATTTAGATCTCAATCAAATTCCCAATTCAGCACAAGTGACAATACCACTAACTGGCGGCACATCGGCAAATACGATTGCATCAACTTCCAATCCGGATCATAACATCAATGAATACAGTTTGTTCAAAGTTCATTCAAGTGGACACCAGCAGCAGCAACAAAATCGTAACACTAACAATCAGCATCATCATTATCCAACGTCATCGGTATTTTTGGAAAACAGTGATATTCTGGACGATAAAGACTATCCAAAACTGTATCATCATCGTCATTCAGCCATTATGATGGCACCAGATACAATGAACTATGACAGCGATGCAAAAATTCGACGATACTCTGATACAAAGCTATTGCATGCATCGGCACTAGACGATGATGACGACGATAATGATGTGTATATGACGTATAATAATAATCAACCGATGCCCATTTTTAATGTGGCTACCGTACTTGGTGCCTCAATACCATCCACGCATGATACGCATGCCGAAAACTATCAAATTACCGATATCATTTTTGATTCGAATACAACGGGTACCGGTACCTATGATCCGCTCGAATTGAACATTCAGGAAATGCTCGAACTTGATATGGCCACCAGTCGAAGTGCACTGCGTAAGCCACGACATTCAATGAATAATGTTGCCGACGGTGTTGATGAAAAGTGCAACGTTCACTATTCAGACCAGGCTGGTAGCACTGGTGCCAACAGAAACAACGGTACCAACAATAGCCCCAACGTCAATGCATACGTCAGCCATCCAGATAATCGCAATATATTCAAATCGATGCCAAATCTCAGCGCCAGCAGTGAAAATTTATTACAGAAATAAATCATATGGCTTTGATCAATTTTACGGCACATTTTGCGATAAAGATTTTGTCGCCAAAAAAAAACAAAACAATACAAAAGAATTTTTGAAATTTATGAAAAAGCTTTAAAGACCCAGGATCCCAGCTCGTTCAGCCGTAAAATATTCAATCCAATTTTATGAAAAGAAAAAAAATACATCCGTTTTCAAAACTTAATATAGCTAACGAACAACTTCAACTTGAAAGTCACGAATTGTGTATGTGTTTGGCACAACCGATATATTTAACATGTTTCTCTTTGAATTTCATTTTTGAAATTGTAACACCGTTTGATCGATACACCAACTTTCGGCGGAAATTTCGTTCATTAAAATCAGTATAAAGGTTCCATTTTTATACCGATGTTTCGGTTTCGCTATTTCGTAGTAAGCAACACAATGCTGCATATTAAAAAAAGGCTAAATCGAGACTGCTAGAGGAAAATTAATTCATCGAAATTAAATCAATTTTTCTTATTTGAGTTCAAATTATTTGAAACATAAACAAAAAAAAAACTAACAACGAATATAATTTCATTTTTTTTTTTCTCGAATGTTCTTCATTTCTGTGAAATTGATTACGTTTAAAGAAAAAAAATTAAAAAATTAAAAGGACGTCAATTTTATTTTGTGGTGTCTATTTTAACTGTTAGTCGATCCGCTTTAAAACCCAACAATTTAGTAATTTTTCAAATACCGGCTCTGTTTTCTTCGGAGTTTATTGTTTCGAAAAATTAAAAAAAAATAAGTTAAAAATATTCAAGTACCTAGATAAACAAAATCTCAGACACACACGTACACACGGTTTCGTCCAATAATTAAGAGCGTTCGCGATTTAACAAAAAAATGCTTTTTTAGTATTTTCGATTGCTTTAAAATTAAGAAACTACTAGCAATTTGTGCTGTTTAAACTGCAAACTGAGAAATCAGTGCCGACGAGGCATAATGCGCTGAAAGAAATGAAAATGGATTAAAATCCTTTCAAAAAGATCGATTGAAAGCTATTGAAAGTGGACATGTGAAGAGAACATCGAATACAACAGAGAACAAAAGAAAACAAATTATTCAAAAATATAATACTTTTTGGAAAGAGATTTCAAGCACACATTTTTTTTTTTTAAATATGATTATTAATTTTATTTTAATGGAAGAAAGAAAGAATCCAAAAAAAAATCGATGATTGCGAAAGAGAAAAAATTGTGATAAAATAATTGTAATGGGCGAAAAAAAGCAGAAAAAGAAAAATAAGGAATGACATGACCTCTCAGTGGTTCTTGAATTAAAAATGTCAAAATGATTAATATTATGTTTAAGAGAAGTGAGTAACGTAGATCATGCTTTAAAAGCATTTAAGTTATATAAAAAAATGAAAAATCGGACAAAAAAATCAGATAACAAAAATTCGATTTGTTTAGTAAGAGATAATTTCAAATATGTTAATTGTAAGGCTCAATTATCGTAAGGAAGAGTAAATAAACACAAGAATTTTGCGAGAAATCAATTCAAACGTGAGATGAGACCATATTATTCGAAAGAGAGAAATGGGCGGCCAACAGAGAAAATTGTTTTCAATGTGATATGAAGAAAAAAAAACGTTCATTCAAAGTGCTCTCTCATCGAGTGCTTCAGTTTTATTTTTCAATCGAATACAAACTCTTGACATTTTTTTCTACCTTTATATTTTGTAATCGTCCTCTTTACGTGGCACACTTATTGTACTAATTTTTTTTTTCGTGACAATTTCTTCTTTATTTTCGATAATAAAAACAAATTCAAATTATATAATATTTTTTTTCTAATTTAAAAAAAATCCAAATGTCTTTTCATTGCAATAATTGTACAAAATTGATTGTAGATTTAATGCACAATTGAATGAAAACGTTCTTTGATTTGAGAAAAAAAAAGAAGATAGGAATGTGACACGAATGTTGTGATCCTTTCCACACATTTCGCCGGATAAAGACCTGCCATATGATGACATGCTGTATGGTCCAGCATTCATTCCAAAACGCGTTCTAGCGTACGAAATACAATATAAACATATATTGGCTTGAGTTGAGCATCAAAATGCCCAAATAAGTGTTAAATCGTGTTTTTTTTCGTTTTTTTTTTTTGAAAAAGAAAGTATTTCGTTGAAAACAACAGCCAAGAAAAAAAAACGCGCAAGAATATTTTATTTCAACTATTTAATATAAATTGATGATCGTATTCGATGTTTTTTTTAAAATTGTATAAAAATGATTAAAAAAAACACAGAAATTGTAATAGAAATGTAACAGCGCCACGCAAATAAAATAATAACAACAAAATTCTATTTTACTAAATAAATTACAAAAAAAACACAAAAAATTTATCCATGCAGTAAAAATAAATTCAGTCCAACTGATTTGAAATTGTAAAAGTAACAAACATGTTCGACAAATACAAAAGTAAAAATAAAAATTAATCAGCAAAGTTTTGAAAAATCGAAAAAAAAAATCGTCAATTTTTCTTATTTGTTTTCCTTCTCGTAAGTGTTGACACTGCTGAAAAGACTTTCCGTTCATGAAACTGAAGCGCTGTCACTTGCTGTGAGTTTTTTTAGTACACATATTGACAGATGTGTCTATGTTATCATAAATGAACTTTCGTTACATCAAAGGAAAAAAAACCTCTTGATAAACAAATTCGTGATGATAACCGCACTTAGGAATATTGATGCATGTAATATTCGAATACATTTGCGTTGAGTTTTGAATAGAGACACATAGACTTTGCGATACTTTGAATATATAATATAAAATATGGTCCATTCCAGTGCAAATACACCGATTGGTTTTAGTAAGTTTGTTTGGAATTTATTTGAAAGAAATCGTTTTAAAACAAACATTAATTCTTATTTGAATATTTAGCAACGGATTGCCTTCAAAATGTAAATGTACATTTGCGTGGTGTTGAGGAATCTGCCGCTTACTATTCGACGATTGGCCAAGTTAGTGGGGTTAATGAATTGATATGGGCATTGAAAGCTTTACAATTGACCGATTTAACAACTTTAGCTGGTGACGATTGTCAGTCAAATGTACGACGACTTTGCATTCGTGCTGCATTCCCATTCACTGATCATGAACTGCGATTCCTTGACAATGATGTCAAATCCAAAATACACACAGCGGCGGTTTGTGTATATCCAAGCCGTGTTCGGGACGCTTATGAAACACTACAGTCTTTGGAAGGGGGCAAGAGAATCGAAATTGCAGCAGGTAACCATTTTTCTACAACTTGTACTTCAATCCACATGTTCATTGTTTCCTTTTTTATTCTCAATTTTCCAATACACAGTGGCAACCGGGTTTCCAACGGGCCAGTATCCGTTAAGTACACGCTTACAAGAAATTCAATATGCCATTGCGCAAGGTGCTACAGAAATTGACATTGTGATCGATCGTACGTTGGTGTTGTGCGGTGAATGGCAAAAACTTTATGACGAAATTGTTGAAATGAGAAATGCATGCGGAATTACCGTCCATATGAAAACAATTTTGGCAATTGGTGAATTAGGTACATTTGAAAATGTATACAAAGCATCAATGGTTGCAATGATGGCTGGTGCTGATTTTATAAAAACATCCACCGGCAAAGAGAGTGTGAATGCCACATTGGAGGTTGGTTTGATTATGATTCGGGCCATTCAAGACTTTTACAAGCTAACAAATCGTAAGATCGGCTTCAAACCAGCCGGAGGAGTTAGAAGTGTTCAAGATGCAATCGCGTGGATGTCATTGATCAAATCAACATTGGGCAATGAATGGCTTCAACCGCATCTCTTCCGATTTGGGGCATCCGGCCTTTTGGACGACATCGAAAAAAATGTCAAAAATCATTTTCAAAAACACGCGTAGAGTGCTATGCTGTACAATAAGTCGGCAAGAAAAAAACTTTATTTTTGTTTTTTTTTTTATTCATACACAAAAGTCATTGTTTTTACTCTTTGGAATTTTTTTTAATTTAATCTTGTTTTTTTTTTGTTAATCCAACTAAAGCATAAAGCAACATTAATATAATTAATTAAAAATAAAACTAATGCATAAAGCGCATATTACTCTCAATTTGTTAAAAAAAAGAAGTTGTGTTGCTCTTAAACTGGTGTAAATATCGTTTTGTTTTGTCACAAATGTTTGCCGCTAATTTGTTTTTCTAACACAGTGTATGTGTATGGGTGTGAGAGAATTGTTTTATGTGTGAACGTCGGTATTACGTGGGTACTTCTTCGGCTTTAAAACCATCGGCCTCGGATGCACTGTATTTGGTTAGATGCATCTTACCATCATTATCAATATAACCGTATTCACCTTTTACGCTGCCATCAGCTTCTCTTTGCTCAACCCGAAATTGACGTTCTTTGCTGCAAATGTAACAACATTTTTAAGAAATTAGTATTATTTTTTTCAGTGCATGCACTGCAGTCTCCACAACAAAAGATAAAAAAAATAGAAAATAAACAAAACCGAACGAAAAAAATCTAATCAAAGAAAACTGCCAGTCAATACAGCAGAATCGGACCTGGGACCCTGAGTGCATGTGAGAACGAAGTGTCGCAAAATTGCTGATCATTTCGGATGTGTTGAAAAACCGAGTACAAAAATAAAGTGTTTGTTGTGTTTGTCTAGAATGAATCTATATATTCTTGCTTGTGAAGTCTTGTGTATTTTTGTGTGTGTTTTCTGTGGTGTGCGCTTGGGAAAAGGAAAAAAATTACCGTCTCCAGTGAAAACAAAAGAGACAGAATTAAAACAAAAAGGAATAAAGCAGTTTTTTGCTGTTTTTACCCGCGGCCCGTATCATAGCCAAATTTATAACTATTTGGTCCTTCGAAGCCATGCATTTGATATTCAACACGTTTACCCGCTTGGCTAGATTCACCCGTTTCACTAAAACTATGACTTTTACCCTGTTCATCATGCTCATTATAATGTTTATTATGTTTATGCGCTTGTTCATGTTCATTGGTATTTGATTCACCTGATTCGTGTAGTTTGTGCACATTGATTTTTTCCGATCCGGCCGCTGCAATTGTGCTCGATTGTGGCAATTGAATAGCTTCCGTATTTTGCTCCTGTTTATATTTTGGAATATATTCGCCAGTATTTAAATCACCATCGGTTAAATCGCGATAGACTGGTGCTGGTGCGAAACGTTCAACCGGTTGTGATGTGACAAATGGTGTGTGTTCACTATCCAAAACCAAACCATCGTTATCAATGGGAACAAGTGAATCGTCGCCTCCACTGCGTCCATACGATTTGCTATGGTTCACATCTTTTTTATTTGGTTGGTATTTTTTCGGCACTTTCTTCGGTTTAACATCATAATAATTTGGTTCCTCATTTTGAATTGGTGGCTGCATTTCCATCAGCTGCAATTCTTTTTCACCATACTTTTGATTATCATCATAGACAACTTTAACGGGAAAATAATAATCGAAACGATTATTATATGAATAGGATGATTTTTCTTTTTGTGCTTGTTCCACTTGGAAATTGATTGGTTGTGAGTCGAGACTTGGTAACGGAGGTGGTTGCACATATGAATCCAATGACAATGGCACTCTCACTGGATTATCATTTAATGGTTTAACATCATCACGGTCACGTGGATATTGGGCAAGTAAATAATAATCATCTTTGCTCTTGTTTCGTTCGGGGTCCGGTAAGTACAATGGAATCGATGGCGGTAGCATAAGATCACTTGGTTGTAAAATGGACGGTCGTGGTGGATTCTCTTGAATCAATGTTTCCACCTGATCTTGTGTCAAATTGGCAGCGGTTATCGCTTGGGGTCGACTCATTTTAACTGGTGATGATTGCACCACACACAATATTCCAACGACTATCGCCTACAGAAAGAAAATAATAACCATTAATACACTTTTTTTTGCACAACTCAATCCGATTTCGATTTGAAATCAAATGTTTACTTTTTTCTCATTGAAACATGACATGCAATTTTGTCTGTCGGAATGCAAATCAGAACTTAAGATTGTTTCGAGTTGAATGCAAATACGTGAATTTGCGTTTCATTTCTATTTTAAGCAATTTGGCACGACTGGCAAATAAATTAAACGAATGATTCCCTTTTTTTGAACAGACACACAATTGAATTTCGGATCGTTAAACATTTACAGGTATTTTTAATTGCGATTACATCGAAATTAAAATATATCGATAATTTTGAATCAACTGCCGTTGATGTTAATCGATGTGAATTTGATTTATGCCACTTTGTCTCGGTGCTCCTTTTTCATTTGTTCATTCGTATAGCGAAAAATTATTCATATGCAAATGAACAAGCGAAAACTTCATTCAATATATATTGTTTCGTTCTGAGTGTGTTACGTATAACGATTTGTTATTAAATTTTTGCATTTATTATCAATAACAATGAAGGTAAACCACTTGAAACAAAACGATCAATGATCAACAAACAATGCAGTAATGTGTTAGCTTGAATGAACCATTCGAAAATCAGATGCAAAACGTTCTACATTTTGTTTTCGCACGCTTTTCTCTCTTTCACATCAGTGCTGTGAAATCACGTTTCGTTTTTTTTTAATTCATCGAAAAGGTTGAAAGCCACACGAAGCAATAAATTGTGATAACTTAAACGGGTTTTGAAAATGCGTAGTTATCGGATCGGCGATCCAAGTTCATTCTGGGATTCACGTGCAATCTAGAAAGATCAATTTGAATAAAGTTGAATGTGACCTAAATGATTTACAACATGTTTGACACTTTGGCTCTCAATATATCATTTTAAATGACTTTGAAACCAATAAACATGAAAGCACACTGTTTTTAGTGAAAAAAAATCGTTTCATAATATCAAATTCACAGTTTCTATAGCATTTTTTTCTTTAAAGAGTAATCTTTTTTTGCTGAAAAACTGCCTTTGCTTGTTTCTTATTATGTTATTTTTTCTCTGTTGGCATGTAAAATTATTAGTTGCATTTTAAAGGATTTCACCCTGACTCCATTTTCTTTGCGCCCATAAGGTCGAAAATGTATTCTTTATTTCGAATACAATAAAGTCTTTTGCTTACCAAAACGTGATTTATACAAAGATGAATTTAAATTACTTATACTGCTCAATCACAGTCAATGGAGATTACTGTAATACGCGCTTCAAGCACAAAACGTAGGCATCAATTTAAATTTCAACAACGAAATTTTTTTTTTCCAAAATAGAAAATTGTCGGTTTTCTTTGTTTCTTTTTTTCCGTTGCAAAGGTGTAAATTAATTTGAATGAATTACATGTTTAGAAAAAATGTACTGCCAATTGGCGTGTCTGTCTATGCGTGTTTCATCTTGTGACACTGTTTTGCAAACACATACAATCCAGTAATGAACTTGAGACATTGAAATGATGTGACCATTGTGTTATGTTTTGTTTGTTTATTGTAGTTTTTGTTCTCACAATCGTTCAAATGTATGTTCATGTTAAAGACCGTTGCAAATAATTCGGTAATAAAAATAATTCGAAACGAAAAAAGGCTAAAACAGTTAACAGAATTTCAGTCAAACAATACTAACAATGCAATAGAACCATTGTTAATTGCGTACTCATACATATTAAATTTTTATTTAATTATTAAATTCACTTGTCGTTCTTGTCAAAATGCGTAAATGTGTGACAAATTAAGAAGAAGAAAAAACGACACTTACAAAACGAAACATTTCGGTCACTGTTTTCTTCATCGCCTAGATACTTGGAAAAATTGTCGCCGTTCAATTCGAATTAAAAAAAATATTATTTTTTTTTTTTAATTTCACATAAACAAAAGCACAATTCCGTTTGTATAACTTTTTTCTTTTTTTTTTCAATTCATTAGTTCTGCATAAAAATTTGTGTTTTTTTACAATGTATTCTGATTGGATTTTAATTTTTCGGAATTATAGCGTGTTATGATAACTCTTCCTTGATTATGCAATTTGCGATCGATAGCACACGCGATATACGACCTATATTTGCAAATGCAGAATAGAAAAACTAAAACAAATTCGCACAAAATATTTATATAATCGACGAACGGTTGGAAGCGAATCGGTTTGCTTCTTAAACAATACCGAAAGCGAAAATGATTGTGTGCGATTTTGGCACTCACAAGTACAGAATTGTTATTTTATTAGGTGCGCGCGTCGTCTTATTTCTATGCTGACTGTCTAACAAATGAGCGAGTCGCTGTTGTGGTCATTGTATTTTATAGTGCGATAGCAACAGCCACTTCAGCAACACTCCAGCACTAACAATATTTTTGGTGCGTAATTCATGCTCTTTTTTTCAAGCATGTTTTTTCTCCCTTTTTCTTGCTGGCTGCGCACACGAGTGTTTGTCTTTCGTTGTGTTCGATGTGTCGATGTGTGTGTGCTTGATCATGAACGAAATGAAAAAAAAGAAAAATCCACTAAGACCGTTTTCGATTGATGTGTAATATTTTGAAAAAAAAAAGCATTCATTAAAACAAAACAAAAACACAACACAAAAGCGGAAACTAGAAGCGATACAGCATAGTAGCAAAAAGTAGAGAGCAAAAACAGCATAGGAGTGTGCACTGTGCATAGATATAGATATTGACAACTTGTTCATTGAAAGAAAAATCGTACTTTCGATTTCATTTTTGAACAAGTGTGCGCGCGTACACGATGCAAGGTGCTTTCTTCCATAACGACGACTACATCGGGTTTTTTTGTTTTTGTTTTTGTGAAACAGTAAAATAACCATGCCAATACATAAAATGCAGGCTAATTTAATTCATTCTTTTCGAGCCAAAAGGCCAGTCGTTTTTTTCTTTCGTCGTTGATGCACTTCTTTTTCAGAAAACAAAACCAAAGATTCAAACAAAAGATATAAAAACAAAACTAACGACATTATACATAGATTCAAACACTTTCTTGCAAATTTTGTTTCACTTCTCCATATCCAAACCCAATGAGCCCTTTTTGGCTGTCTCTTGGCTTCTAATGCTATGCAATTTGGGCGTTAAATAGATTTACTCTTGTGATCGTGAAGGTTCCATTTTTGGGCTTAATTTGATGAAAAAAATGATGATTTATTTCGCTAGCATTTTCGACATGAATATAAACGGCTGGCTGGGAACGCAAACTCATGCTGGCACAAAACAACAATAACAACCACGTTATCAATTCATATTGCTAAAAAAAAGCACAACGCTCGACTAAGTTAATTACCTTTAACTCGATCGATGATGATGACTTGGTAAAGAAAATTGAAACATTTCACGCTTTCTTTTAACATCGACGACAAGGTAGCATTTGTAAGCAGTATTAAATGTATGTGTATTATTAATCAAATGCAATTCAAGTGTTATTATGGCCAATACAGACCACTTACACACATATCAGACGACGAACTAAACGATGAAGCTGAATATCAATCGCTTTAGCATACCACAAGTCTTTGGAATTTCACTTTTATGTCTTTTAATGCAAAAACACGAAACTTCAATAAATGCATCCAAATCTGGCCAATTTAATTAACCTACTGCAGTTAACAGGTAGAAGCAAAGAAATGTGTTTGTGGAATGGTTATTTTGGTTTGGATACCCATTAATTTCATTTTATGAGTGTGATCACAATTGTGGTGGTTTTTGTATGTACGGTTTTTGATGCGGAAGACTTGATGAATTGGTGACAATAAATGACTGCTTTCCGAGCAAATGAACAAACAAATCAACCATGTTGAGTTTAATTTTTTTTTTCATTATTACGTTTCCTACTTCAAAGCTGCGCCCCAAAGATCAATCTTTGACTTCGCACATTTTATCGACACCATACAATGTTCATATATAAATTGGCCAGCAATCGTAAAAATCTTGTGCATTGATTTTGATTTACGAGCACAGTTAAACCGAATTATCAAAACGTTTTTGTGTTGTTATTTTTTTTTTTTTTTCATTTTCTTTCCGATTTAAACGTGAAAAACCTGAACAATTTATTGTGCGAACACTTTTTTCCCGTTAATGATTCGGACCGATCGTAATATCCGAAGCTAAATAAATTGACGATGCTGATTCGAAACTTTAACGCACGTGCATAAATATATCAATATAACATCAGAATAATTTTCTTTCTCTATCTCTCTAATACAAATCCGCATGCATTTATTGCATGGTTGAATCATGCATTCTCTTGAGCTTGCAGAGTAGCCGTATCATCCGTTATTTCTACATTAAATCAATAATATGTGTGGTATTGTTTTTCTTTTGTGAGAGCGCACGTTGTTGAATCGATTATTTATTGTTTTGTTTTCATTCATGGCGCTTTTGTATTGACAACAGTGACGGCGGCGGCGGCGGCGGTCTACAAGTGAACGGAATATAACCAAATCAAAACAACTCCTCGACGTTGATTATATTTTCTCAATGAAGATTTATAATAACGATCATGTGCGAACAAAAATGTAAACAGAACGCATCTGTACCGTAATCTTGAATTGTATGTGCCTATGTGTGTGTATATATATCCTTTGTTTTCACTTTATGAGGTTCAACAGCTTGTCTGTATGATTGTTTCTTTTTGTCTGTTCGTTCATTGTGCAGCTGTGCATTGCATCGGTAAATTGATGTCTAATTCCGAATTAAGCTCACATCAAATTATGAATGTACACACTATTAAATGGTGTGAAAGAAGTAGACGTAGGAAAATGTAAACAACGTCAACCGATTTGCAGAAGGAGACAGATAATGAATGAGAGACTCAATTAAAAACCAATGCATTTGAGCACAAATGAACGAACAAAAGAGAGAAAATGACGATCATTTCATCTGTATCGGCTTTCTTAATCTATCCGGAGGCTTTCCGTTTCATTCCGATTAGATCGCAGAGTGAATGAAACCGACAAATTGATGGAGAGAGATAGACTTTAAACCAGTTATTTTTTTTTTTTCAATCCGGCGGGGCTAATTGTTTGCATTACATCGATATTGATAATTGGCAAACGTACTTGATCGTTGAATGACTTCATAAGCGATTTACTTCACTTTTTCTCTCTCCATCTCTAATAATTCCAATGTTTGTAAAATAATCGAATACGACGACAATAAAGATGAAGAAAAAAAATGTTTGCATTCTCTCTACTGTTTATCACTTGCAGTTTTCTTACGTCAATTTTTTTTCGTTCGTTTCTTTTGTTATCAGCGCGTGCGACGACGGCTGTGGAATGTCTAGAAAGCCGAAACATTTAATTGCACACATTTGTTTGATCATTTTGCACTTGAAATGGCAATTGGTGTTGCCAATTATATTGCGTATTTGATTGAATATATAAACCTGAAATTGCGCGAGAGCAAGATGGAATTGATGAAAAAGAAACACGCATTGAAATTATGATCTTATGTCATTTGAACCACTTATGATTGATTGACTCCGAGAGTTGAACGGAGTGTGTTCGAGCGGTCAGTTAAGTCATGTGGAAAATTAGATAATTTCCATTAACGCGTAATGTGTGCGTACCATTTTTTGGATGTCGATTACAGCATAGCATTTTGTATTTCATATTCTTGTAAATTCTGATTTTGGAAATGGTTTCATTTCAAGACGCAACAGAAATCGTGTCCAATTTCAAAATGATCAAGCATGATGCTGAAATTTGCAAACCAACAAAAAAAGTCATTGTATAATTGAAAATGGAATGCTAAAAGCTAGGCTAAAAGTGTCTCTTTTTCTCGGTTTCTTTCTTTCTCTCTCTCTCTCCCTGACTGTCTGTCTGTATGTATCTTATACATTGTCTCTATTTCAACGAGATCGCAAAGTAGGAAATGCACGATAATAGCGAAGGTGTAATAAAATCTCAACAAAGCGCGTTCGCATGGTGAAAACATACGCACAACGACGCTAATATGGAAACACCACACGTTAACACCATTATTTCAACCATAATCTAATCGATAAATTTATCAACAGCGCAATTTGCTTTGCATGATGTAAGAACTATTATATGACTTAACATGTATTTTTATTTTAAATTTCTATTAACTCATTCGCATTGTTGAGATGACATGAAGTGGACAATTAAATCGAGGTAGAAATATTCTCAACAAGGAAAACACCGAATACGAAAAAGATATACGAAAAACCAAAGAACATAAAAAAGCAAAGAATTTTTGATTTGTGACGATGACAGTGTATGCGAAATTGCGCACGCTTGCACGGCTGGTAAGTTGAAATCATTATCTCACCATTTAGTAGCGAATGGTTTTCAAGCTTTGATGACTTTCCACTTTATGCGCATGGTTTAATGCCAGTCATGACAATTTATAATCACATCAAGTTCATGTATTTGAAATATTCTGGGCTCTTTTTTCACATTGTATTTTATTACTTATAAAAATGAATCAAGTCACACCAATGATTTCGGTCAATAGTACATGCCAACTTCAATGAAAAAGACATACTTGAAATCAAGTCAAAATCTTCATTCATAAAAAAACGATTGAACTAAATGCAGATGATTCTATTCAGTAGTTATATAATTTGCATGATAGAAAAAAAGAAGACGAAGAAAAACGTTTAGACTTTTGAATGATTTACTCGAAATGAATGATGAAAGAGACGGTAATAAGCTGTGTTACCGAATTCAGGGCAATCTTCAGCGAAAGAACGTAACAATAATGAGTATGGTCTACTTGTTGTTGAGATTTTGTGCACGCAAAAAATCATCTCTTTCAAAGTAGCTTCAAAGTAACGTAAAGAAGCAACAAAATCTGTGAAGTTCGAAACATCTTTCCAATAAACATAATCATAATCGAATGGATTTTTCTTTTTGTCTGTCGAAGGTAATGGATTTTTATATAGATCCAAATATGGCGTAACCATCAAATTTTATCCGCTCTAGAAATCTAGATACTTGGTGTTTTGAAAACACTGTTTTCTTCATCGAACGATGTAACAAATATCTCGATGTGTTCACACAATTCTTTCGCATCATTTTTTGCTTCACTTTTAAAAACATCAAAAGGTAACGACTTATGCAAAATGATTGCCCCACAACAGTAACAATGCTAGAATTCGAAATAAGAAAATAGAACAAAACAGAAGTTGTGTTCTCAAAAATCGTAATGATCGGTTGAAAAACAACAATTATTTCAATGGGACGACATTTTAATAAAAAAAAAACGATAAATTGCCACTGATTCAAGTAATAGTTGATGGCGCATCTAAATTGAATTAATGTTATTCAAATCGGGGTGGCAACGCGCATTTCAAAAATATATAGAGCCACATTTAAAACAAAGATTGATTGATAAAATGATGATCAAATTACGTGTGGTTGAATCTCGTTTTCGATGTTTCTGATTGAAATAAAAACACCGACACAACGATATTGAATTTTAACAACTCTTAGCAATAAATCGTCTGTTGATTGCCAACTGCTGCTACTACTTTTTAGCAAAACAACAACAACTAAGAATAATGTGCGCCATTCATTGTTGTGAATTTTATACTTATTGCGACTTGTGCTATCATTCACTATACAAAATTCAATCTTCAATACACGCTAAGTTTTTGAGTGCTAATGCTTATGTAATTATACAAAAATGATTATACACGTACGAAGTCTGAATCTGTTCTGCTGGAGCGAATTGTATGCGCGCACTCGATCGCGTCTCATCATTTACTTAGAACGAAAATCACGACAATCATCCAATTTTAGCAAATTTAATTGAGTAAAACACCTCTCTCTCTCTCTCTGTGTGTAGAAAGAGAGACTCTCAAAGAGGATGAGAAAAACCCACGATTACACGTGCTTGAAATACATCTATTTTTTTATTCGTTAAAGTTCTTGATTCATTCTGCGCTTGTGTTTGTCCAGTAATAAATATTCAGCAGTTCGACTCTCAGTTATTGTGTTCCGTCTTTGTAAAATGCGGCTGTTGTTCGTGTTATTGTTGTTGCTCATCACATTTTACTGAGCTTGGATTGTATCGTCAATTTCTTGAATGCAGAATTCGACGTTCATAATTACGGATTAATTTTTTATTGCGCAATTTATTCATAGGTTTCGAATCGTCTTTGCTTGCTTTTTTCGAATGAGCTCGCACGCCTTAATTTGCATTTTATTTCAGGATTTCGAACCAATATTGTTGTTGTTGCTGTTGGCCGTTTTGTTGCGTCGACTGGCTGTTGTCGTCTTTATCGTGCTTTGTTCACGTTGTTTCTTTGTTGATTTGCACTTGACATTGGAACATTGTTTTATTTTTGAAAGAAACCAAATCTTAAATTCAAATCGAATGCATTACACCATTAAAAAAAACGAATTCATCAGAAAATCAAACTCGAATTTAATTCACAAAAAGTGATTGATTGCATTTTTGAAAGAATATTGAGGCTTTTTTTAAGGAATTTTGTTCATTAACATACATTTTATGGATCCCCTTGAGCTACTTTAGAACACCTCCACATGCATAGACAACTAAAAGACTTAAACATTCCATCAAAAACAAATCGTCATTCTGATAAACGACGAGCCCAGCATATTTGTTTCCATTCGTCACTCTGTAGTACATCATACAGTATCAATCAAATACCAACAATATTGTCCATGTTGGGAAAAAAAACGTACGCGTGTCGAATACAAAAATCGGCGAACGTATGTATTATATATGAGTCATGATCGGTTAAAACATGAAAGTAGTTGCATCGAAATACAACAACATTTTCAAAAGAAATTGTATTCGTTTCAATTTTATGAATTGGATTTAATTGTGCTTGCATGGTTTCCTTATTTTCCATGTGAACTATACGGTCGTGTTATAATTTCAATTTTTCCTGTAAACTATTAAATGTTTTGTTGTTGTCTGTTTCTTTCTTTAAATCAATTATATGACCGTGTATGAACAGATTGAGCACACCGTTTGATTTACTTAAGTAGACATTAAAATGGAATAAATAAAAATTGCTCATAATGTTAATGAAATGAAAGTGATCACACCGTGAATGCGAACGAATTTCACGACATTAGCATCGAAATTGAAAAAATTCCATGGATAAATGATGTGATAGAGATACAAGCCATTTAATAATACCTACACGATATTGTCAGCAGAGAGAGAGAGAGAGAGAGAGAGAGAGAGACGGGAAAAAAGATTACAACTTACACACGACTATTTAATAGACATTCGGCATCTTGTTTCACAAAAAAGGAAAAATTTGTGTGCAAAAGAGATTACACTGTGCAGCCGGTCAAGAGTGGCGAATAACAAATATAGCGAAACAACATCGGCAACTGAACGATCGTGGCTATAGAAAGCAAACGAACATGCGGCAATTTTAAAAAGAAAACCATAGAGAAATGAGGCGATGCGTATAATGTTATAGTGTCGCCGTTTTGTTACAACTTCTTATTGGGTTGTTGTGTGCGTTGTGGTCATTACCTCATTTCAAACGCTCATCATTTTGATGCAACAAAATGTTACGAGAATCGCAAATTTCCGCATTGAGGAACAAGAAACACGATGCACTTGCGCGCACGCGCACACGCTCTCTCTCTCTCTCCCATCTCACCATTGATTTAAACGATATGAACGCCAAAGCACTTTAAACGTTGTGTGGTTATTTAAGTTTATACTTTGTACAGCTCTATCCAACCAAAAGACTGATTGACGAATGCCGGCAAAACACACAAAAAACTGTCTCTCTGTGAATGACCGTTTCGGTCAAAGTTGTTTGTTATTTTTTTTTCGCGTTGGTTAAACTTGATTCAGTTGTTGTCATGAAAACTGCCAATTTTGTTGTGGTTTTACTCTATGTGCCATTTTGATGGGGCGCGCGCGCTCGCGCTTGCATCGGAAGTTATTCCGAAGAAAGTGTGTTAGTCGCTTGTAGCAATTTTCGTTATTAATTTCTGTTTTCTTCAATAAAACGGTGATAGTCGGTGCTTTAGCAATAACACAAAACTATAACACATAAATACAAAATATGGCCACTTGCAATACAACATACAGACGGCATAGACATCGTAGCGTTCACGATGGTTTAATTGATTTTGTCGCGTGTATACACACGAAAAAGGGCATTTTATTGTATCAGCAGTGCGTGTATTTAGTCATCATGTGTGTCATTTCTTGTTATACGGTTGCACAATTATGGTTGTTTATTTTGATGATCGAACTTCCGTTGTATTCTGGCACACACTATACCAATGGCTCAGAAAGGAAGTGGAACTTACCTATTTTGGGGCGTGTGCCAACACACATATCATCAACATTGTGAATGCACATGCACTAAGCACTGAAATGAATAACTGCAAAGAGCTGCAAAGTGAAATGGAGAGTTGAAAAAGTTTTGCATTCAGTAAAATATACTTATTTATTTATTTCAATGCGGAAATAACAAAAAAAAATATCAAAAAGCATCGGGGACATTTTTCATTTCCTCGGCAATTCGTTTTACGAGCATTAAACGTGTGAGATTATTTGATGGAATGTTACAGCTAACAAAGACCTGTTTTTTAAGACGACGCGTAAATTGTTGGGCCAACTCTTGTGAATCACAACCATGTAGTGTGCCAATAATTGTTGTGCTGACAAAATCCTCCACCGGTACCGACATCGCCAATTCATCCAATACTTCGTTTTCAAATTGTCCAATGTAAATGAAGAGCGATTGATTCATTTTCAATACACGAAATGTGTACAGTTCTTCGGATATTTCGGCGGTGAAAAAATGACCGCGCCAGTGGCTTTCGACCTTTTCGATTGTTGCATCGTCATTGCTGCTCGATGACGGTAATGTTGTTGACTCGGTTTGAACTGACGACATTTCTTCTTCAAATTGAGGCTCTTTGGCTGCAATCAGGTTAAAGAATTGACGTAAATAAAATGCATACAAATATCTTAATCATGAATCAATTTCATTTACCTGAAAATCACCGATGCAATTTGCGATAGTCTTTCAAACAATCCAATTGTTTACGATTTGGAAAACCTAACCTCAAATCGAATTACTTTTTAACTTTTAGTACATACACAGTGACAGCTGACCATTTCAAACGCATAAACGATTGTATCAATGCACTAAACCTTTAATTAATCACATTAAATTCCAAGAGATGGCGCGTTTTTCAACGAAGGGTGCTCACATTTTAAAAGTCTCGAGACGAGACTTAGTAAGGAATTGCCTTTTGGCGGTGTTCAATAAATAAATGAATTTTATGTGAAAATCGCAGAGTGGAAAGTTTTTTAAACCTTTATAAAGTATGCGAATGAAATAATGGAAAGTACAATGGACACATGCACAAAGTGAATAAATCAACATTTATGCATGTGAAATGCAACGAAAAAGTCATAAAAGAAAAATCGCCCTCGAAAAACTATTTTATTTTAATTATTTATTTCTTTGCTCTCTCATAAAGACATTTTTTCGATTATTTCCATACAATACTTTTCAGTGTATTTATTTTTAGTTTTAATGTCACGTTTCGCGTAAAATCCTTTGAAGTTGTATTTTCATTAATTATTTAATTAAAATCGGCAAACTCATGTATACATATTCTTCAATTTATTCAACTTCCATTGAATCTCGAAAAATATAGATCAGGTGGTGGTTGTGGTAATGGTTAGTTGAATATTGTTTTCAAAAGCCCACTTGAAATATGTAAGAAATTTTTTCCTGTTCATTTAAAATCAAAGAATGTCCCTACTTATTTAATATTTGCGGTGTCACTTGAATAGAGGAAAATTCTGTGTGTTTTTTTTTTTTCATTATTTCATTCTCTCTTGATGTGAATGAGTGAGGCAAAATTTCTCGATATTAAAACTTTGCAAGTAAACCGTTCAGTTGGTGCAATATAATTTGTATCCGTGTGCATAATTCAATCCGATCATAGCGATTAAATGAAAGCATAACATTTCATTCAGTTCAATTAATCATAAAAAGGAAGAAAATTAATAAACCGTTTCCCCTCGACAGCGGTAGCGGCAGAAAATGAAAAAAATCTAATAAATATCCTAATAAATACCAAATAAATGCCAATAATGTGGATGTAGTGCGGAACGAGTGCGCGCAAGCAAGAGGCGAAGAGATAAAGCAAAAATAAATGCCGGATAATCGTCTCTCGACCCTCTTGTGCTCATATAATTGAAAATCAAATAAAAACGATGACTTCTCGACTCTTCACTTTAGAAACCGTATCTCCATTCCCTCGTTCGGTACAGTGAGATAGAGAACAAAAAAACCTTTCCTTTTGAATATCCGTCTCTATCGTGCATATACTGTTGTACTATGTGCATCATTTTCAAGCCGGAACACAATTCGAAACAGCGTGCACAAAACTAAATTCAACAATATAATATGTGTATCATTGTTTGCAATTTGCACGTTTAGTAGATGTTTCGGGGTATTTTTTCCGGTTCACACTCGAAATTTTGCTTCCCCTTTTTTTGTCGCTGCTATCTCTCGACTCTTGGTCGGCCTCACAGAGTAGACCGAGAAAAAAAACCTGTTTCTCGCAACCAATATCGGCCTTGTCTTTGTTTGCATTTTTAATAAAATTCATTTTGGCCGAAAATAACAATAGCAACGACAATGCCAAACCAAATCAAATAACGACTACAAACAGGTGGAACCCCCTTCGGTTTTTTTCTCAGAGGGCACACATGTATATATTTTATTGACATTGTCGAATGCGTATCATTCAAAAAAAAAACTAGCATCAATAGCAACAAACCGACCGACCGCACTATTGAAAAAAGCAGACAGTGCCGAAGAGAGATAGATATTGCATATGCAATGGTACATAGTCGAAAAATCATTTGTAAACTTGAATGACGTTTTAGACTGGCCGTGGCCAGTGAGCCGAATGTTTCATTGATACACTGACTCGTTCGACTACGAGACAAATCAAAATGGATGAAGTGGCATACACACGCACGACATAATGAAAAACAATATGTTTTCGGTTATCACAAATGAATTCAATTGCATCATGAACGAGCAATTGAATGAACAAGTTGATAGAAAAAAAAGGTCGAAACCGATTCGAAAAAGGGAACAAAAACACATACGAACATCGTACACGCATTGCAAATTGTAATATAAAATTTTGCGCCCCTTTATCACCAATCGTCATGATCTTCTTCTTCTATCGCTTCGACCAATGCCTCATATCATACCTCTGCCCTCGTTGTCATCGTCGTCGCGCTCCCCGTCATAAAAGACAATTTATTTGTTGATAATCTATTGTTGACTACTTGTAATAAATACGTTTTCAGCCCATTGTTCAATGTTTAGACGCAACGCATGATATATCTACCTCAGTAACATTCGCCCCCGTACACATGTATGCACCCAAAAAAAGGATCTGACTCAACATATTATAACTCTGTGAGTTTAAATTTTATTCCAATGCTCATTCTCTTCCTATTTCTCTCTCTCTCTCTCTCTCTCTCTCTTTGTTTCTTTCTTCCTTTTTATTCCACAAAGAAATCAACGCACATGAACGAACAAAAAGAACGGCATTGAGACCCTCTACTCGTCGTATTTGGTTTTGCAATAAATGTAATTTCACCCGAAACGTTTAATCTTAACACTTGAACCGTACCGAAGTGTTTATTTATGCATAAATTACTCGAACTGTGTTCAAGTGAAAATACAAATATATACAGGAAACAAGTGCTTTTCTACTCGTAATATCATCATGAATGAATATTTTGTAATAAAATCAGAGGATGCAACAACAAGTCAACTCACTTTTTAATGCAATCATTTTTGCACTTTTGATGAGAAAAATTATCAATGAATCACAATTAATATAATCACTATACCGTAAACTAATTTTGTTTCAACAAAATATTCAAATCACTTAAATTACAATTCAATTTCTCTTTCATTTCTTGAAAAAAGATCCAAACTTATATACAATTTAATATGCGCTTAAAAATACGAAAAAAAAACTTTGAATTTGGTTCAATTAGTGGAATCCCTTTTTTTAGCTCGAAAAAGTTGATATTGGTCAAACTTAAATCAATATGACCATATCAGTAACCTATTTTTTTTAAATCAAAATTGGAATGTTCTAACGAAATTTGACCACTTTTTGTGTATTCGGAAAAATGGGTTAAATTAACTCCGTATTATATATCAAAGTTTTATTTGAGTAAAAAAAGAATTTATAAAATTGATCGGGCCGATGAAAATGGTTCGATTGTCATAATTGATTTTCACCAAAAGAGTATGATTGAAAGAATTTCACATTTTTCTTCACAAAAAGAATTCAATGTATTTTGCATTCGTTTTTAACTCCGATATAAGAAAAAGTTGTTGAAAACTTTCGTCAGACAGCGGCATATCTGCATTGACATAAACGCCGAAACAAAATAAAACACACACACACTCACATGTGCATGTTTCACGTAAAATGTAAAATACATTCGGCACCCGAATATGCAGCGTAATATTGTCGTTTCATGTGCACGGTGTGGTAATATTAGAAATTGTTGAAATAAAATGTTAAACGAACAAAGACTAGAAAAAACTAAAAGAGAAGAACACGGTTGAACCAACACAGTGCATAGCGAACTCACCCTTCATCGGGATACAGTTCTGCACGTCTATTTAAATAGACTTTTCGAGAGAATAGATCAAGAGCGCGCGCGACGACATTAACTTACTGACAAAAAAAAAACACAGAACCATGGAACAGCAAATTGTGATGCGCTACACTTGAATGATGAACAAGACCGAAACGAGTGAATGCCAAACGATTTTTTTATAAAGAAAAAGAAAAAAATATATATCAAGCAATATCCGCATCATTTAAATCGGTGACATAGTCGCAGAGGTCTAATATCTCTGACGGTGTTGCATTGCTTTTTTTATTCGATGTATAAAATTTTTAAAAACATAAAGGCTTGTATTCAATTTACTTGTCTGCTGCTCAAGTATTTGGAGATTTCCAAAAAAAAAAACATTTTTAGTTTTACAGCTTGCGCAAATTTAATAATGAAAATACATGGCACAAAAATGTGAGAGAGAAAAAAATATATTACGACGAAGCATCAAAGTTCAGAAAAGATAGAAAATCCTTCAGGCAATTACACGTTCTTCATTTTTATGAATAATATAGTTTCAAATACTTCATTTCAGCGCATTTTTTTTATCATGTGTAAAGGATTTTTAATGAAAATTTCATCGTAGCCTATTCGTTGGCTAAGATTTTTGCTGTTGTTTTGTGTTCATGATGCAATTGTTCTGGGGGATGTTTTTGTTCTTATAGCATTATTCTAAATCTAATAAAATGATTTGATGTTCAACACGAGCAGCAGTAGCAGTCAAAGTGTCCAATGTCTCGATCGAAATAATGGTTGTAAAACTCTTTCGCTGGTGTGTGAAGTGTATTTGTCAAATGATAATAAAACCGTTTTTAATACCTTCCTTTTTGTTTGTGGCACATCAACATAGAAAAACGCATATCACAAGAGTGTTGTCGTTTAATTGAATGTAACCCTTGATGTGCGTTGCAAAGAGAGCGACCCTTCTCTCACTCTTAATCCTGTTCATAATATGGTATTGTTCTTAACACCGACAGCATCAGCAGCACTAGCAGCAGCACCAACAACATGCCATTTATTTTGTCATCAGTACAAATTATTTAATTTGGTTTTTATTAGTTTTTATTAGATGAAAAGCATTGAAAGTTTAGAGGGAGCTAGAGCAAAGCAGTTTGACAATGTGAGCCAATGAAGAATGGAAATAAACGATATGATATTATTGTCAATGGTTATGGTGCAATCGAAATGGTATGTGCGTGTGCGGAAAAATCTTGAATTTTCTACATAAAATACGCTCTCTCTCTCTCTTGCTCATTTCACTTCGGCAATTTTATGTTGTCATCGCCACAATGCCGCTATTACACTGATGCGGGTGTTAGTGTTTGTTGCCAGTGACGGAGATCAACGTTTTTCCGTCGACAAAAACAACGTGCATGCCATCGATTGCAATTTGTTATTATATTA